TACCTAGAATTTCGTATGGCAAACCATCGCTACCAGGACTACTCTGACGAGGTGAGCGTCTACTTGCTTTCGATATCTCCAGCCAAGTGATAGGACTTTCAAGGGTAGATGCTTGCTCTTTAGTAAGACGTTGGCTGTTGGTACGTTGTAAAAGCGTATTGACATCAGAGGATTGGATCTTGTCAGGACGATATAGCGCCTTATAGAAGGCAACCATCACCTTTGTTTTCCCTTCTGTATTAGTAACCAATCGTCTAGAGTTGGGATCAAAGAGCTTTGGTATTGTTCGCTGTGTAGACCTATCTTATGCAAGTTTTTTGAGAAGACCAGGAGATCGGTCACCTTTTTTTCGCCAAAATTTGCCTGCTTTGAGATGTTCTATTTCGGCAGATTCATCCTGCAAAATAGTAATCATTTTTCAGCCTTTGGCAAAAGAGATGATAAAATAGATGTATTTTTATGATCTCGTAAGATTATGTTGCGTTTGGATTGAAGCTTTTTCAGAGATTTGGATCGCCAGTTGTTACGCTCGATCTGGAAGGATCGAGTAAAAACTTTGACTTGTTCTTTCAATTCATCCCAAATAGTTTGAACTGAAGGGCAATCAGGATCCAAACGGTTGATGTTATCCATGTATTGCTCAATATGTGTTGTCAAACCTTTTCTATATGCAGATAGTCGAGCAAGATTAGGATTATCTTTCCAAGGACCAGGTCCAGCGGGAGTGTGCACCAGTTGATAGTTGATAGAAAGCAAGGCATGGTCAGTCCAACTGTAGTTGACAAAATTTGGAGTCATAGAAATTACATTGTCAGCATGATGTAGAGTGCAAAATACATAGTCAATATGTATGCGACTACCAGTGGTACTGACAAATGTAGGAAGAGGATCACTTTGAAAACAATCTTGGAATGAAGTAAGAAGTAGATCATTCCAGCACGTATCAATGTTGGATTTACGGTAAATGTCATAGTTGAAATCGCCAGCAATAATAATAGGCAAAGACGTTGACTGTAAATGTGACATTAATGGTTGATTGGAAGATAACGTGCGAAAGAATGTGGATCGATTACTACGATAAGCAGGAGCATAAATATTGAGGATATACATAAAAGGAATGGAGGGTTCAGAGGCATGAGCGATAGACGCTAAGAGAAAGCGGCCATTGGTAGAATTGATGGTGGGATGTGCTGTAATTTTGTAGTGAGATCTTAAGGAAACAATGCCACAGTGTTCTGTCCAAAGACTAGATTTAGTCTGGAACTTGAGGTTGAGCTGTTTCTGTATATTAAGTGTAGATGCGTGTGTTTCTTGTAAGCATAGAATGTCATATTTAGTTGAACGTAGAAAGCGGATGAATAAGGACTGTTTGTAAGGATCTGAAGTTTTTGTAAGGCCACGGCAATTAAGGGTGGCAATTTGCATAGAGTCTTTAGGCATAGATTATCTTATTGAAAGTCAGGAGAGGTACCTGTTGATCCACCTGTATTATGATTAGGCACCACTCTATGTCTCTCATCGTCATGATTAAATTTGATCTTTTTACGCTCCTGGATAAACCTTTCTAAGTCCAAAGCCTCTTGGGTTGGATTATTGCTTGGAATATTTTGAAGATATTCATCATCATCCTCTCCATCGGAGTCAATGATTTCTACTTCACTATCTCTTTGCTCTTTCATTTCATGATCCATCAATTCATGCTCGACTACTGTAATATCGTTTGAAAGTGTTTGAATAGTCTCGGTTGCCATTTGACTAAGAGGAACGGTAGTCAATGAAGCAGGAGGGACAATTTGCTTAGGCTTCGCACTTTGTGCCAGTTGCTCATTGGGCAGGTTGGATCCTGATCTACTAGCCTTGTCTTTTGTAATTCCAATACGCTTATTAGGAGGGTGGCCTGATCCATGACTACGACGAGGACAATCACGGCTGATATGACCACGCTCATTGCAGCTATAACAACGACGAGTATTAATGAGTTCCATGCAATCTGCTCGACAATGGTCGGATTTTTGACAAAAACGACAAAATTGGGGCATTTCATCCCACGTAAGCAGAAGTTCACGATCAAATTCGGGCCAATCCACTATTCGACCAAGTTGCTCAGGCTCAGACTTGTGAGGATTGTTCAGGTCAAGAACGACGTAGCCCTGGCCGAAAAATACAGCACCGTCCATATGAAATCCCAGATCCAGGATTTCACCAAAATGGGAAAAACATTTTTTCATTTGCTCACGGAGAGTTGAAGGATTAATAAGGGGAAGTCGTTCAACCTTAACTCGAGCAACTTTGGCGTTTTGGGGCAAGCGGCGGTAGTCTTTGATAATATTATTATCTTCCATCTGCAAACCGGTGTTGATCAACTTATTGTATACTTCTGAGTTGGTGTCCCAGCAAGTTTCAATAAAACGTCTCTGCAAATACTTGCGCTCAACAAGTAAAGTGCCAAAGAAATAGTACTCTTCATGGGTATTAAGTGACCTAAGAAACTGCTTAAGGCCATTCACATCACGAATGTTGGTGATATCGATCAATACACTATCTTTCTCTAAACCGATAATATAAGGCGTAATAGTGCCTGAAGAAAGAGTGTTGGTACTAGCATACTTCGACTGGGAAGAACCAGAAGTGCGTGCAGATGAAGCTGTGGCAGCTAATGATGACGACTGGTTAGCAGACACAATAGTTCTAGCCGCTACTTGCGACCAAGTTCTGAATAAATTATCGTTGTTACGACGCCCTTTGGAGGATGTCATGTTGTGGGTTGGCTTGTTAGGCGAAAGAACCATAAAAGAACTGATTTCTATTGCGACTGCAAGAAGAGTTGGAGTTGCTTTTCATTTCAATCTTCACACCATAGTTACGTGGCAAGTCCTATATCCATTTATCCCACCTTTGCATTATAAAATGCATATCTTTCTATTTTTTTTTTGTGTTCTTTGACATGCTAGATAGCATGCGATATAATTTATAAGTTTTTATCTAGCAAGTTCTATATGACATTTAGAGTAAAAATGCTCAAAACACAGCTTAAATGCACTAATCTTTGATGCATCATTACTCGACAACGAGACTATCAAAAGGGTCTGTTTTTTTTTATTTAAACCATATTCCTTCGAGTCAAGAGATCGAAAGATACCATTGGTTTGGCTCCTGGGGTGAAATTTATTTTTTGACCTATGGAGAATCCATAGAGGTCCGTGAAGACGGAAAAAAAAAAAAAAAAAAAAAAAAAAAAAAAAAAACTCAATCAGAAATTTTTTGGAATGACCCCAATGTAGGCCTGATCCAACCGAAATTAGGTGAGACCATGTATAAATACTTCCAAAGAAAAGAAAACGAGTCTTCTAAGATGAAAATGTCGACTTAATCTGAGCATTACCTTCAAAAATGCAATCAAAGCTCGCTGTACACTGTAGTCAATACAAAAGAGACTTTTTTCGGTAGATACTGATTAACAAATGGGTACTCTTTGTAATATTTTTTGACGTATAGAATACACACGAACAGACTGTATTATAATACATGCTATTTTTGAGGCCAGAGAGTAGCTTTGGATATGACAAATGATGGATACCATACAAAAGGAGGATTGGCTAATTTCAAACGTCCGTTTTTTTTTTTTTTTTTTTTTTTTTTTTTTTTTTACCTGGGGTACTAGGTTTACTCTCTGTTCTAATGAACATTCTTTTTCTGTTTTCCATTAGCTCAAACTGTATTGCTGGATCCAGGTACAGCTGTATGTGTCTGATACTGCTACTTTGTAAGCCTTGGCGGCAAACAAAATCCATGATTATGCAGCTATATGAAAAAAAGATTACTATGTAAAATAGTGCTATTATTACTGTTTCAACTCAATACACTAGGAGAACATAGATTATATGTTTCTGTATTCGATCATGTAGTCTCTATACCTCTAAAGCCCTCAATAAGCCCTTAAAACAGGGGTTTAGAAAGTTAGCTGAGTATAACTGAGTCTGAATAATGGTCAGGGAACTTATCAGAATATAAAAACAGGTTCCTACCCTTTTTTTCTTTGCTTTCTTTTTGCAGCGTGTTTGTTTTCTGTCCTTTCAGGATAATGTACCAAACGTACTTGAGGGGGGATTTACCACCTGGGTACAAGTGCATTCTCTGTCAAGATAGTCTGCCTTTTTTTCATTAAACGGGTCTTTGTCGAATTTGATAGAAAGTAAAACAGACGCGTGTAGAGGGTTAGCTTATGATCCTGTCCGAGGGGGTATTCCATCTTAGTTATGCGCACTGGCAGTCCAAGTCCAAATATTCCCAACGCTGGAAGGCTACTATCTTTTCTTGGCACCTTCTTCTCACTTGTGGGGAGGGAGGGGAACCTATCGGATAGTAATAAGTTTAACCCTATTCGTGGTATCTTGGTAGTCTCATTTCTTTGTGTGTGTGGCTATTAGGGTATTGCAGCAGTCTTGGTCGTTTGCTACTGTGATAGTGCTAGAAAGCGGTAGTAAAGGTTACTGGGATTGATAGTCATTCGCCTTTTCCTTTGTGAATGCTCTTTAGAGAGGGTCTAAAAAGTCCTTTCAAGGGGCCTGTTTTAGTCTGGCGGCTAGAATAGTCTTTCTAAAGTTAAGCTTCACTTTTGAAGGGGTATCTGTCTATTCGTGGCAAGCTCTATTCATTTAGGGTCGACTATCGGACAGAGTAATGGCTTTTTGTATATAGTGTTCGTCATCTATTGAAAATGATACGCATTCCATTTTTTTTGATAGTGTGAATACTATATAGTGGGGGTCTGAGGGGCTTTGTGCGTACGCGCACCATCTTTTTGGGAACTCAATTGAACTGGTTTAGGTCCTCGTCCTAGTTCCTGGAAACAAATACTCACAGTATTTGGCTAAAGTACCAGTTTTTTTTATCTTTTTATTCAATAAAGTAAAACAAAAGCAACCATTTTATACTCGTATACAACAATAAGTTAGAGTTACTGCGTTGAATACATGAAATTTTCTTCCTAGCAGAAAGTGCATAACTGACCTTGATGTACAGCTGTATCTTTTTGTTATGCAATCCAACATATCACGTGATATAAGGGTAGATGCACACTAACGCGTTCACTTTGACTCTTTATTTTTCTTCATACGATGAACACCATTCCTGTACTGATCGCCTCCAAAGACTATAAAGCTCTTTTAGATACATGTGAACAAGAAGAAATCCAAGTAAGATGCTGAGCCGATCTTTTCTTTATTCATGTATTCTCTCAGTACAATCAGCTTGAAATTATCTATCCCATCTATTTAGCAGGTTGCATCTTGACAAACGATCTGTAAGTAATGACTTTATTAAAACGAGATAGCCAACATTCACTCTAGTCAATCAGCGCGTCATGTACGCAAAAGAATCCTTGTCAATAAGACAAGTTCACCAGAAATTGAAGCTATCTGGACAGTCGTCGTGGATTTGATCAAAAAGGCTTATCCACAAGTCTATCAAGACCTAAGCCAGTTTGAATGGTCTGAATGGATGCAGCCTTTGATTGAACAGATCAAGGAAAACACAAGAGAACATTTGTTTTATTTAATATCGCAAGTGTATACATCAATGGAATTATCTCAAGCATCGCAATACTTTGGTGTGTCTGAAGAAGAAGCTTTACAAGGTAAAGTTGAATGTAGACTATTTTTTTTTTGTTCTTATTCTTATTGTATATGTTAGAAATGACAAACCGTGGATGGAAATACAATGAATCGACCCGTATTTTATATCCAACCAAGACAAGTAAGTAAAAAGTATGAAGTGCACCTATTTTAACCCTATTTAAATCATAGCCTTCCCTACACTGGCTACTACACATCATCCTCAACACTTTGAGAAATTAGCAGATATTGTATTAAGTCTCGAAAAGTTTTAATAAATCTTTTTATTTCTCTTGCTGATCAAACTCTAAACGTTTTAAATCCCCTTTTAACCAAAGAGAAGGTAATGAACCAACAAACACAATAACAGCAACTGCGATCATGGACATACTCATATTGTTGGGCGGATTTGCATCAGGGCCTGCTCTTAATCCATCAATGATCACACAAAATACCAACATGGATGCAGTCGAAAGAGCCCATAGTAAAGAGGAAGTCACGGACTCAGGCACAGGATAAGAAACTAACATCATGAGTGCATGACCAACAAAATAATCACTTACTTTCACAGGCAAATTCTAAATGAAGGGGAAAGATAGCATAAGCAAAGAATCCATTCAAAACACAAGCAATCATCACCACCGAAAATGCAGAAGGAATCACTATATGATAAGTCAGTTGCAATAATCCAAGGCTCCTCACTTACTTTGAAAGATAAACATCACATAGGTAAATACCATACATGGTGTCAACAACTTGATCAACATCACATGCTGTGCTGTCTTGCCCGCCCAATAACCGGAGACAATACCACCCACAAACCCAGCCAGGACAACAGCAGCTGCACAATAGCCTGCTTGTTGATCTGTGTAGCCAAAGGGTGAAATGGCCTCAATAATTAAGGTTGAAACTGAGAATGCCATACCGGCATTCGTACCACACAAGATACTACACCACCAAAACCCTTTGTGTCTTATGAGGACACGCATGCCTTCTACAATACTCATACGGTCTTGATCTGCTGAAGGAGAAGAAGGAATACGGGGAATTCCGGGTAAAAAGACAGAAGGAACGGCTGCTGCTGTTGAAATAATAGCTACCATTAAAAACATAGTAGGCACTTGATCTGCTGTGGGTGCTATTAAGGGTATAAGGATAGGTGCTAATGCCATGCCAAATGAGAGTGCTATTCCATGTTAAAGTTGCCTTATTTCTATCATGTGTCCTTACTGGATAATGTGTTTGCAACCGCCCTATCTTTAGGAGCAAACCAAACTGACGCTACCTTAAAAACCTTATTAGCCAACATGATACATTTATTTATTTATTTTTTACTTTTGCAGATATACTAGTCATGTATAGGTTAGTGAGATTATATAAACACATATAGACTTTACTTGTACACAAAAGCACCACCTATGCTTGCTATCGCTTGACCGATCATGACAACAGTATAGCGATGTTGTTGAGGTGTAACAATAGCTATATATCGAATCCAACAGCCAATCAGGTTGATAACACCGGCAAAAATGATCTACATACATAAATTTGTTAATTATGAGATTGAACCCAAAAAAAGAAAATAATTTACATTTGCTTTAATCCCAAATTGTTGATAAGACCAGCCTGTCACAAGTGAGAAAAACGTGTTGATAATAGCAGATACATTAGAAAGCCAATTAAGTTGTGTAAGATTAATTCCAAGCCATTCTGAAGCAGCTGAAGGAGTACTTGAGGCACTTAACCACATTAAGGAAACCGCACTATTGATCAGCATAATGCTTATGACCTGTAACCATGCAATCCATGTTGTACCATAGACTAAGTCATGTATGGATTTATTACTATAGGTGACGGAAGTCATGTTTCTTTTTTGAAGAAAAAAGGAAAAAAAGAAAAAAGAAAGATAAAAAAAATGATAATGTACAAGTTATGTATATACTATTGTTTTTTTCTTATTTATTTATTTAAGGGTAGTTTTAAAGAGGGTTTCCCCTTTATCTTTCTTTACTGGGATCCACTCTCCTAGGATTGATTTCTCCTAATACGTATCATCATTGTTAAGTGTCTTTTCTTATTTTCTGTCATGTATAGCTTAAATAGGTTCTCCTGAGTAATATATAGAAATAATTAGAATATGTCAAAGGAGATTCAGGGAAACTTGAATGTATAGATCGTTTGTGTCCAAAACAAGTAACTGCTTGATTTAGTTTGAGAAAGTTTCTTTTTTTTGGGGGGATGACTTAACATGTACTTGATCGATACATTAAATAGACTTCCATTATGACTTTAACCTTTTTGAGTCTTATGATGGCAGCATTGGTCACACAAATCTACTTCGGATAAAAGCCTTTTAAAGTAATGTACCCACTTTGATTGTTGCGCGAACAATAAGGTATATGCACAGACTCATATTCTTATTTATTTATTTATTTCTATTTGTAAGTGTTGATTTTTGTGTTCGTCTGATGGAAGGAACAACAGAAGGTCTTTCTAAAGGCGTGGAGGAACGAACTTGTTTGGTTGTATTTGGTATCATGGAACGACGTACATTGGTATCTTTTCTACTTTTGAGTTCTTCAATTCCTTCTAAGGCTTTGTCCAATTGAGCCTGTAATTGGCGCCTGGAAGCTGCTTCTTGTTCAACCTGTTTTTGTCTTGCTGTTTCTGATGCATGCATCTGGTCTAGAACGCGTGTCATCATTTCTTCCAATTTTAGACGACTGCTGGTTTCTTTTCTTAAACGTGTTTCCAAAGGTTGTAATTGTGCTAAAGTGGCATTCATCTTGGTCTCATAGGCTTGGCGAAGATGAACTTCTTGTTCAAGACGATCATACAACACTTTTTGCTGTTGGTCCATCACCACAGTCATGTCTTCCATGGCTTTTTCAAATGCTCTTCGCATGGCTGATTCTTGACGTACACGTTGTTCTAATTGATTCAATCGGTCTTGCATGGCTTGCATTTGACGTTGATGAAAACGATTTGATATCTTGGCAAGTCCGAGCATCACTTGTTGATCTGGTTTTAAGGCACATGTCTTGGCTTGTTTACGACTCGCATAGCCTCGCCAGACAGCCTGAATCTTGGTGGCTGCTCTGTCTTTTTCTGATGATTCTTCGTCTTCATTCAATGGATAAAATATGCATTGTGATTCGAGTTCTTCATCGAGTTCGGTGGTATCGTCATAGCCTTCATCACTGTAGGATCCTTCAGGGAATTTAGGTTGAATGTAAGTGATGGGTGATTGTTTATGAAGTCGATTGAGTTTAATGATCACTATACGAGAATCACTAGGTATACTACTACTAACTGAGGCATTATCAAGGCATTCATCTAAGGGTACAACATGAATAAACTTATTTCTTTTTTGTTCATGCTTACCTTTTGGTGTAACGTGATCGCACAATGGAGTATCAGCTAAGAATGAAGCAGGACCCACAGGGATCACTGTGTCGCAAGATAAAGGACGTGGTCTTGGGCTCACTTGAGAAGGTAATTGAAGTGGTGATAGCCTGCCATCATCCACTAACTCGTCTTCTTCCTGAATTGTCTCATGATCAAAAGAAGAACTATCATAATAATAAGCCGATGAGAATGCCGTGCTTGTAAATGAAGAAGCATCAAAAAATGAATTTTGATTGGCATCGTCCAAATAAGCCAATGCTTCTAAACAATCCTTGGTGGGGAATTCATAAAGATATTGTTCAGTTGTTAAATGTTGTGCGACCGTCATGGCGTCTTGGTGATAATAATCAGACTGAAGGAGAACAATCGAAAGGAGAAAGATCGGAGTGAATAATGTCAAATCATCAGTATACACACATATATATATATATATGCTAATTTACCTCTTGTGATTGATAAAAATCTTGTTGTTGAAGCATTATGAAGAATAAATATTAAGGTATAAGAGGAATTTTTATTTTTTTGTATAGATTAGATTTTTTTTTCTTCAAGAAAAAAAAAACAATAATAATATAAAGGAATGGAAAGGGAAGGGAGAGTGGAAAGGAGAAAGAGAGAAAAGTAGAAAAAAGAGAGAAAAAAGAATAAATGATACAAACATGAAATCTGTTTAGAGGTCGTATTTAAAGGTTTTTTTTTTTTTTTTTTTTTTTTTTGCTGTCAAGTAAAATAAGGAGTAAATTTATGATGCTACTTGTTGTTTTGGGGGGAGAATACAATAAAAAAAAAGGGGGGGGGGAGAAGGGGGGGGGGAAAGAAAGTGAACAAAGAGAAAAAAAAAATAGAGAGGAGAATCATTTGAGGAGAGTATACGAATGATGGAATCACTCTTTTTTCTTTTTTTTAAATTTTAATCATCTTTTTATAAATTCAATCAGATGAATAAAGAACCAATACTTTAATTTCTTTATGTTATTTTATTAACATGTAATTAAAATAACAATATTATAGATAAAATAACAAAATAATAGTTTTCTAAAAAGAAAGAAATTTCTAGATCACTTCCAAAATCAAAAAGTTCAAGCGATAATTGCATTCTGTTTGACACCTTTTCTCTCCTGATTTTTTTTTGCTCTAATTAATCTTGGTTTGTTGATCAGAGATTTCGATCAAATAATTATTTTTAGCTTAATCCCCCCCCCTTTCTCCTTTTTATTAATACACAACAACAACCTCGAGTAAGGAAAAGAAACTCCTTTTACAAAAAAAAAAAAAAAAGACAATGACAGTCGATCAACTTTATTTTCAATAGGTGGCGTTATTGAACTTATGAACCATGGACTGTTCTAATGTAGACAGCGTATTCCATTTGCCAATGTAGTCCACCTTATGTTGTTTAAACCATTGAATGACTGCTTCAGATTCTGCTTGAAACATGTCTAGTGTCATGGTCTTGAACAGATTGTCAGATACAAATTCGTTTCATATTCTAGGCGTTTAAGGTTAGGGAACAACCTCAGCAAACTTTGAAATCCAGGTTTAGATAAAGGCGTTGTCATGTATTTCGTCATCTTGAGGCAACTGAGATCAAAGACACATTGTTGATTTGCTAAGGCTTCAATCGAGATAAAATCATAGTCATGGAGTTCAAGTGAAGAGAGACTGAGCTCTGTCAAGAAATGCCAAAATGCTTCATTGGTAATCTGTTCTGTTGTGGAACATAGGCTGAGTGACTCAAGTTTGTGCCAATGACGTGCTATACTAAACAAGACAGCGTCGTTCATGCCTGCATGAAACCCTTTGAAGTGACACATGTTGGGACACCCATACACAACGGATGCCGACAGACCTGCAGAACTAATAACTTGATCATGATTGTCGATATAGTATAGACACTCGAGTGATTGACTATAATGGGCAATGGCACAATACAAGCCTGTCATTGACAAGTCTAACTGACAATATTGTATCGTGATAGACATAAGATAGTTGCGATTCATACGCAGTAGTGAACTCGTAGCATCTGAGAATCGTTGGTGGAGTATAACTCCTTGCTTGAGATATTCTCTTTTGCGTCTTGAGGGTGGTAAGGCTGTCATATAACAGAAAAAAGTGGGGGGGGGGGTATTCAACCATCATGTTCTGTATAAAATAAGAATAGCAGCGATCGATCATGATAGACTTGATTCGAGGAGCTATCTTGACCAACTTTTCTAATGAACAAACTAGTAAATTATATTCTACTAGAGTCAATGCAACATGTTAATGTAAATAGGGACCATAGACCATTGAACACCACTGCTTACAGACACTACCATCCATATTAAGTTCCTTTATTTCTTATTCTAGTAGCCACTTACGTCGATAAAGGTCATCGTTCAGGTAATGTTAAAAATGAAAAAAATAAGAAATAAAATAGTTTGGGGAAACATAAAGAGAAAGACAAAGATGTGCTCATTTTATCTTTTTATTAGCCAGTTTCAGGTACCAAAAAAAAAAAAAAAAAAAAATTCTTCACAAGATTTCAAGCGGGATCCAATTTTAAAGAAATCTTAGTTGAGATGAAGTGAAATGAATGGGTCTCCAATCCAGTTTCTCGGGAGAAATAAACCTCTTCTTTTTCTGTTGTACCTTTTCCCATTGTTCCACCACTTTGTCCCCCAAACAAATGATATGCTGTCCACGGTAATAACGTAGTGCACCAATACTCTGGAGTGTATGTAGAATGTCTTGTGTCGTAATTGAGGTCTTTTGCGAGATTTCTTCAATTGTTACTTCTTCATTCGTAGACAACAAGAAGCCTACAATGGTGTCTGTCCAATAGGCACGATAAGACATGAGACCCAGATCAGATAATGGTTTTTCAGGTGACCCTGTGCGACCTTCTACTTTCGATAGTTCATACGAAAATGCAATCAATAATTTACCGTATCCATGGCGTTGATATTGTGGCAGTGTCAGAATACAGGCCACATTGTAGTTCTCGGCTGATTCTTTCTCTTTTGAGAAATAACCTATTAAATGGCAGCCTAAAGCATCTCGCTTGGTCATACAATAAAACAAGAATGGATCCACATCATAATAAAGCATTTTATGGTCAAGAAACAGCTTAGATAACAAACAGAGATTGCGGCACCATGTCTTTTGCTTCCTTCCATCAATTTCAAAAAACGAGATATCGTCTTTTCGATAGATTTCATTGCCTGGTGGATGTTGGAGTTCACACCGAGAACGATGGCGTTCAAGGCGTTTATGCGAATCATAAAACAACAGACAAAATTCACACAGATAGAGTGTATCACAATAAGCATATTCTTTAGGATACGGTGAGAAATACCATGTTTCTACTTGATGGGCACCCATCTGAATCTTGTTCATGTTCTTTACACGGGCAATTTCACTGATATTTTGTGTCATAGATCCTGATGTCCTCAGTTTTTCAATCTCTTGTTCTTTTGAAAAGTGTTGGGGTTCTTGTTCTTTTTTTGTCTTTACTGTCCCTACTTCGTCTTCATCTTCGCCATCTTCTGCCAACACAATTTCCTCAGGTAGATCATCATCATCTAATTTTCGTTTTACCGGTGTCGATGCACGGCTGTTTGTCGCACTCTGTTTTTTTGTCTTTTTGGGCACTGGTTTAGGAAATTCAACACCCCGAGAAAAATCCAATCGATTGAATGTAACCCACTCATCAAGACGCTTATTGAATTCAACATAATGCACATAATATTCCAATGCGCCTGTTTGTTTGGTGGATTCTCTTGCCAAGATGATCTCTGCTTTTCTGTATTCAGAGTCTCCCTTGACAGACATCTTTTCTACATATAATTTACAATGGACGGGTGATGCCATAAATTTGATCATCTGTGCTTTTGATTCTGGATGGGACTGATCAGGGTTCTTTTCTTGGTTCATGGTGTTCAATGGGAAAAACAGAAAAAAAAAAAGACCGAATCCATTGTATTCAGACAAATGATGATGTCACAATTGTGGTGAGAAAACAAAGGCCGATTGAACCTGATAAGTTTGCCCTACGATTCCCTTGCTGTGTTTCCCCACATTTTATTTCTCTTTTACACCCCACTCTCTCTCTCCCTCCTGAACTATGTTAGCTACTCGCTCTATCTTGAAGACTGTTGCTCAAAGTAAACATCATGTTTGAACGATATCCATGTTACTAAATACCCATTAGACCCTGCTGTCTTTAGAAACACGATGGCCACTGCTCCTGCCCTTGGTGTTAGGTAAATACAAAACGCATAGACATTGACCAACACCTTCACTCTAGACACTTTAATGCTTCTCGTCAAGCTAAAGAGCAATGTGCTGCTGCTGAATCTGAGATGTTGCGTCAACAACGTAAAGTGCGTCCTGTGTCTCCTCATTTGACTATTTACCAACCTCAAATCACTTGGTACTTGTCTGCTGCTCACCGTATAACTGGTGCTGCCTTGGGTGGCGGTAAGGTGAAACGATATGGATATACATCTTAATCTTCTCTTTAGGTTTCTACTTGGGTGCTCTTGCCTATCTTGCTGCTCCTGCATTTGGTTATACTGTCGATACAGCTGCTATTGTTTCTGCAGCTGCTTCTGCTCCTGTTGCTGCCAAGGTACTTGCTAAAACTACCGTGGCTGCTCCTTTTGTTTTCCACAGTCTTAACGGTGTTAGACACTTGGTAAGTGAAACAACAACCCACTACGTATCATGTTATTGACTCTTGTTAGATTTGGGATACTTGTAAACTGATCGAAATTAAGGGTGTCTATGCTTCTGGTTATGCTGTTCTTGGTGGTACTGTCATTGGTTCTTTATACTTGGCTTCCTTGTAATAAAGTTTTCCGATCTATTTTACCCTATGGAAAAAGGTTTTTGAGGAAGCATGTGAATAACCGCCTTCAGATTGAAATGCAGATCCGAAATGATTCAAGTTCCGTACATATTTACTCTTAAAAAAAAAGCAGTAGGCTTAGGAGTGACTGTACCTTCATGACTGATGTATATGTGTCTAGAGAGTCGTTTTTGTCTGATCTATGTATCAACCTAGATTTTCTCTGGCCTCATGTTGAATATTGATCCATATTTTACTGAGTTTCAAATGCTTCCGTAAAGTATTCATGCAAAAAAAAAAAAAAAAAAAAAAAACTTTTTCTTTCTGTATGTCATCTTCAGAACAAGACACTGTACCTGAATCACAACCATCTTTATTTACAAGCAATACGTTTATCTGCTCTCCTTCTTCATTGAAGCAAACCAAGATCAAGACAATCAAAAGGACAGAGACAAGTTTGCCTGAATCTAAAAGTACGCCTATGATGCCTCACTTGGCATTTACGTGTGATGTGACATGCATACAACACTTGAGTTATACATTAGCAGATCAATATGAACTGATTGAACTTGATAAACTGGATGTGATCTTGAATACGCGTCTATTAGAAATAAGGTGTATTTTTATGTTGAATGGACTTGATCATCTACTTGACTCTCCTGCATGGATTCAACAACCCTTGAATGAAGTAATGTCAACCTAAAAGATAGTCTTATTCACGCTTAATAGGTCATGTCAAAGTGTGGTTTATCTCTGTTCAACACAGACTCACCTCACATCTTTTACTATGAAATGAAAACTGCTTTTATTACTACCCCTTTGTCTTATGTGTTAGACCAACAAGCACCTCATGGTATCCTTGAAAGATTTGATATCATATTTGACTACAGTACAAACAAACCCAAGGAATTTCAAGCAGTATGGAACAGAAAGATACAAACAGACTTTATGATCAAGTATGTGTATGATGGATTAAACACAATCTTGGTCAAAAAGACATGTTGTGCTTATCCCTTTATCTTCTCTCATGCTTATGTGAAGGTAAACAATGGATCGTCTGTTATTGCTTCTAACTTGAATCAATAGAAACTATCGAATATCATGTCATTTCTGCCTCTTATTGCTCAGTCATTACAAAAGTCCTATTTGACATCTAAAGCAACTATGTCTGTTGATAATCATGCATTCAGTCAAGGGTTTTTAGAGAAACTCAAGGTAATCAAACCATCCATGCTTTCATTATTCAACCCATCCCCATTTAGACAATTCAAACAAACACAGCTATTATGAATCCATCAACAGACCAAGACATTCAAGAAGATAACATCAGTACTTATTTAACACTGGGTATGTATCATGCCATCAAAATGGCCCATAAGCAGGTAATACACACACATATATATATATATATATATATATACATATCTATCGATGAATTGACGACTAAGGGCCATAGAAACCCTCTTGTACACAAAAGACATTCCATGAACCACCCAATGCTATTTGTACTATTGCAAAACTATGGTCTACTACAGCATCAAAGAAATGAATAAAGCCCCTTTCTTTTTCTTTTTAATTTAATTTAATTCTTCTTTAATGTTTCTTCAACACCAGGCTAAAATATATAGTCAAGTTAAAAAGCAAAGTCATGGATCATTGTCACTTACATTGGATCTTGTAGAATACATGCTTTCAACATTCTTCTTGACTTGATCAAATGTATCCTTTGTCTCAGCACTAGTAGAAGCAGCAGCAGCACCAACAGCATTCTTCAATTGAGTTGTGTTTTGTTGAATTTGTTCTTGTAATTTACTGACATTCTCATCAACAGCACCACGGAATTGTGAGAGAGTAACATCTAGCTGCTTACGAGCATCACCTACAGTCTCATTCACAGTCTGATGAGCTGCTTGTAATTGAGGATATCTGTGTTCTAATTTCTCAAGGTGAAGAGCAACATTGTGTGTTGTCTTGGGAAGCAAATAGTAAGAGGCGCCAATAGCCAATGTACTGGAAGTCAAGAAACGAAGCACAATATTTCTGTTACGGGCAATAATGGTACCTGCCAAAGCAGCAACACCGACATACAACACATTAGGAAAAACTTCTTCGTTTTTATCAATAGTGTCGTTGATGTTGGTTGTCACTTGGTGTTCTAATTGTTTGTACTTTTCAACCAAACCATTGACATGTGTCTATGTTCCATATCAGTACTCAAGAACCATAGTCGCAGCTTCGTTTTTACCTTTCCTTCTTCCAGAGTTTCATTAGCATATTTTTGTGCATAGAACACTTGTTCTTCAAGCTTAGTGGGTGATTCAATAATAACAACTTCAGGTTCAGGTTCGTCATAAATACTAAGCTATTGTATCATGTTCAACTCCTTGTCATCTTGCTCAACATTACCTTGGTTCTCTTTTCTTCAGCAAAAACAGTAGTGGTGGTAGCAGTCAACCAGGCACTACTAGCAGCAGCAGTAGCAAGCTAACCAATGTCTTGTTAATTCGTGCTTTTTTTTATTTTTGTTTTTGTTTTCTCTTACACTTCTCTTAACAATGGGAGAAAACATAGATGTATGCGGAGAAGGTTGAGAGAAAGAGAGGAGAGAAAAAAAAAAAAGAGGTTTTGTTTTTTTTTTCTAATCTATCCCTGGGTGGCTTCTCAGCCAATAAGAAGGAAAGTGAAGTCGATTGACACTCAAGAGATGACGTAGGTATTTTTATCCAATCGTATGCAAGTCAGTCAAGACGATTTCAAAAAATGGCATTATGTAAACATGATGTAAATGCATATTCTTGGTTGTATCTCTATACGCATATATATATGGGCTCAAGTACAACATAGACGTTTATAGCTATTTCCAAGATACTTTCTATCCAGAAAAGATATTTTGTCTTTATTATCCAGATATGATTTCATGCTAATTTTTTTTTTTTTTTTTTTTTTTTACAACACACTTTTTGAAGCTCCGTTAAATTGGCTTGATGAAATTCTTAAAGAAGTCCTCTCTTTCTTACGTGATTCATCAAACACACAACCATGGAAGAAACACCTTTATACGGCATTGACAAAGGCAAGTGGACTATTACTTGACTGACTAACAATAATACCCATCTATAGAAATAAGAGCCAAGATAGATTCCAAGTATTCTGTTGAACGAGAACAAGAAGCAAAACAATGGATCGAACAATTGATAGGCGAGCCATTCCCTTCTCATGATTTTGCCGAGGATTTAAAAGACGGTGTGATTCTCTGCAAGTAAGAGAAAAAAAAAAGGGAAATCGAAAGGATATCACTAATATATCTATTCAGAGTCATTGGTAAGTTAGTTCCCGGTCAAGGCAAATTCAAACAATCCAAAATGCCTTTTATTCAAGTAATGTACACAACTATATACAGTCTTTTGTATCTCATATTTACAAGATGGAAAATATTGCTTCTTTTCTTAGAGGAGCAGAAGTATTGGGTGTGCCTAAGCATGATCTTTTTCAAACAGTGGATTTATTTGAGAAGAAGAACATGACTCAAGTCGTCGATTCTATATTTGCTTTGTCTCGTTATGGTTACAAAGCAGGCACATCGACTAATGTAAGTTCACTCATTCAATGTTCTTGGTTCATCTTAGTCCTATAGTATCTTGGTCCCAAATTAGCTGATAAACAAAAAGCCAATTATTCAAGAGATGCTGCTACTGCTAATAGTGCTACATTTAATACATATCAATATGGTTATACAGGTGGTGCTAATCAGGTAAGCATAAGACAGACGATGAGTAACACAGACTCATTTTATGATATTAGTCTGGTATGAGCTTTGGACAGCGTCGTAATATTGTTGGATCTGATCCTTATGCTCAATACAAATAAATCTTATGGTCTCCTTTAATAGAAAGCGTGTGTTTCCTCTCAATTTCTTAATTCAATAAACCAAGTTACTTTTTTCTTTAAGTCATTAGTAAAAGACAATCAACAAGAGAAGGGTTCTAATGACCAATTCAAAGACGGGCCATCTCGACACATTTCAACACATGGCAATGTACTCATACATAGACAGTGGCAACGATATGATGACTTGGAAGAAAATACTCTTTACTATCAAACTCATCTTGATGGTTGCTGAAAGAGCATTGCAAGGCAGGAGAATGGTTTACCTGCCAAAACTTCACGCTCTTATGCGTTATCAAACACGCTTAAGGAACCAAGTAATCCCTTGAAGTCTCTTTTAAAACTTCACTCGTGTGATCCACAACCTGATCCTCCAACAGAAATCCTGCATACAGTATTGCTTGGTATTGCAGAATACCTAATGTCTGATCTCATCAAACGAGTGGCAACAAGACAAGAAGTAGAGGATATCTCGGGAAGCCTTAGATGACTTCAGCACTGAGACTCGTTTCTTGGAAGACACTTCAAGATCTTGCTGCAAGTACCTCCTGTTGTGTTGGCAACACGCTTTCTCAAATGCAAGTGGAAATTTTGGGGAGAGAGAATGAGGTCTTGTTTCGTAAAGTTGAGCAAACGCTGCTCATTACTTTTTGTCAGAAAAGTAGATGAAGGCTTTGGCCAATATCGGGTCGAAATTGACATTGCTGCTAAAGAATTTTTGAAGAAGATGCATTCATACGATGTAATGTGTCCCCTGAGCGGTCATAATGGTTACTCTGGGAAACCAAAAGTTCATTTTTTGACACATCTGCCGCAAGACATCAAGCGTTTTGGTACCTCCCTAAACTTCGAGATCAAAAAGGGAGAGCAGTTCCATAAGCACATTGCTCATACCAACAAGACAGAAGTATACAAACAGCTGGCTACCAGATTTGGCAAACAGTACGTCATGAGGCATATTGCTGACAGAAGGAGGAGAAGGATATCTTGGCTAAATTAAAATGGTAAGCAAAAAGATCTCTACTATTATCAGCCTATATTGGTGAGCTAATGGTTGACTGCATTCTCGCTATGCATACCAAAGATGAGACATACCTCTCATATCAACCTAAGCAGCTATTGGTATTTACGCAGTAGCTTGCATTTCATTTAATCCTCGTCTTATATCCTTTGACATATGAATGAATAACCGTGATGAACTCTTATTTAATATAAAAGGATACATGTTGTTGACAAAGTATATTAAATAAGATACATGTCATTGACCTTGTTTATGATTGACTATATCTTACCATAGTCGAATTGACACATTGACTTACACCTTAAGCTTATGCTTTCACTTTAGATTGGTCAACAAATCCATCATGACAACGACATCTTATTCAAAGTGTCAGTTTAAAATAAAGTTCATGTTCGATGTCTTACTATTTTAGGTGGGTATTTGCGTGAGCCAATAGGCTTCTCATGGTATGACATCAATGGCTGTACTTGGTACAACTTTGTCTTACTAAAAACAGGCATGAATGTCACAACAGCGGCTTATATACATAAAATAATAAAAACGCGTCTTAAAAAATCTTTTTACTTTCTTTACTTTATTTCAACATGTCCACTGACGAACTTCTCAACGACGAATTTGCTGTTCTTCAAGAAGAAACTTTGCAGGCTGCTGAACAAGTAGCAGCTTATCAACGTAAGCTTATGACACCTATCTGGCATAAGCGTAGAGAAATTGTCAAGAAAATTCCTGGTTTCTGGGCTCAAAGTGTAAGTAGTCTGTCTTTTATGCAGGATCATTCATATGTCTCATGTAGATGGGTAACAGTCCTTTGTTTGCACTTGATCCTAGTGAACATGACATTGAAGCCTTGGAACATTTAACTGATTTCCATGTTGAATATGATCATGATAAACCCAATTATCGTAAAATTGTCGCTGTAAGTCTCTCCAAAACCCTTGAAGAAATCAGAAACCACAGACTCACTCTTTAAGTTTAGACATTTAAAAAGAATGACATGTTCAAGAATGAAACCTTGACAAAGGAATTCTCTGTTGATCCTGAAGATGAAGGTGTTGTGATCTCAAAGACAACCATTGATTATCATGACAACAAGGCTCCTCAAAAGAAAGACAATGAAGATGAAGAAGCTATTTCTCTTTTGGACTGGTTTGGCAATGACGATGTTCGTCTAGGTCTTATGCTTTCGTAAGTTGTACATTCTATAACAATAGTTTAACTCTTTTTTGATTAGTGAGGATTTCTTCCCTCAAGCACTTGAATATTATCAAGACGAAGAAAGTGGTGATGAAGCTGAAGAAATTGAACTCGGTTCTGATGAATCTGATGAATCTGATGATGAAGAAGTAGCTCATAAACACAAGAAGGCCAAAAAATAAAATTAAAAAAACCAGTAAAACTACATTTGACAGCATCGTTATTCTTTTTTTTTTATTGGTCATTGTGATGTTTTTAGACCTTGAAACCACGAGAAGAACGCTTACCACGAGCACGTTCAAACTTACGGCCCTTGGAACGAACATAGGGCTTCTTGTTCTTGTGAGGACCGAAACCAAAGTGCTTGACGGCTTCACGGCTGTTCTTGGCACCACGGATCAAGATGGTGTTGGCACCAGTAGGGGCACGGAGAGCCAATTGATCCAAAGTCAAGACTTCACCACCAGCCTTCAAGATACGAGCCTTGGCAGTCTTGGAGAGGTGAAGAGCAGCAACAGAGAGCTTGGGGAGGTCGAGAAGACGAGAGTCATCGGTAATACGACCGACAACAACAAGGGTCTTACCTTCCTTGTTGTTCTTGACAAGACGAGAGACAGTGACAGGAGGACGGTTGACGCGAGACATAAAGAGACGCTTCAAGACGACCTTGTTGAAGTTGGCATCAGTACGACGAGCAAGGAAACGGTAAAGCTAATCATAATGAGTGACCAAGAACACACATATATACATATATATATATATATATATAGCACGGTGTGCTTACCTTGACAAGCAAAGCCAAGTAGACATTGTCAGACTTGGGAGCTGTACGGTTGCTGTTCTTGACGTGATGGTTCTTTAAGTCAATACCCTATATAGATATATAAGCATTTAGTTGTTTCTTCAATCGTGTCGTATGCAGCAACGTCGTCCACCCTTCCCTATCTCATTTGCATCTTGTTCATCCATCCATCCATCCATCTGTGTTCAGGGTCGTTCGATTGCTGCATACAAGGTAGTGTCTACTTTACCATGGTAGTAGATGTTTTGACAGCTAAAGTAAAGAAGGATCTTTCATTTCACACCCCCAAGCTGAGTGTATCCCCATTAGCTAGGCAAAAATAGGAGGGGACCACTTCCCGGCCCAGGCACACACATATCCCAAAAAGGAAATACAAAGTCACGATTTTGTTTCCCTTTTTTTTTTATATCTTCATTGGACACGCTTATGTAGCCAACCTAAAGATTGATGAATAACGTATTTAAACTGGCAGATAGTTTAGAAGCTTTAGTAGACCAAGCTCAACCTAATCTCGATCGACTTGTGGACACGAGTCAAAAGAGAGTGTCTGAATTAGTAGACAAAAATAAAAAGATGGTAACTGATATTTTAGGTAAGCAAGTAAACATCCCCTCTCAACAAGCAATTGATGATTGGCATATAGATCAAAAGAAACAGCTTGAATCAAATATTGAATTAAAACGTGATCGTATTGCGGAATATGAAGCAAGTAAATAATACTGTTCTTACTGCATGTTCCATACTGATGTATATCCATCAATAGAATTACAACACATCAACATACCCACTCGTCCTTCTCCAAGCTCACAAGAACAACGACAACGCCATCAATCACTAGCAAAGCAAAATGACTATTTAAAATCAGATCGAGACAAACTTAAACAAGCTATTCAAAGAAAGAAAGATGAACAACAGAGTAAACAAGAGCAAGACACCACCCTCTTATCACGAACAAAAGCTGAATTACAAGCATGTATTGAAGTAACCAAGATGGAAATGATCAATAAACGTAAGCACACTCTGATTCTATTTTTATTACTCACACATCTATTGACATCACAAGCGGGTGGTAATGAAGTCAAGATTGTCATGAAAGCTATTAATCCACATGATCCTGAACAAGTGTTTAGTTTGACTCATTATTTAGATGAACACATGGATTACAAAAGTAAGTACGAAGAATTAACATTGTATTGACCATCACTAGTTATTCAAATCGACCCACCTTTACCGCAAAGTTTCTTGTTTCCATTACTAGAAGATTTAAACATGTCTCGTGATTTCTATGGCTTTTTGAAAAAGATTCGAAGTGCTTTTAAAGATATGGTGAAAGAATAAAAATTGAATCACAGAAGCCAACGTCATTTTTTTTTGTGGAACAAGGAGGTCTGCAGCAAGGGCATTTATTTTTTTTATTTTTTCTTTTTTTTTTTTTATTCATATTACATTGACATAAAAGAATGGTACAATGACTTTTTGATCCTTGACTTAAGTAACTCATTATAACATAGGGTGCTGTTAGTCGTTATCCTTATCCTAAAGATGTTTGGTAAATATAGGAATCTAAATACACCTGATGCTCATAATCTTTAGGTCTCCTGCTGGTGGTTGGTGGTCCAGACCTAAGAACTGGAAGTCCAATACAGCTGTTGCTGCTATTGGTATGGCTGTCACACTTGCCGCTGTCTGGAAAGTGTCTGCTGATAAAGAAGTAAGTTGTGCTTTGTTTGATTGTCTTGGACCTAATCTATGTTGTAGGTTCGTTATCAAGAACCCAAGCGTTGGATTCCTTCCATGTTGGTAAGTGAATCATGTCTTATACTATGCATAACTCTTTTTTTTTTCTTTAGTGGGCCAAACAATACAAAGACCAACAATAATTTCTTTACCCAACAACACCCTCTCTTGTGAAATAAACAACCTTTTTCTGTCATTTTGTTTTTTCTTATGTATATTATTATTAGTATTTTATAACTCATCTCTCTGATCCTTGTGGAGGATAACTTCAGGTGTAGTGAATGGAGATGGAACAACAGCAGCAGAATCAGACACAGTGGATTTGACAGGCACCAATCCCTTTTGTTCAAAAAAGGGTTGAAGATCGACCAATGTAGTAAGCCACAGCATAATACCAGCCACAAAGCAAGCCAGAATCAATGTATAGAAGGGATTGATTTGGACACCTGTAGGGAATTGAAGAGGCAAAGAAACAACGTGACATGTATTATCTGGAGATGCACTGACCAACAAGCGTCTATCTGGACTGATGCCAATGCAAGTAATTGAGAATCCATGGGCATTTTTGATGGTGGTCAAGACCCGCATAGACATGGCATCCATGACCGTGATACTGAGATCAACACTACCAAAGGCTAAAATAGCACCATCTTGACTTAAGGCAAAGGCTGTGATGGGTGTCTTGCTGACTTTGACTTGTTTTATACGTTCGAGTGAATAAGCGTCGTATTTGATGATATAAGCACCACGTTTTGTTATGCCATTGACCACAGCAAAACCAACGTCTTTTGTATAGCCTCGACCATATCTATAGGTACAATTTAAGAAAGAGATCGTTCCACTTTTTTTTTTTTTTTTTTTTTTTTTTTTACCTAAATGCTCTAAAATAAGAGGCGCCTTGTTTAATCACACTCGCACTGGTCATTGTCTGTACTGTGGTGCCCATGTTTTTACCACGTAGATTGATCAATGACAATTGATTTCTGACGACACTGACCATCTTTTCTTTTTCGAGGTTGATATCAACATCCAATACTTCGTCATCCGTACAGACTTGAATAGGCTTACAAAGTGCTTCTAATTCAGGATATTTGAATACACTTACATAACCATCAGTTGTGCCTATAGCCACTAAACTTCCATCTTGACTCATGCGAACCACACGCTAATAAAAATGATGATTAGATCTATAACAAACAAACTGACTTACTTGGTAATCTGATGGATTCTTGCTCTCGACTGTCTTGATGGCTTTTTCTAATACAAATCTAATGCCTGTTGTTTAGAAATGATGTATGTGTCTATAGGATTTACTTTACTTGTCTTCCAAGACGCGAAATACGCGACAATTGTTATTTGTGCCTTGCATAATGCTTTCATCAGACGCATTGACACCTGCTAATATAACAGGTTCCTTTTTTATTATTATTTCAGATGAGTCATTAGACTATGATGTTGTTTACTTACAGTAGGATGAGCGTCTAAACACATGGGAGCATCTTCCCCTGCTTCAAATTCAAATGTAGCATCTTCTTCTAATGCCTTTCTTCGAGTGTCTACTTTATAGGATATCTAACGTCATGTCAACACATTATACGACAACTTGTATTCCTTACAAGTTTATTCTTGACACCAGAGCGTGATGAACCTCCACCAGCACCTATCAATAATTGGTTATCTGCAGTGAATGTCAAGCAATAAGCAGGTATATCAATAGGCGTCGTAAAATGAGAACAAGACATAATGAAAAATAAAAAATAAAATAAAAAAAAATAATTGAATTTATTTACAATTCTTGGTAATCAAGGAAACGCTGCCATTGGTTACTGTATTTTCTATCAATCGAGAAATGATCAAGGAATTCATCAAATGTTGTTCTTATTTGATAAATGGCTTCTCTTGTAGCTATTTGAATACATTCAATGATATTGTTGCTTTAGACTCAAACTTACCTAATACAACGGCTTCTGCTTCTTGTGATTGTTCCTGTTGTTTTAATAATCGATGATAGCCTAAAGGAGGCGTCTGAATGTATTTCTCAACATTAACCAATAAGCCCAATAAGGCATTCAAGACATCAGCAATGTTATTCTGTACATAACCATAAGGATCTTCGTGAAGTGAATGCGATGTCAAACTAGCCACACTTTGAATGGCCCAAATCACCAGCTGGTATTTACTAAACACAGTCTGAACACGACGTAGGACTGTCTCTCCATACAAGGGTTCCAGAGTACCTCCTAATCCTGCCTTGAGTTCCAATGTCTTGATGAATTCAACAAAGCGTGTCTGAGTGATCTTTTGAGCACAGGTAGTCAAACGAGGAGCAGTATTAGGCACTAAATTGGTTTCCATACGCTCTGCTACATCATAAAAGATGTATTTGGTACGATCATCTAAAGCAGTATACTTTGTTTGGTGGCGTGCATAAATATCACCTTCTGATAACTGAAGACGAGGTTGATTTGAAGAAGGAGGTTCAACAGGTTTCATAGCAGGTGTCACAGGCACTGATCATGCGTCAGTCACTTTTTTTTGATAATTCATCAAACTACTTACCAGACACACCATAATACTCAATATCCATCTTGGTTCTAAGTTCATCCATCACTTTAAGACAAGCACGCATGATTCTATACCAAGCTGTATCTTGTACATCTTTACCTACTGTACGAAATAAAGTATGACGTGTCTCTTCTTGTTTCGTGGCTATCATGGCTAATTCAGCAAATGCAACCATTTGAATCTCTTTTTGTCCTTCAAGACCATCGATCAACACATCAAATTGATTGACCAGTCCATCTGTCACAGCCATACGAGAACCATAACTGATATTGTACAGACGATGAATAAAGTTAAATGTACTGATGGTCATACTGCCTGCCATCATACAACGCAACATCAAATGGATATCATGCCAATCAAATCCAATAATAGGTGAATCCAGTAGTCTATGATTATATGAATAAAGCACATTAGGCACACTACTTACTTGTAAAAAATACCAAACAAACGAGCAACTACATGGTAGATGGATCGATTGAATAGAATATAAGTCACATAAGCAAACAAAAAACTATGGATAGCTGTCATTGAAGATTGGCAGAGTAAAGTAGCAAAGCTTGTTTTGATATCTGACCAGAGTGATTGCTATCAAAATGGATTAAACACAGTCATGCCTATCGTTCACTTTACTTGAACTTGGTTGATTTTGATCACATGATATCGCTTAGAGACATATAAGAAAGTGTAATGACAAGCCAATACAAAAATATAATAAGCAATAAAGATATTCTCTTGGTTCAATTGTCGTGTACCCAAATAATGCCTATCACAAACATGATGAGATATATATTGTCTACTGAGGATATGTTACCCTAATGGCTTCAATAGAAAGGCATCAGTGTATTTTTCTTGGGCAATCCAACTAAAATAGAATCGAACCAGTGTCCAAGTCAGTCCAGCATGAATACTCAACAAGAGTGCATTATCAAGGGATGTTCCATTGCCTACATATTCAGCTAGTAAACTAGGATAAGTAGGTTCCCAGACTAACTATGTTAGTTTAAACTTGTCATGATGTATCCTTCAGTTACCTGTAAAACTCAAGTTACGAACAAAGAAAAAGACCACACCTGTCACCATCAATAAGGCAACACATGCCAGACTTGTGAATGACATCAGATCAAGAAGAGCATCTAATAGTGTCATTAAGATGAAAAAAAAAACGCGTCTTCAACCTACAATAATTGAAACTGAATCGTAATTGAAACAAGATGGTAAATACAATTGAAAATAAGCCAAGGGACTTGAAAAAGCGTTTGTTAACATAATTCATAGTGGATAAATAAGCTTCAGTATAAGATGCGCATTTCTTTTTAGCAGGCTGGAGCATAGCCGCCGAAGAAGTCTCCATTGTGATGTGTATAAAAAGAAAAAAAAAAGAAAAAAAAAGAAAAAAAAAATATGCGTTTATCAAAGTCACAGTCAACGCGGGATTTCAAGAGAGCAATGACCCTGAAGACACGATAAGCACACACATATATAGATAGATAGATATGAACAAGGATAATGACAATGGCATTGTAGACAAAGTATCAACAAATGCAATGATTAACATTAACAATAAAAAGGGTCTATGTTTGTTGTGTATGTTTTGATTGGATATGCTGTCTATCAAATAGTTTCTTTTTTTATTTTATTTTATTTTTATTTTTATTTTTATTTCTGTTTTCTTCCTAAACAATGTATTCCATCTGGGGCAAAAAGTCAAAAGAAGCAGAAGCAGAAAAGAAAAAGCCTAGAACCAGTGCTGCACAAATCCGTGTTCAGAAAGGTAAAATGAGGATTTATAAAACGTGTGTTCATCTTGTATTCTTTAGACTTGGCTGAACTCGATATTCCTGATACCATTAAACTTGACTTTCCTGATCCTTCCAACATCCTTGCATTCCATGTGACTATTCATCCTGATGAAGGTTGATTACTATAGTGAAAAGCGCTTTTTTAACTCATGTCTTTAGGATTCTACACAAATGGCTTGTTTCGATTCACCTTTAATATCAATAACAACTATCCTCATGAACCACCCAAAGTACACTGTACACAAAAGGTAATTGATAGAACCCATAGTTCAGTGGACTGATACAGTTCTGTTAGATTTACCATCCTAATATTGACTTGGAAGGTAACATTTGTCTTAATATTTTACGTGAAGACTGGAAACCCGTGCTTTCACTACAAGCAGTCCTTGTGGGTTTACAATACTTATTTCTTGAACCCAATGCAGATGATCCATTAAACAAAGGTAAAGAGCAACAGTTTAGATAATAAACTGATTGATTCTATTAGTTGCAGCAGAAGTATTGAGGACCAATCGAAAGTTATTTGAAGATCATGTCAAGAAATCCATGGTGGGTGGTCAATTGGATGGTATTCAATATGATCATGTATTAGCCAAATAAAACTCCGTTCAATAGCCTATATAAAAAAATAACCTTTTTTTTATTTCTTATTATATCTCTTCTTCTTTAAAATAAAAGACACAGAAGATGGTTTCGGGTCAATTATCTACATTGTTGGTGGACTGGACAACAGCAGTAACAGAACTAGACCTTGTTCAAGTGAAATACCTATTAGAAAAAGAACCTGAACTTTTATGGACTCCCATTCCCCACATCATTGATGATCATCTTCAACGCCATTTACTTCATCTCAATAAACTAGGCTCGACATTTCAACCAGTCAATGCAATTCAGTTTACATGTCTATTTAACCAAGATCGGAATGAAGCACAACAACGACTGGATCTTGTGTCTTATTTAATTGAGGTAAGACAAAGCCAATCAAGGCCCTACGAATGACACAGTCTATAGCAATCCTCCGTGTATGACTTGGATACTCGTTTTTGGGGTGAATGTAACAATACCACACTGCATCTGGTTTGCTTTTTAGGAGATGCACCAATGGTAGACTTATTGATCCAAAAAGGTGTCTCGTTAACGCCGACCAATGAAATGGGCTATTTACCACGCGATGTCACTACGGTGCCTGGTATTCTAGATCAACTCAAAAAATCCAGCGATCTAGCTCGACAGAAATCATCCGTGCGGCCCAACTATAGTACACCGGATCGTTTCAAACTCCTAAGAGAATTAGCAGAAGAGACAACTCAGACTGTCAAAAAACCATTGCATATCACCATGGACCGAAAGAAATCAGAAGGCCATTATTTCAAAAAGGGAAAAGTCAAAGAGACACAACAAAAGGTCTTGACAGAAGAAGAAGTCGAGTTGGAAAAACAAAGACAGAAGCGACGGTTGGAAGTTGCTCAGCTTGCTAAAAAGTCTGCGGTTAAAAACAATCCATTATTTAAGAAATTAGAAAAACGTGCTTATCCTGCTCCAGCCAGAAAGGCAATAGTAAATGCAATGGAGACTAAACAACAACCACAACAACCACAACAAAAACAAGGACAAGAACAAGAACAAGAACAAGAACAAGAACAAGAAGAACAAAAACAAGGACAAGAACAAGGACAAGAACAAGAAGAACAAGAGCAAGAACAAGAAGAACAAGAACAAGAACAAGAACAAGAACAAGAACAAGAACAAGAGCAAGAACAAGAGCAAGAACAAGAAGGAGAAGAAATTGCTACGAAACGTAATTCAAGAACCATGTCTTCATTGGTGACAAAATCATATGTTTCTTCAAGTATTTTTGTTCAAGCAGATGAAGATATACCCCAAACAAGACGATTTTCAAGGGCTGTCATTCAGAATGAATCTTCTTGTGCTACTATGAATATTGATGAAGCACAGGGTATTATTACATTTACAACTGAAGAAGAAGTTGATCATGAATCACTGCATAGTGACCATGAATCACTGCATAGTGACCATGAATCACTGCATAGTGACCATGAATCACTGCATAGTAACCATGAATCACTTCAAAGCCAAGCCAAGTCTGTGCACAGTGATGATCATGATAAAGCATCCATATACTCTCAAGAAGATATGGTCGAATCATTAAAAATAAGCGAACCCAATGTATATTACACATTGGCACTAGAAAACGACAAATATTTCTCAACAGGCAAGACAATGGATCAAACAACAGAAGAAGAAGAAGAAGAATCAGATGAAGAAGATGAAGAAGAAGAAGAAGAAGCGATACCAGTTCAATTGGCTACGCGCCTTGTTTCCCCTGTCTATCAGCCAGTCACTATGGTGAAAGAACAAGAATATCCCCAGACAATTGTAATTAATAACAAAGATGATGTGGAACCACCTGTGCGACCCCAACGATCTGATCTCCGCGCAGCAGATGAAGGCAATAAAAAGCGCATGAGTGGAAGCCAAAAGGCTGCTTGGACCATGAGTATGAGTTCATGGGCAGCTATTCTTGATCGAGAATTCAACCTTGACGAATTAGACCCTGATAAAAAATACAAAGAACAACAGCGTATTGCACAAGAACAACTACAAAGAGAGCAACAACTCGAGAAAGAGCAACAACTCGAGAAAGAGCAACAACTCGAGAAAGAGCAACAACTCGAGAAAGAACAACAACAGCTACAGACATTTCCGAACTATAGAGCAAGCAGTAAATTAGAATTAGATCAAGATAATCATTTATTTCATCAACCGCCGAATAGAACATCAAGCTTACTTGGCCTTGTCAGTAACACAAGTAGTCTATCACTCACTTCAACACTCAACTCATCTCGACTCTCCCTTAATAAACCAACACTTGTCACACCCCAAATAGAACCATTGCCCAAGTCGATCCGTCGTAAGCCAATCAGCACTCTCCTTTCCCCTTCAGACGAGACCTTGTTATCCCGTCTTTCTTCTTCCCTTGCCAATCTCGCTCCTTATTCAAATCAAGGTAAACTCTATTTACACGTCAATGGCATTCAAGACATTCTATTGCCTTTGCCTAAAGAACGTGCCTATGTACGCTGTGTTGTCAGTGATGGTCGGTTTGAATACATGTCTCGGTATGAAATCCTATCTCAAAATATTGTGTTTGATTATGAGTGTGTGATTGACACCCACCCAGACATGATTATCACTATTTCATTGCATGTTCGCCCTGACTATGTGATGAAATCAAGACTACCCTTTTCTCGGTTGTTTTCATCAAAAAAGAAAAAGAAAGAATGCTTATCGGGTTATGTACATAAAGAAGACGGTGCTATTGGACAAGCGAGGTTTGCATTAGCCCATATGATGCCTGTTTGTTTAGAGACATCCTATGTGGCAGGGTTTCATTGTTTCAATGCATGGTATTCAAGGTCATTTAAAGAACGACATCGACAGAAAAAGAGAGCAGATCCAGATCAAGATGTACTTAAAGTAGTTGGTAATTTTGATGTAGAAATGCTCTATTTACCAATAACCGATACCTCCAAGGTAAGTCATACGAGGCATAAAGTTTATACTGATCGTCCTATAGCCTTTTCCTCGAAATTTACGTGAATGCGATCAAGCCATCAAACAACTGCACCAGTCTGTTGCAAATAAGCAATAATAATAATAATAATAATTTATTTTAAAATCATTAAAAAAAAAAGGGATATCTCAAAAATCATCACCTTGGTGTGCAAAGAAGTGTGTATAGGCAATAATGGTGCCATACACTAAAACACCACCTGAAATACTCATCATCATGGCAGGAACAGTAATCTAGAATTCATATTGAGCTTACAGAATATATCGCTTTTGCTTACCACTTCAGCATGGGCTAAAACAAAAGGTAAACCTAGATTGGGTTATCCGTCAATACTGCTCATCATTCAACCAAAACTTACAAAATCCAGTGACAATAAACATGCCAGTAATGAAATGTCCTGCATCAATAATGCCACTAAAAGATAAAAAGAAAAAGAGTCAATAGGATAGCGTATATTATTTCCTTTACCTATTATAATCAGACATCAAATCGTCTTCTCCTGCACACCTGCCACATAAAGCATTGGGTAAAGGTGCGAGTATATAGGTTGCAACTAATAGGATAAGCACAAGTTGCCCTGTTTGTAATCATACATACCAACAAGTAAAGGCCACCAATTACTATAAAGATAGATTAGAACTAGAGATATACAGAAGTAAACTTACTAGTAAAGAGCACACGATAAAATAACAAGCAAGAATCCAATAGCCAAAACAAAAGCAAGTGCAATAATACTATTTAAAGAGGATAAGACTCGATTCCTATACACGTTGCTTACGCTAGTTTATAAAAAGAGAGATGAGTCTTACAAGTTGCATAATGCGTTGCTTACTTCTTAAGCCTGCCATGATTTGAATGCGCAATAACAAGAGAACAAAATAAAAAGATACGTATCATTTTCTATTTGAAATTTGAAACGACGACAATATCTTATTTATCTTTTTATTGACTTGAAAGTAAGAGAGAGAAAGCAATTGTCTCTTATTTAAAGCAAAAATACCATGAAAGGGTTGTTTTGTGATAGCGCTTTTCCCATTTAAAATAAGGTTCTTTTTCTTTTTTTAAAAAAAGAAAAAGAAAAAAGCTAATGCCATGACTATGAACATAGTTTAAAGATTAGGCTTAGAGTGAAATGTTTGATAAATTATGCGCCATTTTCTAGTGGGGTTCTTTTTTTATATTGAATGATATTACCTTACTTACAACAATAAAAAAAAAACCCCCTTCTTTTTTATGACTGGTATACTGTCCAACTAATTTGAGCAAGAAAATCATTTTAACATTTGAAGTATTACTATACTATTCTTTTTTCTTTGTTTGCATCATGAGCATACTATGCAAATTCTATACTTCTGTATATCATTCATTTAATCTTATTTATTTTGTTTCTTATCTTGTAGACAGTTACTTGTCACTAACAAATAAGCAAAGTATGGATGCAGAGAGTAGTTTAGAATAAAAAGTAACAAAAGAGTTAAATGCTTGTTCAGATACTGATATTCTTATAGTGCCTAGATGTATCAAAAGTGTTTAAGGGCTATACAAACTATTTGGCTAGAAGACCAGCATACGAATTAGCAAAGAATGAATCAGATTTCTTGTTGTAAATACACACACACATACACACAGTCAAAACAGAGAGCTTATGGATAAGAATAGACTAACAAAGGCATCTGTCTTTAATATGATACATAAAGAGCAATTTTATCAACAATACAAACCATTTGAGTTTATTTGCTCTAAGGCCATAGATCTCACTGGTACATCATCTTATTTTGAATTGAATGCTAAAGTAGATCATTTAATTGGGCCATTGAAACAGGTAAGCCTTGATGCAGTATAGACATACTTATGTCAAGTCAGTCTTTTGCTCCAGGTGACATACACCAAGTCAAAAAAAAATCAATTCAGACTTCGAAGCGTACTGAAACTTCACTCACAACCACAGATTATCAATTATCAGATATTCTGGAATACATGTGAAGGGAACGGGTACTCATAGTATAACTTATGATAATTGTAGCGCAACGTTATGTATGCGTTCAAATCATACAAAACAAGCATTTAATCATTGGTTGGTTTTATTCGACACGCTTTTTAGAGGCACCAATATCAAAATAACAAGGCAAGTAAAATGCATATAGAAAAAAAAAGCCTGAACATAGACTAGTCGTCCTTCAAGACTCTCAAACGAAAAAGGACACATACCAAGCGATTGTATTCTATTCCAATGTCTTTGTAAAGATGCGTCTGGTCTACAAAAGCAAATTGAAATCTCGACGTATTTTCAAGCTTTAGAAATTTTCGAGAAACTGAATCTATCTTGATAAATAAGTCTATTCTCGTTCAATTATTGGAGAACTATGCACGCTATCAACGCACAAATGCTTCTTATCAAGAAGACATGTATCTTGTAGGTATTTATTTGGAAGGTAAGCTGTGAAAGAAAGAAAAACAAGAAAGTGTAGTGCTATGATACAGGGTACCATGGCTATCTTTATTCTATTCGAGCATATAATAGTATCTATATAGCTTCGCTTGTTTATGATATTTTCATTTCTCAAATACTTGAAGAGTTCGAAGTGTCTCTTGATAATCATCAGATTCTTCAAATTCTTTATAGTCTCAAAGCAACAAGTGCAAAATCACCTGCTTATGAATCATGTATCTTCTTTGATAGAGACATTATACAAATGTGGCCAAAGTAACTCGTCAAGCTGCCTTCAATAAAAAGGTAAAGGACACTAAATCCAAAATAAAGATAGCAGGAAATATAATGAACATGTAGATACTTATCAACATAATGAATTCCTTTTTTTTTTGTCATTGAGTATAGCCTTTGTGTTTCTTGTCATTAACTTTAGAAATAGTAGGTATCAATCTCTCTTTTTAGAAAGACGCGTTTGTAAACTATATTTGAGATAACTTACAGAGTTTTTTTTTTTTTTACATTGATGTAACTATACTTGCGCTTATTGTATCCAAAATGTTGTTTAATACAATGCTTTTGTTTCAGTGGTGAGTATAACAGCCTTATATCTCAAATGACTATAAGGTTCACATACAATTTTTCTTTTTTTCATGCATAGGGTACCATAATTAAAAAAAATAAGGGCGTTTCTTAAAGGAACACATGCAACTGGGCTACATGAAATAAACAAGGTTGTACACAAGCGCATTGTATCTCATATTTTTAAAAGAAAAAAGCCTTTTCTCTTCATCAAATGCGATTGTGTTCAAATGAAGCTATACAGAGCCAATCCAGATAACAAATACAGCAAAAAAAAATAAGCTGTGTGAATTATGGGGGGGGTTTTTTGTAATACAAGAGAGAGCATAGTAGCATTTTCACTGCGCATACTGAGATTGATGTATATGTATATAGAAGTCAATTCATGCATGTTTATCATCTGAAATTTATGTCCTTCGTTTCAACCCAACTTCCACTTTGACAATGTCTTGATTTTTACCAGACATATGTTATCCCACATTTAACGAAAAAGAACAAAACCATCAGCATCAGTGTTGCTGTTGCTCTCTCATTAGTTTATATGATACATGATCGAGTATTCAAACCTCCAAAGCATTTGCGCCATATACCTTATCAAAGGTATTTCTCTCTTGAGTTCTGTCTTTTCTGGTGAATCTCAGAAAGAGTGTGATTAACGTGTGATTATGCCTATGATTAATGCGAAAGAAGACATAATCTTTACTTGGTAAATAGAGATTCAGAGCAAGACAATCATTCATACTTTCGATAGAAATCCGCAGGTTTAGGCTGGGCTGTCTTTGTGTCTAATCCAGAAGCTGAAAAAACTGTTTTCTTTGATTCAGCTAGTTGAAAAGAAAAGAAAAACGACATCATCCTCATGACCGGTAGATACCTTTCCAAAATCAATACGTTCTGATCAACATCATTCTGTCTTTGGTAGACTTATTTTCGGACCCAACGTTGCCTTTTTGAATGATCCTCATTGGAAATTGCAAAGAAAAGTAGCGAATCCTGCTTTTCGTCGGTCCATGCCGGTCAACATGTTTGATCAATTGACCTTGACGCTTTTTGATACGATGGAGCAACAATGTAGTCGTACAGTTGATTTTGGAAAATTTGATGCACCGATGGACATTAGATACCATTGGAAAAGCAGTCTTTGGTAAAAGAAAAGAAAAAGATCATGATGTATGTGTATTGACTTTCTATATCAGGGCTTGATCTTAATGCACTTACGTAACAAGACAATGAATGGGTAACAGCGTATGGTACTATCATCAAAAACTCTCAAAAGTTGTTTTGTTTCATCTTTCGTACTTTTGATAACTATACCTCGCGTTAGTTAGTTCCTCATCGTCGTGAACTTCATCAAAAAGTGGACCATTCTCTCGATATGATTGATCAAATCATTATCAATAAAGGAGAACAGGTTGAAAAGGGGGATTTACAAAATACTTTTCTGGAAGAAAATGAAAAAGATTTGTTGACATTGATGATTGAAAGTGAAAAAAGAGGAGAAGGTGCCATGTCCAATGAAGAGCTCAAGGTATATATTTTTTTATGCGGATTTTCATAGATTCATAGAAGTTTTGTAGAGTAATGTTACTGTCTTTTTGTTAGCTGGTTATTATACGACAGCCAGCGCTCTTGCTTTTGCTGCTTATTAGTTAGCTGTGAATCCAGTAAGCTTAAAAAAAAAGAGGGAGTGAGAATATCAAGTAGTAATTGAAATGGATAGGATATTCAACAAAGGGCTAGAGAAAAAGCTATTCGTATACTTGACGATGAACCTGTAGATATCTTGCCAACATTAGAACAAACCAAAGAGTTTGTATACATCAATCAAGTGATTAAAGAGGTACCTCTGGTTTTATGGAATGCATACTCATATAGAATTATAGAAATTGCGTATTGCTGGTCCTACTTCTTGTATCGATGAACATGAGGCTACAAAAGATACAGTTTTGTCTAGTACGCCTATTCCAAAAGGCACGAATGAGGTTGCCGATCTTTTTGGTATTCACAATAGCAAGAAAGTCTGGGAGAACCTCAGTAAGTTTGATCCTGAGAGATTTGCGCAAGATGGGGAAGAACCAAACCATAGTATGTCTTGGGTTCCTTTCAGTAGTGACACTCGACAATGCATTGGCATGAATTTCAGTTTGTATGAACACCGGGTGCTTTTATCTATGCTTTGTAAGTAGATATATGATAAACACATAAGACTCATTTTATGTTAGTAAGAAAATATACATGGACATTGCCTGAAAATTCGATTCATAAACATGATGCTGTCACTGCAGAATTAATGGTAGTGGGCCCTGTCAATCTAGAACTGGATTTTGAAAAGAGATATTGAACATATATATATATATATATAATAAAAGGGCCATGTATACTTAGGAATATCACATTCAGTTACAACTAAATACTATAATCACAAGCTTTTCTTTTCCAACTGAAGATAAAGACAGAAACTATGCTCATCATACAAGTGTCTCATTTCAAACAAGGTTACACATCTATTAAACAAATACATGCAAAATGAGCTTGACACATCTTGCTTTCATTGGCTCATAAATAATAATAATAAAAATTCGTACTTTGTGTTTTCTCCTTTTTGGATATTTACTTTTTTTCTATGAGTGGCTTCTTTGGTTCTAATGAAGCAACTTCAAAGTGGGGAGGCTTGTTCAAACAAGCCATTTCAAATGTAGAAACCACATTTGACTCTTTACTTGAACAACAGGAACAGCCCAAGACAAATAAAGGTTTTTTTTTGTAAGTTGGTGTAAAGTTGCTCGACTGACTTGAATCATAGATACCGAGACAGAAACGTATGTTGATCCGATCAGTGGGATGGTCACCACAGTTGAACGACCTAAAAAACGACCTGTAACTAAAGAAACACTCAAAAAGCCAGAATCGCCTCAAAAAGTAGAGCCATACCAAAAAATCGAACCACCCAAAAAGATAGACTCACCTCGTTCAAGTGCAGATTTGTCAAGTCGATTAGCAGCTGTCATGGCAGACAAAAAGCCAAGTTCATCTGCTTCAAGTATTAAAAGTCTAGTCCAACAAGAGGACGAAACAGCACTTCCAAATCAGGAAATTATTAATCAAGCAGAACAAGAGACCCCTCAGCCTCTATCCAGTCTGACAAATGAAAACACGCTGGCTGTAACAGAGAAAGCCATCATGCAGGAAACTCCTGCGGAAGAAGAGAAGCCTGTAAAGGAAGACCATCATGAAAAAGAGACCAAACCTATTAAAGACGAAAAAGATAAAATTCTCGAACAAAGAGAGAACCAGCTTTTACAAGCCATGGAAACCATTGCTAAATTACATGACCAAATCCATCAAATCCAAGAAGATGCAGATCAAAAAGAATCTAAATTACAGCAAATTCAAGCAGAAAAAGACCAATTAGAACAGGATAACGCACAAGCAGGATCTGCTGCTCAACTTGCCAAAACTGTCAAAAGACTCGAGGCAAGTATGGAAGACCTCAAGAAACAAGTGACTGCAAAAGACGAGAAGATACAAGGCTTATTACAGGAAGGAGAAAAGCTGTCCAAAGTCGAACTGAAACACACAACAACCATTAAAAAACTACGAGCAGAAAAGACAGAAGCAGAGAAATCAGTACAAGAACTCACAAAGAAACTAGAAAAGGCTAACACAGACTTGTCCCAAGCATCACAAAAAGATACCAAACAAACAGAAACTGAGAAACGCTTGCAAGAGTCTGTCAAACTATTAAATGACTTGACTGAACAACAAACAAAACACATCAATAAACTAGAGTCTGAAAAAATGGCATTGCAGAAAACCCTGACAGAAACAGAAGCTACGCTTAAAAAGACAACAGATAGCATTGAAGAAGAGAAACATAAGGCTCAAGTAGAGGCTGAACAAGTCAATGCAGCTGCTTTGGAAAAAGAAATTAAGGCGAATGATCGATTACATAAGGAACTAACAAAGCAAAAAGAAGATGCTGATCAATTGGAAGCAAAGTTGCGAAAGGAAATAAGAGAGCTTCAGATTGCATTACAGACAGTAGAGGAACAAGCAGGCGTACGTGAAGACCGACTGAGAAAAGAAGTGGCAGATTTACAGTTGCGATTACAACAATCAGATAATAAGATGGATGAAATTACTGCGAGTGTGGATGAAGCAACTGCACCCTTGTTGCGACAGATTGAAGCATTGCAGACACAGCACGCTTTAGCCATCAAAAGTAGAGATCAAGCAGAACAGAGGTAAAATTGGACAATCTTGAGTACATGTCTATTTATGTCTGTGTAGAATTATCATACGTATGCAAACAGCTGAAGATGAGCGCAAAAAGGCACTAGAAAAAGATGAGAAATTACAACGAGAGATCAAAGACTTGAGACAACGCTTAGAGCAAACTGAATCTGAGCTAACGCAGCTTAAATCCCACATATCCACTCTAGAGGCTCAAATAGAAGCAGACACACTCATAAAAAAAGAACTGGAAGATCGTATTCAAACACTGAAAAGAGAAAAACAAGGACTGATTGATAAGGAAATGAAGGATCAAGAAGGACTCAAGACACAATACCAACGACTTATGAAAGAGAGATTAAACGAAGAACGCAAGCAATTTGAAATCAAACTGAAAGCAGTAACTGCATCTTCAGCAACACTCGGTATGGATTATGAAGAAATGCCCAGTCGAAAGAATCATAACAAAACACCTAGCATTAGCTCAACTCGATCCAGCCTTGACAGCAATTCAACTCTTCCTACAACTATCTTGGTTGAACGACTTCAGAGTAACATTCGACAACTCGAAAACCAAATAAGCTTCTATCAAACTCAACTATCAAGCTCTTCTCAATCTCGGGATGAACTGTCTGAAGAAGTCTTGAGCATGTCACAAGAAATTGAACAGCTTCGAAAAGAAGTCAAGCGTACTAAAGATTTAGAGACACAACATCAACAATTAGACAGCAGGTATCAAACCTTGTTGGAATTGTTGGGTGAGCGTACTGAGCAAGTGGAAGAGTTAAAAGCAGATCTTCAAGATGTGAAAGAAATGTATAAAAGTCAAATTATAGATCTTGTACAGAAATTAGATCAACTACGAAAGAAATAAAAGACAAGAGAGAGGAGGTCTTTTTTTTTTTTTACTTTGTAATCTTGAGTTTTTTATCATAAAGATAGTCTGTCATGGCCAACATGTTACTGACTTCTTCAGGTGTTGCTTCTCCATGCGCAGTCCATCGAACTTTACAATCTTGATCTACTAAGAATGCATATCCAATATACTGGTTTGTCATGTCCAAGTATTTTCTTGTTCTGCTGATGTCTTTAAGAATTAAACAATAGTTGTCTTTGCGTTCTTGTGGCAAATTCTTTCGAATACTGGGTACAAATGCTTTTAACAGTAATTGTTTCAACAGATTTTCTTGTACATTGACTTCTACTACTTGAACATCTTTGTTGTCCTTGTATTTCTGCATGAATGGCTTAATGAATGTTTCTACATGAGGCTATATACAATCAGTCTTTTGAACACAGAGGACAACATCGCTTACTTCACCAAATTTGGCATACACAAATGTCATGAGTGTAATCTTACCAACCAATTTCTCAGTTGTGTTGATCTTTTGGCTCGATAGATTTTGTGCTTCAAAGTTTGGCATGTAGCCTGCTTTTTCGGGTTTCACCAATTGTGTATTGGCAAAATACATCTTTCCACCATGTTGGCGCATCTCTATTGATTGATAAGTTCATCTGTTTCGTCGCGCATATGCTTACCATGTACATCAGCAAAATAAGACTTGGTAGCCTCTTCCACTCTATTGTTCATGTCAACCCTGTGTCCTTGGGTTAGGCAAACTTACAAGTGTCGGCGTTCAGCTGCATGAGCAGCAAATGCTTTTTCGTAATCAACAAAATCTCGAAGCTTTTGTTTGTTGCGTTGAATCCAGTTGTTATGATCAACAACAGGTGGATCTCGAACACCTAAAGAAGAAGGGGCACTACGAAAAGCACCATATCTCTCTGGCTTTTGTTGTTCTTGCTGTTGTTCGGGTGCTTCTGTGGTCAAAAAACGGTATTGGAATCCAGGTCTTTGTAAGCGACGAGGGGATATAATTCGGGTCGTGTTTCTCAACATGTTAAAGAACGAAAAAAGAAAGAAGGGGTGGCTGGTTTTAAATGCTTCAATTTGTGCAATTAAAAACCAGCCTGAGGAACTGTCAAAACAAAAGCATGAAATTACATATGAAAGTGTTGCTAGACTTATTGACGCATAGACATACCAATGACTGTAATTGAAGTAGTCTCTTTCTTATCTTTATACGCCTTGCTAGTTTCTTTTTTTATTATTTCTTCTTTCGTGTGCAGGTAGTGTGTATTTCATCTTTATTTATGGTAGGGTTGCCTCTCACTTGGCTGATCATCAAGTATGATGCTATACTATATCTCTGCCTTGATTGATTGGTGTTGTATGAACTCAAGAGAGTATATAGGAATGCATTTTAGAAGCAGCCTTGTGTCTATTGACATTGATGTTGTCTGAGAAGAGAGAGTGGGGGAACAAGGAAAGTAAAGACCTGTCTCTGATTAGAATTTTTGTCTATTCATGACACTTCTAGTATAAGCAAGTAATGATATAAGTTTAGTAACAATTGTTTGCCCTAAAATCCTAATTGTGTTGATATGAATAAAGCCTATACGTGACTCTATATTTTATGATTCTCTGTGATACACACTCGATGACAGCATCGTTTGACATATTTATTTCCTTTTTTTTTTTTCCCTTTAGCCTTATGCAATTCTTTCAAAGTACTGTATTTCTTTGCCGATCTCGCTTTTCTCTTTCACCTTTACGATGCAAACGACGTTTTTATACCTCACCTTCTAGTATACCAGCTTCTCTTTTGAATTCATCACGACGAGTACTTGCTGTGCCCGCCAAGATGAATGAAATGAAGCTTCGATGTAATCCCTGTCTTTTTGTATTTCTTCTTTATTTATCTTCTTTCTGTTAGGCACCGAGTTTGACAAGAAAGGCGCAGTCAAGACAACAGCAGGCGAGTTTCTTAAATCCGATTTCTGTCAACAGCATTCCCTTTTACCTCGCGATCTGCGTACGATCGATACATATTCTGTCTATCAAAAACCCACGATCCTTGTACGTCCTGAAGCTGTCTTGGTCAATATAGCGCATTTGAAAGCCTTGATCAAATGTGATGCGGTTGTCTTGTTTGATACGTTTGGATCAGCGGATAGTTACAATCAAAGTATATTTATCTATGACTTGCAAGAAAGACTGAAATCACAAAAAGATGGTTTACCATTTGAATTTAGGTAAGGAGATATCCATGGTATATATGTGATGTAACACCATGATCAGAGCTTTAGAAGCTATCTTGATTTCTGTCACATCATCATTACAATCCGAATTAGACATTTTAGAAGGGCCTGTGAATAAACTGTTGGGGGATATCGAAGATTTAGCGGATATTGAAGAATCCATGCACGGTGATAAACTAAGAGACTTGTTACAATACTCTAAAAAGCTATCCAAGTTTGAACAAGATGCACTTTCAATTCGAGATGTGCTTGAAGAAGTATTGGATAATGGTAATATCACATTACTTTTTTTTTTCAACCAAGAATCTCATCATCTTTTATATATGTATATATATATAGATGATGATTTGGCTGCCATGTATTTATCAGACAAGAAGCAAGGCAAATACAGAGCACCTTCAGACCATGAAGAAATTGAATTGTTATTAGAAGCTTATTATAAACAAACAGAAGAAATAGCAGCCAAAGCAGAAACACTTAGACAACATATGCGTTCAACAGAGGAGATTATTCAGTTAATTTTGGATGTGTCTCGTAATTCATTGATGTGGTATGATATTCGATTGACAATCTTGACACTCTCTGCCAGTGTAGTGAGTGGATTTGGGGCTATTTTTGGTATGAACCTCAAGAATTATTTTGAAGACGATCCCTATGCCTTTGGATTTGTATCTGGCTTAGCACTGATGTCTGGTGTAGGTGCATTTGCCATTGCTGTAAGAAGGTTAAGAAGGGTTTCGAAATTAAAGCTTTAATAATAATAATAATAATAATAATAACAATAAACCCATGAATTAAATGGTAGCATGTCTTACAACCAAGACAGGACAAGGACATTCCTTTAAGCAAGTGTCAGAGACAGAACCCAAAAAGACACTCTTGACTGCACCTAATCCTCTTGATCCCATAATCAACAGATCAACCTTATGTGCTTCTGTATAACGAGGAATCAATGTCTTTGCCTCACCCCAGAGGATATGTTCTTCACTTGAGATGTTCAGTTGACGAAGACGAGCAGACATGTCTTCCAGACGTTGACGGGCTGTTTGACCTTGAGGATGATTTTCGGTTTCTTTCAGGGCTTCTTCTACTTTTGTGGCTGTGGTAGAGAGCATAGGTAAATCATCATTGTCTTTGTGATGGCCACTTCCACTGGAGAGTCTTCGGACACTTGGAAAGACACCTCCATTGGATTTCTCGTTGCGATGAACAGCCGAGAGTAAAATGATATGGTCACTATCAGGGCGAATGATGTTCTTGACAGACCAGTCAAATAACTTACGGGCATCATCACTACCATCATAAGCAATAGCAACACGGCGTTTTTCAGTAATAGAGACAGACATTATTTGAAAAAAGAAAAAGAAGAGGAAAAAAATATGCGGAACACAACAGAATTTTCGAAAGCTTCTTTTATAGACAAAATCAAAAAAAAAAAAAAAAAAAAAAAAAAAATTCATGCAACATGAAAGAACTGGTTTATATTAAAATAAGCTATAAATGAAGCATAGAATGTACATTATTCTTTTTTATTATTATTGTTCTTTATCTTTAGATGTTACAATTCAAGTTTCAATTCTTTCAGTTTGATGGTATATGTCAAACAGTAGCATTGACACTATGTCCACTCATGGGAAAGTTCGATGGTATTGAGCCCATTTGTTATTCGCGGAACGTAGAAATGGCTGGTTTACTCGTATTTCAACCAGGTAATTTCCCTATAAAAAAAAACACAAGATTAATTTATTTTATCAGCAACATTAATGATGGATATTGTGGCTCTATGTATGACAAGTATTATGATTTATCATGTCAAGACGAAATACACCGCCGTAGGTAAATGAAAGAAATAAAAAAATCATGCTATTCTACACACGCCATCTATTGAACGGTTACCAAAAATAGGCCGAAAGGAAATCGCCATGTTTTTTCAGTTATATTTGGTCACTGTATTTTTAGAGATGTTGTTGATCACGAATATCATTCCGACTGCTTCTATTCTTTATCCCGTAAAGTCAGATTTGTATATATATATATATATATATATGCTATTGTATGATTTATATAGATATATTTATTTATTTATCTAGTTTTTTACAGCAGCGCATTTAGGCTTATTGAGTGCGTCATTTTGGTGTCTTTTATTAAATGGATTTGTGGGATTTCAATTTGCAGAAGATGGGACACCAATCAGTTTATGGGTAATTTCTCACACCACTTTATCACAAAAAGTCAGCCGACAGACTAACCATGGTGTTTTACATAGTCTATTCGCATCAGCACATTTCTGGTGTTCTTTCTGGTTGGGTTTATAGCCATGGCCACTTTTCATAATGTGGGTCCATTTAGTTATATGTCGCCCTCTGAATTATGGGTTGTTTATTTTATTGTGAATGGATCCATGTTTCTTATTTACACTGTATCCCAAATCATATTGGTCACACATACCTTGGATGATCGATGGCCATTGGGTGATATTTTATTTGGCGTCTTATTCTTTGTGTCTGGTTTAGTGGTCATGCATGTCTTTTCAGTCTCGTTATGCGAACAAGTAAAGCATTATTTAGATGGTTTATTCTTTGGCAGTATGTTTAACTTGTTGTCTGTCATGATGATCTATAAATATTGGGATTCAATCACAAAAGAAGATTTGGAGTTCTCTATTGACTCGAAACACCAAACAGCTCGTTGGGAGATGCAAGCATTGTTACAAAAAGAGGAAGAAAAATAAAAGTACCGCTAGATCACAAGCATTTAGACCAATAGTATCTGTCACACCATTTTTTTTTTTTTTTTTTTTTTTTTAATGTGAACTTGACATCCCATATAAAAAGCAGGGTGGGATTTTGATCTTTTTTTTTTTTTTTTTTCTTTTTTAATTTTCTTCTATTATTAAAATGACAGTGATGCGACATATACGATCTCTTATAAGAGAAGTACCTTCTCCAAAGAAATCAACAGACACTAAATCAAGGCGAAAATCTCTGACAGTGACTATCAGTAAAGATCCTCCTGCTATTGTCTATTTTCAAAAAGACACACTTGAAGATACATTTGAATGTATTTTTGATCCTCAAGTACATCATGATGAAGAAAAAGACCACCCTGATCTGTTCCAAAAAAGACACTCAAGAGATCCTCTAAAACCATGGCAAAGACCACCTTATGTGGATCTTAAACCAACCTTATTTAGTCGTTTCAAGTCTACTTTTAAAAACAATCATACAGTGCTACAACACTAGTCATACCCTCTCCCTCTTTATTATTAAAATTATTTATTGAATTCGAAATGGGATCAATGCAGCGGGACAAAGTAAACAAGGACTGCTTATTTATTTTTTTTAAAATACTTTGTGTTCCTCTAAACAAGGCATCCTGACATTTTATTTTTTTATTTTTTATTTCTTTTATTTTCATATCGATATAGTAAGTTCAATACAACCCAACGTTTATTTCTTAACTGTGTTATCAAACAAAAAGAAACTTTATACCCCCCTTTACATTGAGATAAAATACATGATAGCCATTGTGCCTAAACAAGAACAAGAGAATACACCTTCTTTTCAGCCTTCTCTTATAGACAGTAGTAGCAGTAGTGCCAGTAGTGAGGAACCATTAACACCCATACCCAACACAGAGAACGCGTTACAAATCAAAGAAGAGGAGCATGATAAGCCACCTATGATACCAGAAGGCAACCGTTGGTGTCAACGATGTGGTACTATAGAAACACCGCGTTGGCGATATGGTCCAGCTGGTTCTTCAACGTAAGTACAATGTCCTTTTTTTTTATGCAAGTGTCTTATAGGATTAGATTATGTAATGCATGTCATTTGCGATGGAAAAATCAAGGTAGACCTGCTGAAGGGTATAGTTCAACTACATTTCCTCCTCCTCATTATTCGCCATCTTGTTTAAAACGAAAACGATCCCTAAAATCAACCGTCAAATCAAAAAAGATCAAAACAGAAGGCATGGATCTCAACCTGTTATCTTCAGACAAGTGCGCCTGTTGTCTCAAGACAGAGACACCTACATGGCGTAAAGGACCATCAGGCAAGACGTAAGTCATACAAGCACAGATTGTTGGGGGATTGATATTCATGACTTAGACTCTGTAATGCATGTGGCCTTAAATGGGCAAAAGAAGATACAGCCAAACCTGCTTCTTCGTTATCCTCTTCTTTCTCATCTCTATCTATCTCTAAACGAGTCCTGCTTCATCATAAAAAACATTACATTCAACACGGTCTCTATTCAGAAGAAACGCGACTGGGACATGCGAAACAACCTTTTTCGTTTCCTTTGCCTATCCATCAAGGTGAATTCATTCTTTCTAAACTCGTCCATTTTGAATTACCAGCCGATATTCTTCAAGAACGTGAATTGGGCCTCATCAAGGGTCTACAACAACGTATGCCTTCATTCACCCGTATTCGATCCAATATATTTGTTGAACGCAAACCTCAGACGAGTGTGGAGCCTGTCGTGTGTCACTGTGTTAAACCAGCCAATGACCAACCAGGTTGTGGTGATGATTGTATTAACCGTATGTTGTTCTATGAATGTGACCCTAAGACGTGTCCCTGTGGCGACCAATGCACCAACCAACGATTTCAGCGTAAAGAAAGAAAAAAGGAACTACAGATCTTTCAGACCAAGAATCGTGGCTGGGGTCTGCGTAGTATGGTGGATATCAAAAAAGGTGATTTGGTGATTGAGTACCGAGGCGAGATCATTTCCCATCAACTATGTGAAGAACGCATGTGTACCATCTATGTGAACGAAAAGAACTTTTACTTTTTAGACTATTGTAATGGTGAAGTGATTGATGCTTGTTATAAAGGAACAGAAGCCAGGTTTATTAACCACAGTTGTGATCCTAACTGTCACATTGAGAAATGGTAATTATGCTTTATGTGTATATCGTTTCATTCATCTCTTCTTCGTTTGATAGGTCGCTGCGTGGTGAATCTCATTTTGGTGTGTTTGCTTCAAGAGATATTCCAGCTCTTTCAGAATTATTTTATGATTATAATTTCTCTACATTTAATGGTTCAGTGGAGAGTCAACAGCCATGCTATTGTGGTGCTGTCAAATGTAGAGGCACAATAGGAAGAAAAGCATCTTCGAAAAAAAAATTATCTTAAATAAACTGCTTACGATAAAAATTCTCTTTTTTTTTTTATTATTATTATTTTTGTTATGTCATACGAAGAAGAGAACTTGAGTGGATCTGAACATGACTTTGGAGATCTGTTTGGTTCTGAAGATGAAGCATCTGATATTGATGACGGACGTTCTCCTTCACCTGTTCAACCACCATTGCCTGTGAACAATACACTTGATAACTTGTTTGGTAGTGATGACGAGTCTGAACAAGAAGAAGAAGAAGAACAACAACAACAACAACAACAACAAGAGGAAGAAGAAGAAGAAAAAGAGGAGGATGAAAGACAGATGAAGAGACAAAGAAGGTAATCCCATCATATTATCAGATTTGTATTCATATAATTATAGTACACGTATAGCATCTTCAGACGATGAACACCATGATCAAGATTATGATCAGCCTTCAAGTAGAAAACAACGCGTCGAAGTCGCGTTAGAAATGCCTCAACTATCAATACCATACAGCGATAATGATAAAGTAAGAGATCCATTCCAAATCAAGTGCTGATGTATGTATAGTATTACCTTGCTAAATTGCCCCGTTTCTTGGACATTGAAATGAATCCATTTGTGCCTGACGAATTCCAGATACAAGTACCCGAAGGATTGACAGAAGCACAAGAACAAGAAGCCATTCGTGAACAAATTGAAAATACGATTCGTTGGAAGCGAGTACAAGGACAAGATGGCAGAGAGGTGAGTTTAGTGTCCAGAAACAATGACTTATGTGCGTTAGTCTATGACATCCAATGCTCATTTGGTAGAATGGGAAGATGGTAAATTATCACTGATGTTAGGTGATGAATGTTTTGATGTCAGCAGTAAACCAGTGGGTGCACATGAACATGCTTATCTATTGGCCCATCAAACAGATTCAGGTGCTTTGGAGAGTCAAACTGAATTCACCCATCATATCACTTTCAGACCCAGTGGATTGAAAAGTGACACCCACCGTCATTTAACAGCACAAATTGCAGATAAACAGATCAAGAAGAACAAGACCAAGATGTTCTTTACTGAAAAGGACCCTGAATTAATGAAACAAGAACTGGAAACACAAGAAAATGAAAGACTCAAGGCACAAAAGAAACTTGAATTGCAGCGCAGAAAGGCAGATATGCGATTTGGGGATGTTTCTTTACGTCGTCAGCGTGATTTTGGGGAATATGAGACAACAGATTATCAACGCACTCAGACCCATAGTCGACAAGATCGTTATGAAGATGATTTTGTAGTGGATGATGATGATTATGATGAAGAGGAAGAAAGATCAAGAGAAGATAGATTAGCACAAGTGAAGCATACAGGCATGGATAGATATAAGCGTGCTCGACACAGTGAAGAGGAAGAGGAAGAGGAAGAAGAGGAAGATGAAGAAGAGGAAGATGAAGAAGTGGTTATTCGAAGACATAAGCGCAGTCGTATGCTTAGTGATGAAGACGACGAATAAAAATAATAATAATAAAAATGGGCTTTCTTTAATCTTTTTCTTTGGGGCTTAAACAAAGATCAATCAGTGTTGATTGTGTTGCCTTAAAGATGGCTGGTTTAGACTGAGTAGATAATGAATTCAATGCCTATCATCATATTCAGCATAAAGCGTGTTTATAGCATAAAACAAACCTTGATCCATGAATAATGACATTCAAAGTCAAGACATTGGATTTTGATAGGGCGTGTAGGTGTCTTGATCATTAAGTTAGGTGGCATAGAGGCTCCTCTTGGATCATTCAAGACACGATAAGACTCAATAAAACCTAAAAAAAAGAATGAATCATCTTCATTGAATGAAGCCTGTTTCTTTACCACTCTTAACTTGAGATTGACTGGTGGCACTTGGTTCTGATAGACTCCAATACAATGTATATGTATAAGGATTGATCCAAAAGAATCGACGATGCTTCTTTTCAGAAATACCTGTGCCTACCATTTTACGCTTGTATTTATACATCCAATTACCTATCATAGACCGTGTCAATGCTGCTGAGACACCTTGGACTTGTTGGTTGGATAAAGGTTCAAGTAATAAGTCAAGACTCGATCTGGCTTCAAAGTCTAATGTGGAGATAAGCGACTGCTGTTGAATGGATTCATCGTCTTCTGCTTTGGAAGACGAGTATATGTAACTCTCGGGTTCTTTGATCAAAATACCAAAATGACCTGAAGTCACGGATGGAAACACAGTCTGCTCTTCTGGGTGGTTTGTAAATGAATGAAGTTGAGTCGATTCAAGTTGAATAGGCTTGTGGAGTTGAGGACTTGTTTGACATGACATATCACTGGTAATTACGCCTGAATCCAAGGAAGTTGTACTGGGCTGTTCGAGTGACATCATGGGCTTTTCATGAGGGACAACTGGGTTGCGTTGTTGACAAGAAGGCTTTAATGGCATAACCAATGTGCTTTGAATAGGGTCTTTGATGGGTACTACTTGCATGACTTGTTGTTTTGGTATGTCTTGTTTGGATGCTTCTAATTCAATTCGCATGAAGCTCTGTTTGTCTTGTTCCATTCCATTCATTGAATGTCCCAATTCATCTGATAGTGATTTGCATGGCTTTTGATAAGGAGTCCATCGTCGTTCATTTCTTTTGGTCTTGTTGATCGTGGGCGATGAAGGCGATACTGGTAAACTTTTGCCGCAATGGTGTTCGATGATTTCCTGTGCTTCTCTTAATAGTTTATCCACCTCTATTCGTTCTTGTCTTTCTTGATCTATTTTTGCTTGCATTGTTTGGATAATGTCATGAGCTTGTTCAAGTGAGGCCTTGAGTACTTGCGCCTCCAATAGATGTTCATTTCGCTGTATTTGCGGTGAACGTATCTTTAGAGTGGGCAACGTAGGATGTTGTTGTGTCAAAGACTCTTTCAGGTTTGTTATAGGCTGCAAGACAACACATGTCGACTCTTGTTCTTCCTTTTGCTGAACCAAGGCATGTTGTAGTTCTTTCAGTACTTGTTCTTTCTCTTGACGTTGTGTAAACATCATTTTTTTATACATCATGATTTCTTGCTCATATTGCTGTTTGGTCATTTTCAATTCATTGTCTCGCACTGCTTTTAATTGTTCTAGTTCACTGCTTAGTTTCTTTTCTTGTTGACAAAGCCGTGTCTGTTCTGAACTCGACTTAGCCAACTGCTGTGACAAATCATGTATTTTCTGTAATAAATCTTGGTTTTGTACTTCTAAATTCCAAATGTCATCTTTGTATCTTTCTGTAACGTCAAAATCATTTAACAAAAAAAAAACATCCGAATAAAAGAAGCACAGTTACCTTCTGCTTTGATTTTGGTGTTTATTAAGGTATGAATCTCCTGTTGTTTATCTGCAATTTCTATCTTGAGGGATGTAAGGGCATGATCTTCTCCTTTAAGGAGATTCTCTTTGTGAGCAAATGAATGGTGTTTTAATTTAGGTGTAGGTCGTTTAAAAAACACAGGTTCTTGTCCATGAGAGACATAGTCAGCAGAAGTATGCGATTCAGGTGACTCAAGGCTGTTATTCTCTATGGATGTCTATAGATAGATAAATAATGAGTGTATGAAGCTATCCATTTTTCTTTATTTATTTATTACCAAAACTATCTCATACGGTGATATAGTATCCTATTACCGGGAAGGAGAAGTTATAGGAGTTCAACTTGTTATGACTTACCTTTTTTATAATCAAAAGAGGAGAAGAAGACATAAGAGAAAAAGAAAGTAAAAGATATCGGAAATAATGCATGATTTTTATTTAACCTCTGATAAAAATGGCACCCGTCTTGTCAGTCTTGACACTCTTGTCAATATGATCTAATCCAAGCATATCACCCGTATGGTAAGGATGTGAATAAAAGAGTGGTTTATCCTCATCGCCTTCAACAAGAGTCGCTTGTTCTTCATCATCAGCCACAATAAACAGCTTAACTTTGGCCCATTCTTTATCGTCAAGACCAGTACGTGCTTGAAGTCTCTTTTTGTTTCAACTAAAGGTTCATTCTACAAAAAAAAAAAAATGAGATGAGATGAGCTTATATTGGTTGTTGTTCATTACCTCTTTCATTACAAATTTGAATGGCACAGAATGAGTACGATGGATCGTACGTTGGAAATGAAAGACATGAATAATGCCATCTGTCTCAATATTAGCATGGAGTTCTTCATCGGGAATCTTTTCAGCATAGACTTTGATAGTGGGTTTTGTGGCCACAGCATGACGCCATGTCTTGTCATCGTATTCATTGTCAAACTTGCCATCCATCTCATCAAACACACGAATATGATCTAATTCCTGTGTGCCAAATTGGATACCCTTTTCTATCAAAATAGCCTTGAGGTCATTGACACCACTGTCTTTAGGGATCAAGATGTCCAACACCTGAGTGTCTTTCAAAGTGGGTGCACACACAGTCACTGTCACAGGACATTTGCTTTCCATCTCCTCTAGGCTGACATTGAGTTTCTCATACACTAACCGAGGGCGTTGATGGTGATGATTCAAGTTTTGGAACAATTTACCCAACTTGAGACCAGCAAATCGTTTCTGAGGCAAATGCTTCAGCCCTTGATGACGAGCATAAGGATTGATCAAGCGCAACTTGTCACTGTCGACACCTAATTCTTTGCCTACCACATGAGCTACTTTTTCATAGTCCATGTCTTCATGTAATGTCAATTCGAATTCAGGCGAATCTTGATCATACGTGTTGGGCACAAAATGAACCACGATCTTGCCGAGCTCATAAGCCATGAAACGGTCCACAGTAGCCTTGGCTTCTTTTTGTTCCAACAGGGCTGCTTCTTCAGCAGACAACTGACGTTGAATACAGAGAATGTCACCGTCTTGAAGTTCAGCTTGCGTAAATGTCTGGTGAATTTCGACAAGGTCAATCATGGTCGATTTGATTTCTTCATAGAGCAAAACAGATTCTGTAGGGGACATGCCAGCCATTTGCTTAAGGTCGTCCATGATCGTATGAACCTTGGCATCTTTACGACAATAGATGTGGCCAATACCATGGACATCTTGGTATTCAGGTCGAAAGAGTTTGATGAAGATCAAGATCACATCGGCTGAATTGGGTGGAGGAGGGAATACGGCTTGGCCGTTTTCATCGTGCAGTGTAGCGCGCTCAAGATACAGTCTTAAGTTAGGTTGAGTAGGAGCATATTTGGTACGAATATCATCTACAGCTATAAAACAGATTCAGTGTCAATAGAGGCAGGATAAATGCATAGTTAGATACTTGCGTAAAGCATGATCTTCTTCCAAAATGGGCATATCAATACGAACTGTTCTGTTCTGTCGATTGACCATAATCCAGAATCTAAATTCAGAAGGCTTCAGCTGAATTTTCTCTGCCATCTCTTGCTTGAATTCACCAAATGTCTGTGCCTTTCTGACCTTATAGACATGCACATCATTCTCCTTTTCATCAAAATTGGCAAAATCAAACGATGTATTGGCTCTAAAGGTATCATCATCTGCAATCAAAGCCTTGATATACAAGTGCTGTTCTTCTTTCTCTTTGCGTCTTAATTCACGAAGACGTTCTTCTGTCTGAATACGCTCTGCTACATGAGCAGGAATGTCTGCTTCTGTTACAGGAGCAAGCACTTGGTCTAACAAACTCTCGCGGACATAGACTAACATGTAAGCATTCGTGAATCGGTTCATGGGGCGACCATGAGGACGAATGTTGGCAAGTCCTGGGTGTTCTCCACCAAAGTTATCTTCAAGTACTTCTCGCATGCTACAGGGCACAACTCGGTCATCATCAAACTTGAACCATTTACCGTCTTTTTCTGGCTTGACAAAAGCGAAATAGTGACCACCACTTAAATCACCACAATGAACCAAGACACTAATGGATATCAGTCACTGTTCTACTTGTGTCGTTCTTACCCATGAAGAGCATATTTATGGCTCATGGACTTGTCTGCGGTGTCACTTAAATAAGGCTCAAGATCAATATGGGTAGGGAATTCATGACGGTCGTTGATCTACCAGAGATGAATAGAAAGCACAAGATGTAGACAGCTTACCTTGACCATCATGTCTCTCATCATATCATATTCAAAACGCTTCAATTGTAAGTGCAAGACAGGTGGAAAACTCTCAAAGATGACACCCTTTTTAGCATCTTGCAGACCATACCCTTCTGCCATATATTTGTTGTCGCCCTCAAGTGTTTCTTCAGTAATATAATCTTGAAAAGATTCTTCAAGATTCTTGCATCCCTTGACATTGAGTTGAATATCATAATAATCTTCAGATCTTGAGGATTCATAATCAACATTGATACACTTGATATAACTCTTCATTCTACCGACAAACAGATTCTTGATGGCTCCATCAGCAGGTGTATCCTTCATCTTTGTTTCCAGACTGTCTTGAAGCACACGGTTAAATTCTTGCACATCATGTTGTCGAAAAGCTTCTAATGAATCCCAGCCAAAACTCTTGGTCAATTCAGTGGTACCGACAGGTTCAGAACTATATTGTAAGTTATAGAAACAACGCTGTAATGCAAGAGCAACACTCTTAGAAGGCTCGTCATGCTCCGTGGGGATCTGGAAGACTGCCTTTCGAAACGAATTGGTAAAATAGAGCGATTGAAAAAGAGAATTCATGTAACATGTTGCACCTTGATTCTGTAGTCCAACATAACCCGTCTGTTTCTTGGAATTATAGTTGACAAAGTTATGCCAAAGCACACCTGTGGCATCCTTGACAACCCGAATGATGGTAGTGATGCGAATAGCGTCATTTTCAAGCAAACTATGAGGACCAGCCAAGCTTTCGAGTGTAATGAAACGAGTAAACCCCCAATCCGATTCATCTGATGTGAAACGATGTTGAGCTTGATGAACTTGGTGCCTGGTAGGTTCAGAGGGTCTAGACAAAAGAATCACAAATTGAGCACAGGCATATTCTTCTGGGTTTTCTTTTGCATTGGACAAATCCAAATAGATAGAAGCATATTCGTTTTGATGGTTTCCACCAGGAAACAAGAGGATGTTCCTACATGCTATGATTAGCTTCTACCTGAGTATACATCAATGTTATACCAATCATGACCGCCTGCTTTCATGACAGGACCAATAACGCGTTGATCTAATTGACTCCAGTGTTCAATATCCCAATGAAAGCATTTTGTCTCGATAATGTCTTCTTCTAAAGGTGCAAGTTCCTTGTTTGCAATATATTCAACTAGATAATATAATGTGAACATTTTATTTTATCTTACTATACATACAATCATCCAATACAGAATAACTAGGTGTAGGCTCTACTTCTGACATTGGGCGGTCTGTATCAAACGTAGGCACAGGTGGAAGAGGAGGCGACTGGTCTTCAAGTTGTTGGTCCAGCTGTGGTTGTTGTTGTTGTTGACGTTGCTCTTCATCCTATAAACCAAGTTTAGATAAGTAAGTGACAAAGTTGATTTACCATTTCTTTTATGTATTGGAGAAAAAAAAAAAGAAAATTAGCGTGTACACGACAACAGTATACATCGGAGTCTAAATGAAGACGTCACATCCTCTTCATGCGAATGTAAAGATACTTTTATTTATTATTACAATTCGTCATGATCCATTGGTTTTTCAGTGATTTTTAACTCTGACTTGTAAGGCCATGCTTGAACACGGCCAGAACCAATTTGGTTAATCCAAGCCAACAAATTCTTTTCGTTCCAAGAGCCAATATAGTTTCTATAGAGTTGTTTACTAGGATGCAAAAAGAAGAGTAAAGGAGAATCTTGAGAGAGTTGTAAGTCTTGAATGATGGATTGAGATTGATCTGCATGAATCCAACCGAGTTGGAATTCAAAGGCTTCAGAAGGTATAATTTTCTCTTTCAACGTATTTAATGTGCCCACTGTTTCTTGCTTGTCGTCTTCGTTTGTAATAGCAACAACACATATTGTGTTTGGACTTGATTTCAAACAAGATTTAGAAAAGACATGATCGTTTTCAAAAGCAGTCACTATTCAATCTATGAGGTTTTGTGCCTTTTTTCTTTTTTGAACTTACCTGGTTTGAGCTGCTTGATCTTCTTTGGTTGTTCTAGAGGAGGTTGTTCTTGTGAAGAAGGAGACGCGTACTTTTGCATAAAACTCTTAAGGTTTTGATGGTTTAATTTACCATCAAATTTGACAGGACCATGCTCAGGTGAAATGACAAGTAAAGTAGGGAAGGATTGAATACCAAATTCAGCTACAATGTTCTTTTCTGAACTCTTGACTTCACCTACTAATATACTGTCCTTGAAATCAACAGATAATGCTTTGTATAAAGGTGTTGTTGTAGGCTTGTTAGTAAAAAGTAAAGCCTTTGGTAATGTTTCGTTCTAAATAAGAGATTAAATATATAAAAATGCATGAATCACACCTATTTTTTTTTTTTAATTTTTTTACCTTGGTAGCTAAAAAGTTGTCTAAAGAAATACTCTTTTTAGATTTGACATCTTTTTCGTTCCATTTCACAAACAAGACATTGGAAGGTTGGTATGATAATAAATGGTCTACAATTGACTTTGCATCTCGAGCCCCCTGATAATCTAAAAAAAAAAAAAAAAAAAAAAAAAAAAAAAAAAAAAAAAAAAGTCAATCATGACAACCTATGCTTTTCTCAAGGTTTTACCTGAAGCGGGTTTCGTGAGCTCCCCTGTACGCTTATTCTTCTTTAATTCTGGACTAAACACTTTAATGGTAGGGAATCCCTTAATGTCATATTGACCACAAAGACCCTTATTGGCATCTTCATCACAATTGATGGCTGCCACAGAGACAAGGCCCTTTAGGTTACTAGCCGCTCTTTTCCATTCAGGTGCTAATCGTTGACAATGGCCACACCAAGGTGCATAGAATTCAACAGCAACAAGATGCTACATTTGAATCAGTTCATCTTGGTCAATTTCAAGATCAACTTACTTTGGTATCCAAAACAGACGATTTAAAGTTACGAGGTGTCAATTCAATCACATCATCTTTGGGACCATAAAATGCATGTGTCAATGCAAGATTGGCCCACACAGTCAACAAAGCTGTACTCAAGAAAGACGTCTTCATTGTTAAAAAGTCAAAAAGAAAGAAAGAAAGAAACAAAAGAAACAGATATATATATATATATATATACTTCATTTAATATCAGCCCATGCTGACTTGGTTCTTCATTATTGGCTGCCAAATAGTACATGTTACACTACTTTTGCATATTGTACATCTCAACAAATTTAGGGTACACGCTATTAAATATGTTCCAGCATACTTCTACTTGTGCAGCATGAAATACATTCAGATTAAGTACGAGCACTTGTTCTATCTGTTCTTTTTCTGAAGGATGGGAGCTACTACTACCACTGAATGTTTTTCGTATGGTCGTACCAGCATTTGGATCCAATTCAGGCTGCTGTTTATATAGACTCAAAAAGACTTGATCAATCATATGCCGTGCTCTGTAAGAGATATTGACCTGTGCCGGTGAATCTTCTCGAATAAACGATTCATACAAGGCCACACAATCCGGATACAGTTTGATCGGTATAGGAGCGGATAAAAACTCGTCTGAATTCATCCATGCGGGATGGATCATGGATGAACTCGACATACGTTTGACCCAATGGATAGCCGAATGACGTTCAGTGATCGATTCTCGACATTTCCTGAGTAACTGTAGATAGGTTTCATAAAACAAGACGTTTTCTGAACTAAAGTCTCGAATAGCCAAGTCTTGAAGTTGGTGCAGTATTTCGGGGTGGGCCATGGCGTGTTCAAGCGATGCAATCGATAGTTCTGGTATAAAAGGAGAGCCTTGGTCTTCTAAGCATGTCTGTCTTTTTTCTCTAGGTCGGAATAGGTGTCGAACCTGATGGACTGTCTTGTTCCAATACTTGTTGTCTGCCAAAAAGAACTGCATCACAGGCAGTACAACGGAGATAAAGTGAGCAACCACAGTGAAATACACAGCCCAATCACCAGGACTATAGGTCTTGCTGGCATACAACTCAATTGGCCTCGAGGCTCGATCAAACCCAAACCATACGACCAAGAGTATAAAGAACGGTATGGCAATAATGGCATGGACCCATATTTCTGTTCGAATCCCATGCGTATCTGCAGTATGTCTCAGGTACCATAGTAAAAAGGGGGATAAGATGCAAATAAAGATAGCAAAGAACCCAATCAATAAACCAATACCCCATTGAATTCTGCAATCGTCTTTGGTGATAGCCACCATATCTGATGGTATCGCAACAATAAAGATAATACAGAGCGTGCCACTGTAAATCACATAGGGTAATGCCAGCATAAATCCTCGATTTCGTTGACGGTTCATGTAGTATTGATACTCTGTCTTGTCCACCTTGTCTCTTTTAGCACACTTGACTCGCATTTGATTGAGTTCAAATAGAAATCGTAGCCGAAATGCTCGTATACAAAATGCAAACATCCAAGTGTAAAATCCAATCAAGACACCCCATAAAACCAACTGACAGCCTATGGTGTAATTAAACGCTTCTGCAAAAAGAATAGTGGTACTAAAGATAAGGTGTCCAATGGCACCCATGATAGTAGCAAGTACAGAACGTTGTTGTAGTTTGTGTCGTAAACATGCTTTCTTTAAGGAAAGGTCTTTAGGTGTATGTTTGGCACAATAAACAAATAAAAGAGTAGTAAGAAAAATACAGAATGCATTCAGAATCCCCACAGACAGATAAATTCTTCCTCCTACGATTTGATGATAATCAAACATGCATTTTGCGACTGATGCATTATAGTTTGCAGATAAGAATTGAGGGTTACTACAATCTGGTATGGGTTCTGTACAATAAAACATAATGAAGCATAAAAATAAAAGAAAGCGCATTTTTATTGTGTGTGTAAATGTGTCTTGATTGGCTGTCATTCAGACAAATCAGTTTATTTTCTCTCAGGTTTTAATGACAGCTGATGGAGAAGAACGCTTCTCTTTCTATTTTATCTGTTATGTTTGAGAATAACAAGATGAAGGGAAAAAGATACTTTTTTTTTCTTTCTTTTCAAGATTCCATAGAGACTTATGTATGTCTTCATATAGAGAAAACATAGTGAGCCTATCCCAAGCAACACTTGTTAGATTAGCATGAACTGAGTGTAACACTGTTTTGTTTGGCACTTTGCCACAGCCTTGTCTCGGTCTCTGGCAACCCTAATCGTTTAGTTGAAGAGTTTCATTGATGAATTAAAATAGAGCATTTTGGATTTTTATGCAAGTCTCAAGATCATAATCTATACATTGTTTGACACAGCTAAATTTGTAATTCAGGCGGGTTTTTAAGATCACATTAAAATTTCTTGTGTCTTAGTAGAATAAACTCAATAAAACTTCATCTTACTCAAAGTATCATCCCGTTTATTGTGTATATTTAGTCTGTATATTTACTACAAGTGTCTATTTAACTCACTAAACACTTGTTTTAATCTTGAAAAGACATGAAATTTAACCTTCCGATTCCCTTGTTTGAATTTACTATGTTTGTGCGTACATATAGTTCTTCCAGAAATTGTTGTCGCACAAAGATGTCGCATTTTGTATATTTTGCACTATAATTTTTCAACGTTTACGACATTATTTCTTGGAAACACTGTACAAAAACATATTGATGCAAAAATAGAGCGTCTTGAAAAAGTTAAAAAATCGTCATGTTGCTTTTATGGTACCTTTACAAATCATCAATTCTCATTTTTCTGCAATTGGTAGTCGATAGAGACATTGTAGACATAACATGTCTTAATATTAATTGTTCCTCTAGATTCATAGAATACACTCAAAGTGTTGGATTTGAAGAAGTACTATAAAAAGTATATACCATAGCTTAAAAACAAAAAACACGTTTTTGTGGCATAGCTCAGTATTTTACTAGTAAACATATTGCGTTTTTTATATCATTAGATACGCCAAACAAACATCTACTAACTTAATAAATGTATTTGATAAATCTTCGTTTTCGGATGCTTTTTACCCATTTTTTCTTTTAAATTTCGGTTTTTTTTTTTTTTTTTTTTTTTTTTTTTTTTTTTTTTTTTTTTTTTTTTTTTTTTGTATTGAATGAAGTTTTATTTGTACATAGAGTGAAGTAACTTGCCATATAATTATCATTTTTTACTAACTATTTTACTGTTTTCTTCTTCATTTTTGAAATCTTTAGTATTTCTTTAGTGATTCTTTCGGAAATTTTTTTAGGGTCAAAAGGCACTCCATGGAAATGATATTGGAAATGGCGACACCAAATTGATCGAATAATTGTCGCAAAGAAGTAATATATGTTGATATTTACATCTAAGTTGTAGATGAGATATCTCGAAAGTCTAAGATTTTTAAGGTCTTGTAATACTCTATCTGTATTAATTTCGGTTGGGTAGCCAGGGAACTTATTGAATACATCTTGCCAAATCATTGCCTTATTTCCATAAGATATTAGCAGATGTTTGGCGTCTTCTGTTTGGTTCTAACTGACACATCGATCGTTCTCGATGCCTTTTATTCGTTTTTCGTGTAGGAATTGCTTGCTAGGGATTCTGTTATGTAGAATATTGAGCCAAATGTTTCTTGTAGAATGATGCATTGGTACTGTGTAGAATTGCTTCCATTGACATGGTTTGATGTTATCATTGAAGTCGTTTGGCTTTTTTAAAAGAATGTTTTCAAGCAGTATTCTTCGGAAGCCTTGGTTGTTTAGGCGGAGAATCGCTTTGTTGTCATGTTATAATTCCTTCAAAACCCAGGGATTGTTGAGACTCTCTTTCATTGTCTTTTTCAATATATCGTAGAAAGTACTACTTTAATTGTAATTCGTTGCTAGAAGTGTGTTTCTTTAATTTGGATAGTATTGCTGCTCTACTCCATTCATTTCTGCTTTTGAAAGAAATCCAATGAATGTCAGCTCAGGGTTGTCTTCCCAATCTTTGCAAACAGCTGAAAGTGATAGAGTCATACAATTGATTGCTGATAATGATATTTGGGATTCGTTTTTTGGTCTACAGGACTTTTGCAATACATCCATTGTTTCAAAAATCAATCTAAATGCACCGTCTTTGTTTAGGAATGTTTTACATCTAGAGTCAGATAAGAGCATAATAGATTTGAGGCTTGGGTTATTCGTTTTGACTTGAAGAGCATATACCATTATATAATACAGGTACTTTGGGATTCGGTTGAGTTGCTCATAGTTGAGCAGAGCTTCGATATATCTCTTCTGTAGAAATCCCTGTTGGATAAGCAAGTTTAATAGTCCCAGACCTCCTTTAGCCTTAGGCAGGCAAAAGACATCCTTTTGGATTTGCAATTTCTTCTCGTCGACTATATACTGGTAAATAAGTGAGTTCAAGGTCGAAAGTATAGCTTTGGGTAGTAGTGTCAATCTGAGCACATGCCATAGTTTGGAAAGTATTATTGTGTTGGCTATATTTGCCCTCCCGTACATAGAAATATCTCTTGTTTTGAAAAAGGCCACTTGAACTCTAATTCTTCCAATCATTTCGGCCACAAACACATCTATCTGTTGTTTTGTTACATAAATTGGGTATCCCAGTTATTGGATATAGTCGTCAATGTTGTAGTCGTACCATTTCATGCGTTACTCGATGTACGTTTTCAATCTTGCCCCAAAATATCCATTCATTTTACCTCCATGGAGTGGAAAGGCCTGGAACTTTTCATAATTAATCTTGAAGTTTGACGCTTGACAATATGTCTTGAAGCATTCTTCCATTTGCATATATTCCGATCTAGATTTGACAAATATGATGATATCGTCTGCATAGGCTAGGATCTTGACAGGTGGTGGTGGAGTGAGTTGAACTGTTCTTTGATCTGCTGATTTGGTAGCTTAGATTGAATATCCTGAGATACTGTTATTGTTGATAGTTGATAGCAGGAATGGCTCAATAGCAAAGTTGAAAAGTACTGGTGATATAGAGTCTCCTTGTCTTAGTCCTCTTCGCTGTTTCATTGGATTGGATAGAAATCCATTCATGTTGAAGATTTCATTGTCAAAGAAAATGCTCTGTATGCATCTAACAAATTCGTTAGGAAAGCCAAACTTCAGTAGCACTTGTGTAAGATATTGTGGATGAACTCTGTCGTAAGCTTTGTTATTATCAAGCATCACTCAAACGTATTCTTCAAATTCTTGATTGTTTCCTGCTCTGGTCATTTTGGCATTGTCGATCATCATTCTAAGAGCTAAACCTTGGTCTTCAACAAAGCTTCCTGGCATGAAACCAGTTTAGAATTTGGTGATAAGCCGATTGGCGATTTTCATCATTCTTGCATTCATTAGCCTAGTGAAGACTTTACAGTCTGTATTTATCAATGTGATTGGTCTCCAGTTTCCTAGGTCTGATAAGTCCCTTTTTTTTTTTTTTTGGTAGCAGTACGGCACACGCTTGCTGACATGATCTTGGAAACTTTTCTAGCTTGATAGCATCATTTTAGACTTGTGTTATGATATCTCGACAGCTTGGTTGATTGGCGATGATATTGAGTATCTCATATGGGATGCCATCTAGCCCTGGACTATATTTACGTGGGCTTTTTTGTGTACCTAGTATGATGTCTTCATAGTAAACCTCTTCAATCAAGCTATCGCTTTCTTCTTTGGACATGACTTTCTTAATTTGGCTCGTCATAGCTTAACTTTTTGTATCAATTCTCTCTTCTGTATACAACTTGGAGTAGAACGTTTGGACAGCTTCTAGCTTGGAGTTATTATCTGTACATTCATTACTAGTGGCTAGGTGTTTCAAGATGCCCATTAACTATTTCTCTTGTCGCCGCTTGATAGTGTTTTTGATGTAGGATGAGGATTTTTCTTTGTTTTTCATCCATCTCTGACCGGCTCTGGGTTTATTTGTATTGCTTTTCTCTTCCTGTAATTTGGTGATTTGGCTCTGGACTGGAGGTAGTAGCGTATTCAAACATACAGGATCTTGACCATAGAGCCGTAGCAATTTGTTTTGTTTTCCATTCAATTCTTTCAATTTCTTTTCTCTCCACTGGTTATGGTGACGGCAGAAGTTGGCTGTTACTTTTTTAACCATGTTTTTGATCGAATCCCACTTGCCTTGTGCTAACATTGCCGGGTCTAACTTACTTTGTATATATTTGTCAAGTTCGCTTTTCAGTTTTTTAGTATATCTTTCATTTTTGGCAAGATAGGGCCTGTCTCTCCTATGCCTTTCCAATTGTTCTGTAGCTCAATAGTCAAAGTTTTCTTTAGTAGTGCATGATCTGTGTATTTGCCACTCAGGAATTCCACCTCACCATCTAATATTTGTTTGAAAGTGTTGAGTCCGGCAAATATGTAGTATATGGTTGATAAAGATACGTTGTCGCTTTGCTTTTGGATGCGAGTATAGTCATATCGCTCGCCTTGTTTATTTGTGCAGTCTTTTATATGACCCGTTATGAACTCAATCAGTTGTTGAGGCTTAGCTTTTGTTCTTGTAGAGCGTTTGATTGCACTATCAAAACTAAAATTAAAATCACCAGCCGTAATTAGGTCAGGAATCATCTCTGGTGTCTTGAGTAGTAGGTTTGAGGCCAAGGCATTTAGGAAATTGCTCGCGCAATATTTTGAGTAAAGATTTGTCCTTAAACTTCATACCCAGAAATTGAGTACAGTCAATTACAATGGAGCTTCGTTCTTTAGCTTCCGGAAAGTTAAATAGGCGTTGAGAGGTTTGAAACTACCATTCTCAACATTTGGTGACACTTCAAAGATATGTCGTTTTTGAGCTTTAAGAGCGTCTTTAAAGGGCTGGTTAGTGAATAATTGATTGCCTGAATTATGGCTAGAACCGCCTTGTTATATTAATTCTAGCTCCGATTTCCTTTGCGTAATACACCCAATTATTTAACCTGTCAACTCTTTTCCTTTCATTTTAGAATACTCTACTAATAAACCATCTTTGAAGCAAATAGACAGTACTGTATTGTTTCTAAGCACTACAGATAATTTGAATCATTCAATTACTATTATCAGAATTCCATATCGAAATACGTTGCCAAATTAATAGCTCATGAATCCTTCAAGCACATAATTGATCACTATAGAAAGACATTTTTTTTTCATATAGACTAAATTTAAGTCTGATAACGGTGGTGGTATTTGTTGTTCATTCTTGGTAGACTCTTTTTTCGTGTGGGGAGATAGAGTATGTGCACTATCGTAGTTGCTCATCTACATATGTAGTTGGATAAGCTACTTGATGTTCTTATAGATTAAATACTATGTTGGTTTCTGGTGAACCAATCCATTATAGACTCAACTTCTACAGGATTGAAAGGGATACTCACTCTTCAGTTTAGGTCCAAGATTAGCTTGGATAGATGCTAATGTAAAGTCGAATGAATTATACACTTTATTGAAAAATTAAATGCAAAGCATGAGATAGAAGGGAGATAAATGCGTAATAGATATTAATTAGCATATGTAAAATATTGACGCAGATACGAGGAGGTAGTTGAATATCTTCCCTAATATCTTCTCACTACATTTATACTACTACATATTATGACCAACCAATACCAAGCTGTGATTGATGCCAAAGGCTGTGTTACCAAGTACTAAACTATATTCTCTTAAAATAAACATCTCAAAAAACCATTTACAAAAAAACTGAGTGTGTTTAAGTATATTAAAGGGCTCTTGGATCATGATACCTTTGATGCTGAGTTTGAATGACAACAAACTGGGTTGACAGAACTATATATGTCTTTACTTTCCTTGTTCCCCCACTCTACCTTCTCAGACAACATCAATGTCAATAGACACAAGGCTGCTTCTAAAATACATCCCTATATACTCTCTTGAGTTCATACAACACCAATCAATCAAGGCAGAGATATAGTATAGCATCATACTTGATGATCAGCCAAGTGAGAGGCAACCCTACCATAAATAAAGATGAAATACACACTACCTGCACATGAAAGAAGAAACAATAAACAAAGAAACTAGCAAGGCGTATAAAGATAAGAAAGAGACTACTTCAATTACAGTCATTGGTATGTCTATGCGTCAATAAGTCTAGCAACACTTTCATAGGTAATTTCATGCTTTGGATAAAGTCTCTTTCTCTTCAAATAAGTTTTGCTAGAAGCCAATTATGAGAACTCAGTATAAGGCAATACAATGCATTAGAGAATTCTGAACTGATTTGACGAATGCTTTTAGTGTCCCAAAAGAGAATCTTGTTTTATGATAGTGTATAAAAATTCTTAAATCCATGTGAATCCACTTGAATTTCTTCTAGGCCTTTGGCGCGTATATGCAGCGTCAATGTCCTCTTTTTCTTTTCCATCTTTGCAAACACAACTCGCGTTGTTTCATCTATCGTTTCATTGCCACATTGATAAATAATTTTTCTTTCGGGCATACTCAACTTGAGATAAAAGAACTGGTTATCATATCCTTTCTTTGAGCTGCCAAAAATCATGCCCTTTAAATAAGTATGTGGCACTTTGATAAAGAAATTATTTTCAGAGCTGTCCATCACTGTCCCGTCCTGATCGCAGACAGTAAAGTCATAAATAGAGAAAAGCTGCAGACGAAGAAGACATCGGGAAAGTTCAGACAGTGCAGGTGGATAATACTCTACCTTGATGAGGCCCAAGGTCTGGATCGAGTCTTGTATGCCCAGATCAGGACTGAGTTTGGCTAATGTGGTTTTGGCAAGCAATAGCCGATGCAGGTGATGACAGGACTCAAAAATGTCTTGCAGAAAATAACCATGCCAAAATCGTTTAAAGTCTTCATTGGCCTCTGTATAATCAATCAAGGGCATTTTGTGGCATATGATTTCTAGTTTGACAAGAGAACCTGTGATTTCTCGAACAGCGTTCAACAGACTGGTAGTATGTTCGACTATTTTTAAAATAAGGCGCATATCGTGAGATGGGTTGGATCCACCCACCAACTGAAGTTTGTTTTGACATCCATTGGTAAAAGTGAATTCAAGCGTAAGGTCATCATTGGCTGTCTTGGTTTGCAAAATGGGTATTGCCTTACTCAAGTTTTGAAGAAACAGATTGTCGACATCAAACGTCTGCATGTTTTTCAGATAAGCAGCAAATCTCTCCAGTGTCTTGAGACTCAGAAAAGGTTTATTTTGCCGTGCAGACCATGTTACGTTGTTCTCTTGGACTGTATTGAGTTTGAAGTGTTTGACGTTTGGAAACTTGTTGACGATGTAACAAAGAACGTCTTCTGAATACAGTAATGCGTTTATTTCAAGTCGAGTGATACCTTGGATTTGTTTTATTTGAGTGGTTTTTAGTTTATGATCAGAGAGAGATGGATACAAAGTGATGCTGAGCTCATTTAGCCGAGCACAACGATCAAGGAATGAATCCAATTCTGTTAAAGCACTGCTCGTGAATCTTTTGATGGCCAGTTTCTCTAACTGGGGGAAATCGCCTAACCTACTCAACATTTTCTTGTAGGGATAGACGTTAACATAAGACGATATATCCGATAGTTTATCTGATATGATAAGTTGCTTCATTGTATCGCGCATAGCTCAAGCGGCCATATTATAACTTTCTAGTTCAAATGTACATGTAGGAAACTGCAATCGACTCAACTGCTTCCATTGGCCTTCATAACGCTCCCGCATTATTTTAGCCCAAAATAGACAGTCTGTTTTTGCTAACTGAAATTCTTGTAAGTTTGGACAATATTTGACGAGATCATCCCAATGCTCTGAGCTTATATCAAAACGGTTATGAATATGGAGTTATTTCACAAACTTGCCGAGAAATGAAGAATTGGTGATTGTCCATATAAACGCTCGGATCTGTTTGCTGCTCTTGAGGTCAACAGTGGTGTAAATTGCTTTTTGAGAAGCTCTTTTTCAGTTTCGACAAGTGAGTTGGCATTGTGGTATATCTTTGCGATTTAAATAAGCAAGTATTTGCCGGAGTAGTTCGTAAGATAAAGAGTCCCAAGTAAACATGAAAAAAAGAAAAAAAGAAGTATACAAGCCACTCTGTCAAGTTTTAATGAACTCTGATATGAGACATGGTCTAATAGATAAGTACCATGGTCACTTATAAGACTATTCTTGACCTAATACATCTCAATACAAAATAAATCTTAGTCAGTATTATAGGGAACACTTTATTTTTCATATTTTCCATGTTGAACCCATTATTGTTACCTTTTTATACCATTGAATTCGCTTGTTTTACACCATTTCTGGAAATAGGTGGCACATCTCTAGAAAATCAATGACACATTTTCAGTGTATGTCTTCAGTGTTACACATCTGCATGAACCTAACAGGAATAAACCACGTCACAATTGATCTTTAACGTGAAAATCAACTGTATCTTTCTCTTTATAGACTCTCAACATGACATGTATCACACATTGTATCTTTGATATGGCAAGTAGAACATAAAATGTACAAGGCAGACTATTGATGACATAGACAGGATGGTCTCCTATTGGATACTGAGCGTGTCTACACAGAAGTGACTCAGCAAATCCTAGACAAGTACGCTGATGGTGTCAAATTCACTTGGGAGGTCAAGAGTAAACTCATGGGAAGAAATGGCGATGAGGTTTGGTTATTAAAGTGTTGTGTGTATCTCATACTTTCTTTAGTCTGCTGCTATGGTAGTCGACACTTATCAACTACCCATGACAACTCAAGAATACTTGGCCATGACATCCATCATTCAAGAGGATTTGTTTCCTCATGTCAAGCTTTTACCTGGTGTAGAAAAGTTAGTACGTCATTTAAAAGCACATAATATTCCTATTGCTGTTGCTACTTCTTCTACACGCGCCAAATTTGAACTCAAGACATCCTTGAACAAGGAGATCTTTACATTGTTTGATGTGATTGTCTGTGGTGATGATCCCGAGATTAAGCGAGGCAAACCTTCTCCTGATCTCTTCTTGGCTGCTCAAAAGAAACTAGGTCATCCAGCTTCTGAAAACTGTCTTGTGTTTGAAGATGCTGTGAATGGAGTCCAAGCTGCTTTGAATGCCAGCATGCATGTAAGTAAGTCTATGCTATCAATGGCACTCTAATCTGTCTTAGGTTGTCTGGATTCCTGATGAAAATATCAAAGCTTTAACAGGAGAACATGATCATGGTGCTACCTGTGTTCTTCCATCCATGGCTTACTTTGTGCCTGAAGCATTCTCACTTCCTCCTTTTAGAGAATAATAAAGATAACTTTTTTTTTCATTATTGTTATAGGAAGATAGGATCAACATTAGAAGACCTGTTGAAAAAAGAAGCAACGTCGTCTTGAATCGAACTTGATGGGGATGTTTGGTGGCGAGTGTATCGAAAAGACATGAGAGTGCTAGTAAAATACAGCGCAGGTGTCAATTTACTTGTTGGAGCCTATTGTATGTATCCAATGGCTATGTTTACATGTCTTTCTTTTTTTTTTGCTGTATGTCATTCTTGTTTGACTTGATTAATTTCTGTCTGTAATTGTTGAATTCCAATTGTTGCTGATGAACAATATCTCTTCGTCTATTGGACTCATCTTCCATTTGTTGTTTAAGGGTGACTAATTCAAGTAATACTTGACTACTGCAAGCTACTGTTTATATATATATATAAATGACATATTATATCTTGACCTCTTTTACGCTTATGAAGCAAATGCATGGCTACACAGAAACCATTTATAAACAGCTTTATCTAATTTAATTCATCCGTTTTAATCTGTATCAAATGGATCAGAATACGCTTGATAATTTTGCTTTTTCTTCAGAAAAGATGTGATAAGGAAGCATAGGATGTATAGGCAGCATGGATGTAAGATGTCCTGTGGCTTCAGCATAGCCATGTTGTATTCAAGTGCCATATAAAACTCATGTTGAGTCATAGCTTTTATTTGTTTTATGTACTGCTTGCCAAATTTGTGGTTGAAATGAGATATTGGAAATAAGGTCTACTCTTTTTTTTTTTTTACTTCTATATCTGCTGCTTGGAATAGTTGTTCTTTCTTGAGCAGATAGCGCTCCTCTTGTTTATTTAAATATCATCTTATCTGTCATTCTACTATGCATAGACTGAAAAGAAAAATGAGCATTTACATATATAAATCAAGCGTTGGGGCTGTCAAATCTTTTTCTTTTTTTTTTTTTTGTTACTATTATGACTACAGCACTTGTTCGATTCAAAAAAGCCATTGCTCATCAACTATCCAAACATACATTATGGAGTTCGGAAGAGATCATGTCTTTTATGCGTCCACATAAGCACTTAAAAGAAGGTCATATTGCCATTGCATTACCCAAGCTGAATACAACACAGGATATAGTGTCTCAAGTAAATCTAGATCTGTATATGATACTCAGACTGACATGGCTAGTTTCAAACTGATGACTATATAGAAGAAATACAGGCACATCATTCAAAACTAGTGTTTCGATTCCATCAAGTGGAGTTTATCAAGCAAGTATTGCACCAAGTCTATCAAGACAAGTCAGATTATGGATGGGCCCATCAGCCCAAGCAACATCAGACAGTGGTCATTGACTATAGTTCACCTAATATTGCAAAACCCTTTCATGCAGGTCATTTAAGAAGTACGATACTTGGTCATTTTGCAGCTAGAATTCATCAAGCATTTGGTTATCAAGTGATTGGTATAAACTATCTAGGAGACTGGGGGAAACAGTATGGTAAAGCAGATCCATGTAAGACCTACAGACTCAATCGTACTAGGGTTATTGGCTGTAGGATTTGACAAGTATGGAGATGAAGAGCAGTTAGCACTTGATCCAATCCATCATTTATATCAAGTCTATGTCAAAATAAATGCAGAAGCAAAAGAGAATCCTGATATTGATAGACAAGCCAATGCTTATTTTAAGCGCATGGAAGAAGGTAAACATAGACAATCTCACAAAAAAAAAGACAAAACTAACAAGCTACAGGGGACCCTGAGAGCATAAAACAATGGCAACAATTTAGAGATATGAGCATAGCATCTTATAAAGAAATCTATAGACGACTTGGTATCAAATTTGATGTGTATTCAGGGGAATCACAAGTAAACCCCTTTATTGCTCAGGCACATCAATTACTTCAACAAAACCAACTGCTGACACAAACAACAGATGGTGCTTGGACTGTGGATTTAGAACCCTACCAGTTAGGCAAAGTGATTGTCCAACGTGCAGATGGTACATCGCTGTATGTGACACGCGATTTAGCCAGTATTCTGATGCGACAACAGACCTATGGATTTCAAAAGGCATTGTATGTGGTGGGGAGTGAACAAGCCAAGTATTTCAGTCAATTGTTCAAGACAGCGAATCTGATGAGCCCATTGCCTATGGATCTACAACACATTGAATTTGGTCGTATTCAAGGCATGTCCACCCGTCAAGGGACAGCTGTGTTTTTGCAAGATATTCTGGACACAGCCAAAGCCAAGATCATGGAATACATGCAAAATGACGAAAAAAAGAGTCAAATCAAGGACTTGGAGACCATTGCGGATCAATTGGGCATATCTGCTATTTTGATCCAAGACATGAAGTCAAAGCGAGCCAAAGACTACAAGTTTTCTTGGGATCGTATGACAGATGCGCGAGGCGATACAGGTGTATTTCTACAATATGCTCATGCAAAAGCGTGTGGTATTGAACGTAAATCCAATGTGGTTGTTACATCCGATGTGGACTATGCCTTATTGAAAGAGAAAGAAGCAGTTGAACTTGTGTATTCCATTGCTCAGTTTCCCGAGATGGTGGAATCCGCATTGGCTACATTAGAACCTTGTACTATTGTGAATTATCTATTTAAACTGTCTCATGCGACTAGTTTGGCGAGTCGTTCATTGCGTGTCAAAGACATGAATCCTGAGATTGCCAAAGTGCGTATGTTATTGTTCTGGTCTGCACGCATGACATTGAGCAATGGGTTACATTTGTTGGGCATTAAACCTATTCAACATATGTAAATAAACAGTCTTGCGTGACTTTTTTCGCGTAGATTCTCCTCCTCCCCTTTTTTTCGAATATTTTTTTCGTGTTAACGCGTTTTTTTTTTTCTTATCAATTCAACATGGCTTCCTTTGGTTGGGATCAAGGTCAAATTTATTCTACATCTGTTCTTCCTGGTGAAGAACAAGTAAACTCTCACTCTGAAATTACTGGACTTTTTTATGAGTTTATTCAAAACTTTCGTCTCAACAACAACTATATCTATAGGTAAAATGACTCAGATATATATACATATATACTGACATGAACTTGACAGAGACCAATTATCGCAAAACCTGTTGACTAAGCAATACTTTGTTGAAGTTGATATTAACCATCTTATCAATTATAATGCTGATCTCGCTAATAAGTTGACCAATACACCTGCTGATTACTTGCCCTTGGTAAATACATACAGACATGTATAGAAGAAACTCACAACTTTAGTTTGAAAATGCTGTCAAAGAAAGTGCCAAGCGTATCTTGTTTGCTAACCCTAACACGGTCAGTAATATGGATGTACCTGATTGCCAAGTGACACTTCAATCAGATGCCAATGTGATTCAAATCCGTGACTTGAATGTAAGCATAAAAACAATAGACCTGGACTCATACTTTTTTTTTTGTTTTTAGTCTGACTATATTGGTAAACTAGTCCGTATTCCAGGTATTGTCATTGGTGCTTCTACCCTGAGTTCAAGAGCCACTCAAGTCACGGCTGTGTGTCGTAACTGTCGTCATATCAAGGTGATTCCCGTGACAGGTGGCTTTTCCTCTATTGTTTTACCTCGTAAATGTGATTATCAATCCCCTACAGGCGATAGAAACGATTGTCCTATGGACCCCTTTGTGATTAACCATGACAAATGTAAGTTTGTAGATTCACAAGTGATCAAGTTGCAAGAAGCACCCGATATGGTACCAGTAGGTGATTTGCCTCGCCATACCATTCTGAATGCAGACCGTTGGTTGACGAACCGTGTGGTTCCCGGTATGCGTACTGTCATTATGGGTATTTATTCTATCTTTCAAAACAAAGCTGTGGTAAGCTCAATGATCCTCATGTATATATATTGAACCACTCTCTTCTCTGTAGAAATCCTCGGGTGCTGCTGCTGTAAGAACACCTTATATTCGTATTGTGGGTCTTCAGATTGACCAACACAATAATGGACGTGGCAAACCTCATTTTACAGATGCTGAAGAAGAGGAATTCATTCGTATGTCTCGTCAACCCGACTTGTACGAAACATTCAGTCGTAGTTTGGCTCCTTCTATCTTTGGTAATATGGATATCAAGAAAGCCATTACGTGTTTATTGTTTGGTGGATCTAAAAAAGTGCTTCCTGATGGTATGCGACTTCGAGGTGATATCAGTGTTTTGTTGCTAGGTGATCCTGGTACAGCTAAATCTCAATTACTCAAGTTTACAGAGAAAGTGGCACCCATTGCTGTCTATACTTCAGGTAAAGGCAGTAGTGCTGCTGGTTTAACTGCTTCTGTGATTCGTGATCCTAGTACTGTAAGTGTCTATCTACACATGCCATCTCTCATCATCATCATCATCATCATAGCGTGACTTTTATTTAGAAGGAGGTGCTATGGTATTAGCAGATGGAGGTGTGGTCTGTATTGATGAATTTGATAAAATGCGTGATGAAGATCGTGTGGCTATTCATGAAGCCATGGAACAACAAACAATTTCGATTGCTAAGGCTGGTATTACAACCATTTTGAATTCACGTACTTCTGTCTTGGCTGCTGCTAATCCAGTCTTTGGTCGATATGATGATATGAAGAGTGCAGGTGAAAACATTGATTTCCAGACGACCATTTTGTCTCGTTTTGATATGATTTTCATTGTTAAAGATGATCATAATGAAAACAGAGATATGTCGATTGCAAGACACGTATTGAATGTGCATATGAACCGACAGACACAAGATGCTGTTATGGGTGAGATTGATTTGGATAAAATGAAAGCTTATATCAACTATTGTAAAGCGTAAGTAATTAATTGTTGAAGGGATTCAAAAGCTTATTACTCCATAGAAAATGCGCGCCTCGTTTAACTCCTGCTGCTGCTGAAAAACTAAGTGCTCACTTTGTCGCTATTCGTAAAGAAGTCAAGGATAACGAAAGAGACAATGAGATTAGATCCACAATTCCTATCACTATCAGGTAATAGAATAACATACATAGAGTCATGGCTCATACGACCATAGACAATTGGAAGCTATTATTCGTATCTCTGAATCCTTAGCGAAAATGACACTGTCTCCTTATGCTACTGAACATCATGTGGAAGAAGCCCTGCGTCTCTTCAAGTTCTCTACCATGGATGCTGTCAAAAGTGGTGGTGCTGATGGTATGACTCGCACTGAAATCATGAGTGAAGTTCAATTGATCGAAAAAGAACTTCAGAAGCGTATTCCTATTGGTTCACAAGTGCCTGTGGCTAGAATCAAGGCTGATTTGGCTCGTAATGGTTATTCTGAAGCTGCTATCAATCGTGCCTTGACTATTCTTAACCGTAGAGATGTCTTGTTGTTTAGAGCTCAAGGCAAAATGGCTGTCAGACAATCTATTTAATACTTTTTTTTTTATACATATATATATACATGCATCTTGTGAATAACTTAATACATTCTTTTTATTATTATTATCATTATCATTATTACTACTACTATTATTATGAAGATCAATCTCCTCCTCCTCCTCCTCCGCCAGAGTCTCCTCCCCCACCAAAGTCACCACAGCCACCAGAGTCACTATGACCACCACTCTGGTTACTAGAATGATGATGAGGGGTAGCATCATAATGATAATTTGAGTTGACGTAGTGGCGAAGATCGTCTTCATCAAAACTTGATTTTGAGTTACAGTCTTGTCCATGATCATTATTAGTGGGATAACTGGTAATTGTATTTTGTATGTTAGCTTGATACAACAGATCAAATTGAGTCTGACGATCATTTGTGGATGTCTGACCACCTCCTTTGCCTTCCTTTTTGTTATTCTTGTTTAAAAGTGAATTCTAATTTGATTTAATATGGTTTTGTATTGAGGTTGAGTTACTTGCCTTAAGTCGAAGAATCCAGCTTTTAGGAGTGTTCTTTGTCTTTTTTTCTTCAAGCGCCATAAGGAAGAAAAAAAACCCCCCTAATATCATGTTGGTTTATATATGCTTAGCTTATTCATGTGAACATTACTGCTCCACTTTTTGTAGCTAAGCAAATCCTGCTCAGCAATTTTTATAAATCACAAAGTACATTTTATTAAACATTAATAAAAACAGAATCAAAAACAAAAGTAAGTTTTTGTTTTGTCTAATATGAAATAAAAAATATACCTTGGTCAGTGTAACATGAAAGGTAGATGTGAAAATCATATTGTATTGAGAAACTTTATTAAGAACATCTTTTCTTGTTTGCAACTACTTTCTTTATTACACTTTAATCTTAAATTATAATAACGATTGTAGTTTTTATTGCCTCGAGAATTACATCGTTTTTGAGGGCTGTGATAATTGGTGAAATTGCCATTGGCTTGTTACGCAAAATAAAAGTGCAATCACTTTTTAGCTTTCCTCCTCCTCCTTTTTCTTTCTATATATGATGCAATTGTCAACAGATAACTCAGTGTATTAAATCAATCTACTCCTAAGCATGTATACCTGATTAAACAGCTTTTTAATTTGTTTCCGTTCCATTGTTTTTATTACAAAAACTGTCTATTCATGTCAATCACCAAGGAAGTTCCTCTCCATTATACGTAAGGAACTCGCCTATGTCTTTAGACTTTAGCTAAACCAGAAATTCTAGCTACCATAAGTGCTCTGAGACCACTAAAATCAGTACTGACCCAACCAGGATCAGATGCATATACAATGAAGTCTTATTTAGCTGATTGAGTTGCCGTAGTTCGAGTAAGTATATTAAGGCCTGACTTCGATACATCATACAAGACTACTATATTGGGCTTTTAATCTGAGAACTACATATGAAATAATACACGTTGAAGATCTTCCGTGGGCCTCCCTTGCGCATCAGAGGCAAAAATGCATTAGTTACATAAAAACATTGTTTTGAATAGATTCAGTGTCTGTCACATCCATATTTACAATAGTTGTCTTGCCACTAAGTCCTAATTCAAAGAGCCCCGGTGATTTGTTTAGATGTCTAGCAGCAGCAAACACTTTGTGGCCAACTATTGTTGCTCGATGGACTAATTCAAATTTAATGTCATGAAAAAATCCATTAACGACAAAAGCAAGAGCTTTGCTTGATATGATTGTAATAGAAAAAAGACAACAAAAAAAAAAAGAGAAAGTGCGGATGATCTCAGAGAATAGCTTTATACTTACTATCTAGTAAACTGAACGAGGCACTAAGATTATCAAGTATGATTGAATGTGCAAATGTCCGGTTTGATATGCTGCTTACAACCATTGGCTGCATTTACAAGCTGACAAATAAAAGAAAAACTATTGGCCAAAATATATACGACACCTACGCTTTCGAAACAAAGATATAAGTAAAAACATTTTATATTTAGCTTCACTTTGAAGCAAGTACTGTAAAACCTTAGTTTTCTTTGTACCTTATTCCTCGTTACTGAGGAAAGTCGTCTAAGATTTTTTTTTAAGAAAAAAAAAGCGAGTGATAATGAAACAGGTCAAAACAAGTGAAGGTCAATGTATTTCTCTATTATTCCAATGCTTGGCATATACTTATGCTTTACCGTGATCAAAACTTTATTTCCATAAAAAGCTTGATATGTGCTAAACATGAAATTGATGAGTAATATTGGAGAACTATACAGTTAATTTTCCATGGTCATGATTCCGCAGCAATCATGCCTCAAAGTAACTCACTACCCAAGTAAAAACTGGTGCTGGACCATTTCTAGGATCCTTTGGACATAAAACTGTACCTTGCTTACAAATCTACGCGCATGTAGTTTGTGCACAGATGATTATCTTGGGTTACACTCTTCTTTGATTAATCATGCACTGAACTTTGATTATTAAGCAAAACATTATATAAAGGGTCGAGTACGATCTTGATTTCCCTCATTATTCTACAAACAATGACAAAACCATTTCCATTTCCTCCAAACCTTGCTGCTATCGTCAAGTCTACACTTAATTTGAAGACAGAAGAAGAAGCCTGTTTACCACACAATGCGCGTGCATTCTTTGACGAAATGTCTGGTATGACGTTTGAAAGGCCAGACAAAGACGCCAAGAAGCAATATAAGGATGTTGAGAAGCAAGATATGGTAATTAATTCCAATGGTTACAAGGTCAAAATTTCAATTCTTCGACCTATGGGTTCTAAAGATCAAATCTTGCCTGTTGTATTATTTGTGTAAGTGAAGACATGACCGAAAAAGAAAATTATACTCACCATTGTTTATATAGACATGTATGTATCTAATTTATACAAATCATAGATAGATATTAACCTTTCTTCTTTTCCTAATTAAGGGAGGTGGTTGGGTCACTGGGTCATACAATACACATATCAGTCTGACAAGTATGGTATGTACAACATATGCCTCTGTGCTTATTTTAACATGGTTCATTAGCTAGTAAATATGATTCCTGCTTGCCTTGTCTTTGTGGAATATAGTCTTAGTCCTGAAGTTAAGTTCCCTGTTGCTATTGAAGAATGCTATGCTGCTCTTTGCTGGGTTCAAGAAAATGCAGAATCAATTCATGTAGATCCTCACCGCCTTGCAGTATTGGGTGACTCAGCTGGTGCTAATATTTCTGCATCGTTGACGAGTAAGTTTAAACATTTACTTGATATATAAGTCTAATACCATCGATTCTAGTCTTTGCTAAACAAAAAGGAAATAATGGCATTTCATTCCAAGTATTGGGCTATCCAGTTTTGGATACCGATTTTGAGACAGAGTCTTATCAACAAAACCACGACGATATGATTCTACCTCGCTCCAACGTAAAGTATTTCTTCGATGCTTATCTCAACAACTTGGATGAATACAAGTCACCTCTGGCTACACCTCTTAACAGCCCTCTTGAGCTGCTCCAGGGTTTGCCTCCTGCATTGATTCTTACTGCTGAACTCGACGTATTGAGAACGGAAGGTGAAATGTACGCCAAAAAGCTAAAAGAAGCAGGTGTCGATGCTGTCTGTGTTCGTTATTTAGGCAACCATCATGGATTTCTTTCTCCTGCTACATTTGATAGTTCTGGACTTGCAGCTCTTGGACAGATCGCTAGTACATTGAATAGACATTGGAATGAGAATTGATGTAGATGTAATAAATAAAGGTTTTATTTTTAGAAGGCTTCAAACTACCAATTAAACTTCATCATGTTGAATTCATTGTTGCCTTTGAATCGTTCTTTTTCGATTGATCTGTATTCAAGCATGCATACTAAAAGAAAAAAAAAACAAAGACAAAGTATACTCAATAAGAAAGGGCATCTTAGGTTGATATTATGAATAAAGTGTGTATGAAAACGATTTTATACAGTAATTACCATGGAATTTCTCTTCCACGATAATCAAAGAACTTGCCATTGTCTTCAAGCTTTAGCTTAGCTAAAACTTCCAGCTGTGCCTTGACAGAACGTTCAGATGACATGGGTGCTTTGATACCACCAAAATCAGTCTTGACCCAACCAGGATGAGATGCATAAACAATAAATTTTTCTTCAGCCAATTGACTTGCTGTCAATCGAGTAAACATATTAAGGCCTGCTTTAGATACACTGAATGCAACTGCAGTCTTGATCTGGTTGTCTGGGCCTCGAGATTGGATAGAAGCCAACACAGAAGACATGTTGAGAATCTTTCGTGTCTCTGCCTTACGCATCAAAGGCAAAAATGCAGTGGTTACATTAGCTGCACCAAGCATATTGGTCTTGAACTTGGTCAAATAATCCTCTTCAGAACTAAGCAACCATTCATAAGCAAAGCAAAATAAAATAAAAAGTTCGCTTACGTTTCAAAGACTGTCTTGGATCCACCAGACCCAATACCTGCATTATTGATCAACACATCAATACCATCAGGAGCAATGTCTGTAATATGAGAAACAGCCTTTTGAACAGATTCGTTATCTGCTACATCCAATGATACACCAAATACTTTTTCTTCGTCTATCAATTCACCAAGTCCTTCTGATTGATCAGGACGTCTGGCAGTCGCAAATACCGTGTTGCCACCAGCTGCTATTTGACGGACAAATTCAAGACCAATGCCACGGGAAGAACCAGTGACGAGATAAGTAAGAGCTTTGCTTGACATAATTAAGGTAAAAAAAAAGGTAAAAAAAAACATGTAGCCATAGTTTTAGCATATTTTATATCTATTTGGTCTCAGTGAGACCTGATCGCGTCATGCAAAATGAAACATCGGAAATGCTCTGATCGATTAATTTTAAATGTACTTTAATATGCAAAGATTGGTATAGTAAAAAAAAAAAAATAGGGTGCATATTAACCTAGAGTACATTTTTGGTTTACTTTATCGAAAATGGTTTGAACCAAGTATTTGCTGTCACTCAATTCAAGGTTGTAACTACCACTTGAAGACGTGGTGTAGTTACCAAACTGCTCTTGACTTGTGCCTTGGCTTGAACAAAAGTCACCTAATTCAATCGTAATGTTACTTGTCTGGATTTCCCAAGCATTGTTTCGAGGATCTGTCAAGATATCTTGAATTTCATGAGAAAAGATAGTGATGGCTGCATCGATAGCTGGGGAGTTGTTGGGTGATTGAGACTTGTTAATGGTAGGAATACAACTACAACACAAATAATTAACTAGGATGATACTGCAAATTACTTACGTATTAGGGCAAACACCTGGATAGCCAATAAACATGTATTGAAACTCATCACTGTATCCATTGTAACCACAATTGACTGAACAGAATTCAGAGTCATTCACATCAGGACCACCCATAATGATGTAAATGCCTTCACTATCAAGACGATTGACAGGTGAAAGATAGCCTGAATTGACAGCATCAAGTACAATTTGTTTGTGAACTGAATTGGTCAAATTGAGTGAATGACTGCCAGCATCATTGACAGCCGCTGCTAAATTAAGTGGTCCAGTAACTGATTTACCATTACTGTCAGAGTATTGATTCACTAAAATAATAAATTAATGATTTTTTCCCTTTTTTATACAATTACATACAAGTCTTAAACCAAGGTGAGAGAGAGATGGTGTCAACAAATTTCATAAATGTCTGTTGATCTTGTTGAAGTTGAGTAGAAGACCAATTACCGTAAAAGATGATATAGACTATAAATAACAATGAGCCATGCTTATTTCTCGAAATCTTTTTTTTTTTTTATTTTACCATTTACTTTGTCGTGAAGAATACTGCCACCTTGATTTTTGAAACTGTTGCCATATTGTGAAATAATAGCAGAAGTAGTATTTGTACTGGTGGCAGTTTGTTGAGCCGAAGAGGTGGTAAGTAACGTCAAGATCAAGAAGATGAAAAGAGGTTTAAATCTCATTTTCTTTATAAAAGAGTAAAAAGGAGATAATAGAAAAAAATTAGGGCTAGGGAAATAAGTATCCATTTTTGGCTTAAAGAATAAAGGTGGAGTCTAAAAAGATGAATGAAAAGCAAGTTTTGATTCGCCTATTGGTAATTATTCAAGTAGGTTTAATTACACCATTTCCGAAAATAGATGGCACACTGGGTGAAAAAGAGTACACAAAAATAGCACATTTGATTGCAACAGTTGTACAGTTTTAGAGAGTCTTTTTGTTCAAATATGTTTGTAGATTTGAGTGAGAATAATGACAGAACTCTTCTCCCCAAAGATTACCCAAATAAACGCTGTTACAAACATCCCTTCCTCTTTAGTAGTTTTTCTCTCTCCACCTTACTCTCAGCCACAGACCAAAATTGCTCAATTAGATTGAGCTCTGGACAATAAGGCGAAAGATATAAAATAGAAACGTCTATATAGAGAATTTGTTCCGACATTCGTCAAATTGACTAACAGAATAACAGAATAAAACTGCCCCAAATGCTCAATAAGAACAAACACATATATTGATTATTGTTCTAAAGAAAACAGGACCTTAATCGTAACGGTTTTCAAATGAGACGCTCTTTATTTTTGGTGAGTGGATGATTGTAGGTATAATCCTGGCTCGAGCTGAGCTCAACATGGTTTTCTTTAAGTTTTTAGGGAGCTTTTCGTGATACTTCAAATAGACGTAATTGATCAAATGGGTGTTAATAGAGGACAAATTTGCGGAAAGAACATTGCAGAGTAAAGTAAAACGAGACATATTTTAAAGCTAATAGCAATTGTATCTTTAATATCTATATATCTATGCTTCTTTTTGGAGTGAATGGAGTGTTTGTTGTTTGATTTAGTCTGTGCAATACAAAGGATACTGTTATTTTTATGCCATTTGTTATAAATAAAACCCTAGCTGATAATACCATTGCTTCTTTGTGCCTGGTATACCGTTTATTTTCGGAAATGGTGTATAGTAACACAAAATGATCACATGGTGATGGTAACTTGGCAACTAGATTATCATGACAGGTTGCTAAAGACTGTTTTCAACTCGTAGAGATAGAAACTATTGCTAAAAGTCATTTGTCTATAAACTGACTTCTCTTTATGTTAAAGCTTTATTGAAAGACATGCTCTCCTTGCCCTGATTTTTTGTTATACTCAAAATGTGCGTCTGCAGGCTGTATATTAAATATGCGAGCATAATTCGGCTTTTTAACGTCTCATATTGCTATTTATCAAAGAGTAGTTGGATCAGTGTATAAGATAGGAGCTATTTATACTGAACATAATGAAAAACGAATTGGCCTCCTTGTTAGCGTTTTACGACAGTCATCCTCGCCTTCTTTAGGAGTGCAACAGCAAAAGCGAGATTAACAATATAGACAAGGAGTCTTTGAACTGATAAACCAAAGGGGAGTTGATATCCAATACTGTTTAGACTCCTGAGGTTTATAAAAGCTTTTTTTTTTCTATTTTCTTGTACCCTCCTGAGCACATACACATCTTTTTTCTTCTTTTGCATTTCATTATGATAGCTCAGACACAACCACGTCGTCCATCATATGGTGGATCTATTGCTAGTAGATCAAAACAGGAACCGGTGACACGAACTAAGCACAGATCTAAATCAATTTCTGCTGGCACAACACTGCCATATCATGTCATTCGTCGACCTTCAGCACCTATTTTGACAGAGAGACCTCGTCTCTCTATAGCAGACCGATTCATGTCTACAGATTATACAAAAACTGAATCACAGCCATCTTTCGATGCTGTTTCCACTATCACTTCAGTGGCAGATCGTTTCATGAGCAAACCATCACCCACTAGTTCAACATTAAGTATGCCTAAGGAAGAAACAATCATAGATCCAACGCCTGTCAGACTCACGATAGCCGAGACATTCATGCGATCTTCATCCACTTTATCGCCATGCTATCGATCTCGAGCTGGTTCATTCGCCGATGAGCTGGAGAGACCCATCAAGAAAGGTAATACAATTGATATGGAGTCAGTTAACTTATCTTTATATTAGCGCATCCTCTAGAACCACAGGCTTCCAAATCGACATTGTTTGATGACGCATTTCATCTTGATTTAACATTGGATACAGAACAAGGCAGAAAAAATAGTCGACCTTGGGGAAGTCAAGATACACTTGTTCAATTGGAAAAAAAGAAACCAATTTACGCACAGTACATGGAGTCAGAGAAAAACGCAACCATTGATTGTGTCTCTTTTGATGACAAGCAAACAATTGATCTCACTCATGAAGAAGATGAAGACACTGTAGATTATAGCAAGTTTGATCATTATTATCAAAAGGGACTGACGGCTTGGGAGAACGAAGAAGGGGGAGAGGAAGAAGGTGAGGACGACCTTTCAGAACAAGAAAAGCAATCAGAGAAACCAGCATCAATCAAAGCTTCAAAACCTACACCTGCCGTACAAGAAAGCAGAGGATGTTGGATAGGATGTTGTTTTATCAGTTCCAAAAGACCTCAACATAAAAAAAAAGATCTTGAGCAACAAAGAACTAAAGAACACAGTAAATGCTGTGGTCGAAAAATATGGGTATTTTGTACATTTCTAATTGTTATTCTTTGTGCACTGGTCGCTTACTTTTTGTGGCCTCGTACACCTTTGATGCGTATCGAAGGTGCTTCACTGACATCACCTGTGAAAATAGCTGAAACGAAACAAAATGCTTGGTACAGTGGCAATGTTCAGTTTGAAAGCGAATGGCTTGTGAATGTGACCATCGATAATCGCAGAAACCATGTGCCCACACGCGTTGTTCAAATCCAAGTCTTGGCTAAAGATGCACTTACAGGTTTAGTGATTGGCAAGGGCACACACAATGATGATTCAAGTCCCGAACATATTGTTTTGCCTCCCAACACGATTTCAACTATCCAACTACCAGTTCGCATTGATTATCAGGCGCGTGATAGTATGGACACCACGTTTGCAGACCTCATAAAATCCTGTTCTCCTAAACACCATCCTGTTTCTAATGGGAATTCTACAGGCTCCCATTTACGGGAAGCACTTCCTTTACATTTTTGGATCACACTTCATTTCTTTGGTCTTGATTGGTTAGGATATAAACCTACAGTGATAGCAGCACCAGCAACTGGAGGATTTGCTTGTCCACAACCTTAATATGTAATCTTTTGTGTAGATATTTATGATAATGAAAGAAAAAATAGCTCCTTATTTTGTCCCTTTTTTAAGATATACCTGTATGTTCATTTGATTTTAGTTAAACGTGACAAAGGAGGAGAAAAAAGAGGGGTTTTTGGATGCTTTAATAATGTAGAATGATTTAATTGTGTGTGGTTTATTACTTAAACTTTAATGCTTTAAAGGAAGGTCAAGCAAAGGACTATATCTTGTCTTCTTTTTGTAATTATCTACTTTTGCCTTGATCCATTCCTTGAGACCATAAAGAGAAACATGCCCTGTAGGCCCATTCACAGCCTTGTCAAATGGTATATCTGTATTTAAGCGAATAATATAATCGGCTGCAGTAGTAATACTTAGCGAACTAGGTAAACCAATATTTTGATTTGATTGATTATTGAAATTGTGATTGATGATATTCGTCAAGATGGGATCAATATATTCAGCGCCTTTTCTAACATGAGGCAAAGTCTTATCCCAAGCAACATCGTCTCGAATGAGCTCTGCAACAGAATCAATCACAGGATAAGAGATGGAAGGATTGTACACTTTATCCATAATCGTCTTCAAATGATCTTCAAACAGAGTCTTGAACTTGGGTACATTTAAGAGAGCTGAAATCAAAGGACGTGTTTTGAAACCTTCAAAGCTAGTATAATCTCCTACAGCAATTTTCTTCATATTGACAGGCCCACTACCCATCGAAAGATCAAAGTCCCACATAATCCAGGTAAAGCGATTTTGTTCAGGGTTTTTGTAAAGATAATAGTTGTTTGTGTTTTGAAGGTAGGCATCAAACAAACCAAATGTAAATTCACAAGCCATGGCTACTAAAAATCCCTCTACATCCAATTGCTTTTCCCATTCAGATGCAGTAGCTGCAATGGTGGCTGCATCAGCTGTCTTTTGAAGTTCTTGTTGGTCATGAATGAACTGAATGAAACGACTGAGATCATCAAGTCCATTAGCACCTGCCTCGGACTTTTCGGAAACAGAATATGCAGAGGATTCATAAGCCGATGTTTGGTCTCCTTTGTACGACAAGTCAGCACGATTGTTCTTGGAATTACCCCCTTCTCCTTCATAAAGAATGCCAGTGGCATATTCGTTTGAAGCACCGCCAAATTCGTTAGTAAGCCATGTCTTGTCGTACTTTTCTTCAAGTGAAAAAAGACCAACGGGCCTATCGTTCAAGAAAACTCTAGAAATGTTTGAAATGTTAATAGGAACTTGCATGATGATGTTGATAGTTTACCTGACAAAAGAAGCTCTTGTTGAAGGTTGGTTGACAGCATTCAACATTTCTGTAATGATGTATTCACGCATGTAACTTGGGTCCGTGACAGTCGTACGCAATTTGAGTTTTTTATAGCCACCTAGAGTATCATTGTCTTTTTTGTTTAGCTTGAGATTATAAGCGAATTTGGTTAAGCGTCTTGATGATCTACCGCCGATTTCAAATTTGGCATCTGAGAATACCTGGACTGATTTCGTACTACGTCGTACATATGTTAAGTGCCATTGTGTCAATAATGTGCACATGTGTTTTACCTTATGTAAGTGACGTCCGCTTTAATTTGAATGTCTTGTAAATAATGCTTGTGGATATTATCGAAATCAGATTGATTTGCTTTAATCTGAATAGTTGGAATTTCACCAATAGGATGTAAGGCACTGTTATCTGGCTGTCGATTAAAATTCTTAGAAATACTTGAAACAGATTCAAAAGAAACTAATGACTTGATATTCCAATTGCGATTATAGAATTCGTTCAGAGAAGAGAAACTCAAGGCAGGGCGTTTGAATTCTTCACATTCAATCTTCTTGGCTGTTTTCTTTTCTAGTTTACAGTAAGAGTAGGGCTCATTAGCAGGAGCTTGGCCTTGAAAGAGAATGCTGCTTTGTTTAGAGGGCTTAAGAGCATACATAGTGTCTTTGATCAAGACACCTATGTCATTAGAAGGCGAGCTTAGAATGACACTGTAAACAATGTCTGCTGCTACGATAGCTTGTACGTCTATTAAAAAACAGTGAGTACACAATACATATGTATAAGAATGTCTTACATAATAGAGAGGTACAAATAATGCTCTTTGTAATAAGCATGTTTAAAATAAATATGAAGAAAAAAAACAAAGGTAGAAAAAAAAGAAAGAATGCCTATTTATCATTTTTTTTTTCAGGAGAGACTTTAATTTCAGCAGATAGTCATTTGCATTTTACGTACCTTTTTTTCATGTTCAATCTATAAAAGAAATAATGTCGAGTCCTTGAACACCTCTCATATACATGAGTGCATTTACTCTCTAATAGGTAACTATAGTGGTACCAAAAACGAAGTTGGGAGTGAGGGTAAAAACTAGTAAGCGCACTAATGATGGTGGAACAAAGGAAGGTTTATTTTTGGGGTTTCTGCCAATTTTGTCCTTTTGAACATCTTTTCTTGCACCTTGAGAAAAAGTTGCTAAAGATTGCTGTTTCTTATGACCCTCCCAAAAGAACTCTTGTTATTGAGAGGGGCATCAGCGTAGCTTCCTGCATGGAGCAGTAGTTCTCCTTTCTAGTAAGACATGTTTATTTTTAATAAATACATCTTTTTCAGTTAGCGAAAGTGACTAGACAGTAGACTTCGGATTCAAAAAGTCTACAGATGAGACAGATACATATATCTGACCTATACACATCATTTAGGTAAAAGAAAAAGAAGTTATTTAAGAGATCAAAGACAAAATCCAGCAACTAGGCATAAAATGAGAAGAGACATACGAAAAGAAGACTGTATTTTTTTTTGTTAAAATTATACCATTGATTTGCACCTTTATCTTGAGATTCATTATTTTGTCATTATATAAATTTACGTGTAACCAAGAGTGTAATTCTTAATTACAACTCTTTCATTCACTTTCATTTCTCCCCATTTTTCTCTAAAACTTCTAAAAAACACACATACTATCTCAAGGCTGCTTTTATAATTATCACTTTTACTACCAGCATCACTTGGTTAGTTTTAATTATAATTTGCAATCATTAGTTACAAACTTATTAACAAACAAATAAAGTTGGTATTATTCTTTTAGTTAAAACAACAGTCCACAAATTACCATAGTCAAAGCAGCTCAATCAAAATTGGTAAGCAGCTATGTTTACCGAATAAGCTGCGAATAATAGTATAACTATAAAGCTTACAGTTTGACTTGATTCGTTTTCTACATAGAAGACTGTGACTTTTTTCTTCACACTCTATAATAGTGTTGATCAAGGCATTTTGACTTGTATGAAGAAATAACGAAAGCGTACATAAATAGGCCAGCGTTGGACTGGAAATCCCTAAGAAAAAAAAAAAGCTCGGAAAGTTGAAGGTAAAATCCCATAATTGAATACTAGGCCTTATAAAGAAACCGTATTCTTTTTTGAATCGCACATAGGCGAAATGTTTATTGCATTTTATGACCCTGTAAGTTGTAAAACAACCCAATCCAAGCCTTCATATAAACTAAACAAGAGAATCAGCATCAAAGGAGTACACTTTGTTTATCTGACTTACCCTTCTCCTGTGAGTGCAGAACAAGCCTAAAAATTTTCAAGTAAGATATTTTTGTCCTCCTTTAATTTCTGTGTACCTGAATATGCCATTGTCGATCTTTTAATTTGCTTAATCCTAATGCTTCTGATATTTTGGCTGCACCTAAAGATCCTTTGATATCTTGTTTGTTAGCAAATACAAGTAGACTTGCATTTTGTAGTTGCTACAAGCACAAATAAGTTTTATAATTACTATTACCAAACCACTTACATCGCTTTCCATCATCTGGTGTAACTCTTGCTCAGCCAAGTAAAGTCGATTGACATCTGTACTATCAATCACCATAATTACTGCCTTAGAGACAATGAATACGCCAAACATACTCATTTCATAGCTTTCTCTTACCTTAGTATCAATGTAATATGTCTTCCATGTACTACGCAACGACTCTTGACCACCAATATCCTGCCATATGTCATTATATGAAAACGCGTCTTTCTGGTTCTACTTTACCCACATGACAAACTTCAGGTTCTTATATTCGACTTCCTCTACATTACTACCAATAGTAGGTGTGGTAGTGACAACTTGATTCATCAAACTGATGGTAACAATGAGTTGAATAGTCAAAACTTGAAGGACTTACAGCTTATATAGAATGGTCGTTTTACCAGCATTATCAAGACCAACAATAATAATTTTGACTTGTGCTTTAGAGAACAGTCGATTCCATAGATTGCTAAACAAGATGCCCATTACAGAACAGGAACTGACTGTCGGTTTTTTAACTTGAGAGAAAAGCGGTCGAGCTAAATTTCATTTATTTATTCGCTTTTTTCAGTTTTTTCTGGCTCTATTTATGAACACTCTTTTATATTATAATGTCTTTCCATGATTATTCTTCCATATTATAAACGCTATCCCAATATAAGACTAGTTCTTTTATGCTGTTTCGCTCACTTGGATCTACTTGAAGCATTTTCTGCAATAATGTTTGGAACACAGGTTTCTCCACGGTATCATTTATGGCTCGCTTGATATGTTGTTTCATTTGGTCAGTATCATATGTGAGTTCTTTGACTTGCTGTTCATTACCAAATAGCAGCAATCCACCTGTAGCCACTGCATAAATTACACAACCCAATGACCAAATATCAGCTCTTTGTTCATCAAGAAAACTAATGGCTTGAACACATTCAGGTGCTGTAAATGATGTCGTAGGCGGCAGAGCGTGGTTTCGATAGGTGTTTTTGAGTGATTGTGCATATTCAAAGTTGCCTAAATGCCAATCTGTTGCCTTCATTTGATGACCAAAATAAAAGGATTTGGGCTCAATGGCTCGGTGCGCAAATTCTTGGCTGTGGACTGCTTCCACACTTTTGAGGAGAGCATAAATGGACCATACTTTGTAGTCTGTATGATGATAGTCAATAAAAGACCATGGATTGGCCTCAAACAATAGATGATGGAGCGAATATTCATGTGCCATAGGTGAAGTGATCCAAATGTACTGATAGTGGAAGTGTGGTGTAGGTGAATTGAGTACAATAGCTCTTTTGCTCTTGGTCACAAAGCTAGCGTTGTTGGAGATACGCAGTACCACATACACAGAACGAACAAAAGCATCCAGCTGAGCGGATGAAAAGTAATGGACTGTATGTTTGTTACCATCTTCTGAACTAAATGTTCGAATAGCATATCCTTCTCTCATATAATGAGCACGTTCAGTCTCTGGTGAAGTATAGAGTCCACTGAATAAATACAGAGGGCCTCGTGTATCAGGCTCAAGCTGCAGTAGCTCTTGGTCTGATAATTGAGCATAATCAATCGCATCTTTGCTGTAACACAGGGGGCGAATATCAGGTCGACTTGCATCATGGTATTCACCTGGAATGACTTTGGGATCCTGCAAGAAGCTACTTGAACGACTGTCATTATCAGTGGAAATTGTTTCATGTGGGTTGTCAAAATAAGTAGGCAAGTCTGTTTTAAAATCTGAACTGCCACTGTAGGCCTTTAACATGTCTCTTGTTTTTAATTTTCTTTGATTCTTGGACCGACGCTTTTGAATGTAGAACAACACACTGCCTAGAATAGCCAAGAAAGCTAAGATGCCAATGACAATACCTGCAATGGCTCCACCACTTAAGCCACTGGATGAAGCAGTAGAAACATTATTGCTGGATCGTTGGTTTTGGTTGGTCATAATAAATCCATTGCCATCATTGGATAGAGTAACATAGTCATATGGTGGATCAGTTGAATCTGTTGTAGGTACCAATATGACAGCCGCTGGCCAGGAATTACTGTTTGGATTTGTGATTTGATATGTCTGTAAACTGTATGCTCCATCAGAAGATTGCCCATGATTATTTGTTGTTTCAACATTGCGTTTTTGATGAAGACTTCTAGCTGTGCCTATGTACATGTTAAACACAGTACTCTTTTCAACGATGTTCACATTACCTGTACGATTGATAGTAGTTGGATTATTTGTAGGAGCAGCAAGTATTGTAGAACTGGCTGTACGTGTTGATGTTCCTGTGGAATTACTGTTTGGGTCAGCAACTGTATTATTTGAAACAACCGTATTATTATTGAAATTGATATACCCATTCGTGAAAGGTAGTGTTGTGTAGCTGGATAGAGTCGTGTTGTGGTTAAATATCTTGATTTCACCATTTAAAGGCTGATAGATAGAAATGTATTCAGCTGCATTATTAACAAACACTTGCCCTGTTGTTCCTTTTTGAATTGCATGCTCTCCGTAAGTGATATTGGTGAGCATGTTTATATGGCTGTATTGATGGTTATCTAATCTATAGACATCAATGCTATTACTCTGTAAAAGGTATAGGTTGCTTGATGAAGATGCAGCCAAAACACCAAGTTCGGACATTGACTTGGTTGTCTGCTGCGTTGAGTTGGTTAAGCTGACCAAATGAAGCAAGATCTGTTGATTTGTTGTAGAAGTGGAGATATAAGCTAAATTCGGCGAGTTGTTTGCACCGGCAATGTATTGAAGTGAAAACAAGGTTGTATTGACGAGTTCGATATTTGTTGCTTGAAATTGTGGCACTGTTGCTAGCTGCAATTGGTGTATGCGTACAGAATTGTTTCCAGCATCTAACCGAAAAAGAGTTTAGATTTATAGTTTCTCTCTTTTTATTCAACATACTGTCAAAACTCAAATAAATAGAAGAATTGCCATTTGCATATGAACATAAACCTCCAAAACTGTAGTTTGTACTTGGAAAGTTGGATATCCCGGATAACAAATACGAAGATTGTATTGTCTGATTTTGAAGGTGATACAAGTTTAAGCTGAATTCATTTTCTTGGCTTTTAGAAATAAAAGCAAGTCGATTGTCTGCCGTACTATAGCCCGAACAAACAACGGACGTTGAGTTCATTATGCGTCGAAAAGCGGAAGAAAAAGAATGAAAACAATTTTATGCTTGAGGCTTTTGAATGTATCAAAGGGCTTAGTGTACAACCGTACATAAACAGTCTAAGCCTCAGTGAAAAGTCTGTTTTTGCTCTCTCTCTCTCTCTCTCTCTCTCTTTCTCTCTCTCTGCGTGTGTTTGTGTATATGCGCGGGTTGTTTGTGTACCATAAGGATTGTTTTACCATTCGCTCAGTTATAGGCCCATTATGATCATCCTGACAACCCGTGTACCTTTTTTTTGTTTGGCTCAGATCTTTGATCTTGAACGTTGAAGAAATAAACATTTTTTTAAGAGCCAAACAGAGAGGAAAATAAGCACAAGCTGTCAAAACGATACTAGAATCTTTTTGTCTATTTGTATTTTGTATATGAAGCAATCAACTTTTATCTATAAAATCGATATTGAATGGACAACAATGGCGTCAAAAATATCATGTATAACATGATAAACATTGTTTAACGCTCGGACTGCGCATTTTTGTGCTACTATAATTAAGAAATGACAGGTCATTTCAAGGTATCATTAAAAAAGAAATGGCTTGTTTAAAAGATAAAAGCCAGTCGAAAACATGGACCTGATGGTTTTTCTAAAGATTATGCCTAAGCTTTAGTGGATTGTATTAAAGCCAAACATCGCTTTTACTGTTCAACGCTGTATGAATTGAACATTTTAGACATGATGAAGAACAAAAAGACATGTGTTAAACTCAGTATTATGTTTGACGTTGATATCTATAGACTCAAGTAGTCTGAACAACCAAATATAGCAATATTGAGCAAATCTTATTCAAGATAGTACTTTGAGACCCAAAAAACTTGAATATTGGCACATTCGAATATGAAAGCAGAATGATACATCCTACCTTAAGTAAAAGCAATTGTAGATCAAGAAAGCACTACACGTCTTCTGGTCAACCAAGACGGCACATCAAATAAAAAAAACAGACGTCTTCATGCCCTCAGTTTTAACAAAACTATAATTTGGATTCCTTCTTATTTATCATAGACACGAAGCAAAACGTCTTTTGAGGCTCATTAAATTTGTTTTTTTTTGACTATAACTTGGTAACTTTACTTTTTTTTTATTTTGAAATGCTTGGTCATTATGATACTTTTACTTTGCAAAAGCGACGCTAAAGATTCAAATAAGTAAGGCAAATCAAAGTACCAATACAGAGTTTGACAAGCTGTAGTCTTCAAGTAAGTAAGTAACAATGATTCGTAAAAAAAATTCAAGTGCAATCTATGAAAGTAGAAGCAAAAAAAAAAAGGAACAAGATAAAGGAAAAGCATATGTTGAGAATTGCTAGACAGGAAGCGATGGATGTGTCTAATGAGATCTCGAATAATTTTGATAAGCTTCTTTGTATATATCCATAAATTTGTGAGCGATAAACTAGCTTCTAACATGAAAAAGATATGTCAAAGTTTAAGCTGAATCATCTTTACGAATACAAAACTTTATTTATGCATAAACAATCTTATACATCATTCAAATTATTACGATAACCACGTCTTTTCTTTGTCCAACTAAATGGCGATATTAAAACAATGGATGAGAAACAGAAATATCCCTCTGTTTTGTGAGAAGTAGCTGGTGACAAAGGCAAACATGAATCTCAAACAAATCAAGCTCCATTGAGATTCAACTCATCTTTGATTTTAGGTTTAGCTAGTTGAAGATTACCACTCCTTTTGATTAATTGTGTATATAAATTGATTGCCTCTGACTGACCCTTCACTGTACCTTCTTTTGAGATTGAAAACATTCTTCTTTATTCAATTAATGTATTTACAGACAAATGATTTGTAGTTAAGTTAGGAAAATAGGATTGATGAGAATGATGTAATTTGAAAACATGGAACAGTAAAAGTGTTCGTATGTAATCATCATTACTTTAACTGAAAAGTGTGTTTACATAACAAGTTGATTGCAAATAAATGTCTGAGCTGTTTATTGTTTTGTATAAACATATATTTTGTATGTGTAGCATATTTGTTATTTGGTAGATATTTTCTATTATAAATCCACTTATCTTCTTCTAGACCAATTTCGTTTTTAGACCTCTTTAGCTTCAGTTTTACAAGCTCTATTCACCCAATATGAGAAACTTTTGACTACAGACTTATACACTTTCGATTTTTTAGCTTTAGTTATACTAACGTTCAGCCTGACGCATCATCTACTAATCCTACAGTGTAGGTTGCTGTGCAGCAGGTATAATTGATTTGGTTCTGATTTACTCTCCATCTGCCATTTTAATGTAGGTTTTTGTCGAATCACTATAGCCTAAAGAAGGTTGAACGACGGTTTTTGAAGGCAAAGAATGAGGTATAACGCATCAGGAGTCTCATGTGGAAGAAAGCGTTCAGAATCAAGAAGGAGCAAATGAGAGAAAAGAATGATGAGATATTACGTGATTTATTAAAGTTTTATAATCGAATAAACTATTGACTACTTTCTCACTGACAACCCTCTCTCTTTCCCTTTGTGTTTATCTTGAACGACGAGACTAACAAATAAAAGAGATAAACCAATAATTAACAACAAAAGACTGTAAAGACTATTGTAATTATAGAGAGATAGACACAAATAGAGAGATTATAACCTTAGACACAGTTCCTTCAAAAGACAATGAAGATATATGTAAAAAAAAAATTTATGAAAAAAGATTTTTTCTTTCGATTAGACTTTTCACAAAGACAATTGCTTGTCATTAATCTAGAACAGATCAAACTTGCTCAAAAGCAATCATGTTTGAAATGTCAAACAGGAGAACAATTAATGCAGATTCAAACTGAGTTGAACTGTCAAATATAATAAACAAATAAAATAAACTAAAATATGCAATTAAGTCACAGCGAAATATCATGAAACAAAATACGGAAGAAGTAGGACAAATAAGGAACAGAAAAAAGTACAACAATTGAGACCCTGACCCAACAATTGACACACCGATCAGTGGTTTTGACTCGAATCTGATTGGGTCTGACAAAAGACAGAACCATTGGCTGAAATCTTTGAAACGCCTTTGTACCATCAGACCTAGACCAAATCACACCAAACTTTGTATGTACTTTAAGAAACATCAGAGACATGTACCATTCCAATTTGGAGATTTGTTAACATAATAGAATCACCAGAAAAACCGCGAAAGGAAACAAAAAAGTGAGTCAAAAAAAACTTGCACACACGATACAATTGTCACAGAAAATAGTGATTCCAGTAAGAAGCAACCAATTGAAGTTGAATATAACCTTCCAACAAACTATAATCCGAACAAACGAAGGTTTAAACCACAAATACTGAACAAAAGAAGAAAGAAAGTCCGCCTCAACTTGATTCGCATTAGAAAAGCCAAGCACACTTTAGATTCGTCAAGACAGAAACATCAATCAGCTTTAAGTATTTAATTACTTCCTTCTCCATATGTTATAGTTTATATATTTTAGTACAATTAGAAAACATATAAATACTGTGTTATTGATACTTGTAAGTTCTTCATCTTATACTTACTGTATCAATACACAGTTCCTTTCTGTGACGTCACGTTATTTCCAGAATATTTCCCAGTGAATCTATTGGCTAAGAAACGTTCTATTGTCTCGTGACTTAATTATATAGACACAAACTTCAAAAAAATATTAAACCGACACAATAAGAAGCGGGTATAGCTCAGCTGGGAGAGCGTTAGACTGAAGATCTAAAGGTCAGGTGTTCGATCCACCTTAGCCGCATACATCCATTAATTTTCCTCCTTTAGGAGTCAAAACTCAAAGTTATTTTTTGTTTTGAAAGGAATCTGTGGCTTGATAATTCTTTTTTTTTAAAGACATTGTTACAGTGTTACGGGATAAGGTTTGATTTTTATATCGATAACGTATAGAAGAGCTTATACAATAAAATTCAACACAAGAAACAATTGTATGTAATGAGAACTACATTGTCGAGATAATTAACTTCTGAGCAAATGATTTAAATTAAAAGAGAAATAGAAATGCAAAATAAAACATTCTTCTCAAGCTAATACCAATGGCCTAACAAGTAATTCAAGCGCTTAAAGTAAGAGCAAAGCAAGTCGAGAGAACTGTGTCTAGTCTTCATTAGCACCTAGGCCATAAATTTTAATTGAACATTAATCGATCAATCTACTATCACAAAAGATAGGCTAACTCGACTGAAATTCGGTCCATCAAGCCCACCAGACTCATTAGAATCTATGAGCCAAGTGTACGTAAATATTAAAATGAACAGTTTGGTAGTGCATTACTTGTTCATGCCACAAGGACACCAGGCAAATAAATATTTCGAAAATGAAAAAGACAACAATCCATGCAAATCTTTGTTTTTTTGGGACATATAAAGATAGCATAAAGCCTGTTTATACACGCATGAATGCTCCAAATACCTACAGACCATGTCTACTAATATACGAGGTACCTTTGGAGTCGATTTGGACCAAAATGATCATTCGGCCAAAGGCTACTAGTCATCAAAATTATCTGTTTGACAACCCCTTGAGCCTCTTTTTGATGCTACAAGACGAGAAATAGAGCGATTGACAAGCTTAGATACTCAAAATGTGTGTCAAAAGCTTTAGTTTCTCGCAAGTGTGTTTGCTTAACAGTTGTGCTATGAAAATAATGAGATATGGACAGAAAACCCTGTAAACATTTTTGCGTATTCACTCAATATTTTAGCAGCAAAGCTGTTGTACTTTTTATATCAATAGACTCGGGGGAAAAAAAAGAAAAAAAGAAAAAAAGATCTACAACTTTTGTCACTACATCAAAGTCAGATAATCGTGTCTTTATACAGTTCTCAGCAAAAGCTTCATTTTTATTGCGGCTTTTTTTTTTTTTTCAAGAGACAGGCGCAATTCATACAGAATTATATTATGCAGCTATGCTGCAAATTAACCAGATAGGATAATATGAAAGGTATGCCACTGCTATGAGTGGAAGAAAAATTAAGAGAAGAATTACAGTGTGTACTTGCTTTTCATCTGCAAGCAGCCGTAAAGCAGCTGTAAAGCAGCTGTAAAACGGTATGTGTTTGTTGTAGAGTGGAGTAGACATCAAAAGAGACGTTGTCAATAACAGATCTCCAGTGTGCTTTCCAGACTTGCGAGAGGGCGGTAATGACAATATCAACAACGGCCAAGTGTTTCTTTCGTGAATAATCCATTCTGGAGAAGTTTAGTGTAACAAGTGCCTGAATAATATCTTCGACAGTATTTTTATTGCGGCGGGAAGAGGAGCTAAAGCTTTTTACATTTTCTTCGTTTCGGTCTCCGATATCTGCCATTTTGTGTGCATGATGATGTTTTGATGCCATTCAAACACACACAAAGTCAATGAGATTGTAGGTAGCCGTGTTAAGAGATTTGCATACAGCATACACTCGAATTGCAAGATACAAGAATATCAGTGCACTTACTACAAGGATAAGAATCAAACGCTTCAAAAAAGGACTGCATCGTCTTGATTACACGCCACTGTCAGATGTGTCTTTGCTTATGGCCATTGCTCTATCAAGATCGATATGTCTCAAGTCAGGAAATGCCACTTCTTTCTTGAAAAGAACATGGATTTTTGATTTTTCACATAGGGTAGTATTATATAGAAGAAGTCGTCATTGTCTTGGCAAGGAAAAAGAGCATTTTTTCTTCAAGGATTAATAGTACGAAGGTGGAAAAGGGGACTCACTTCAGCGGTTACAAATCCCAGGGGAAGTAGCTCAATTGTATTGAGAGAGTTTATATTTGACTAGTGAATTGCTAGCAACCTTACTTTAGTGTTGTTGAACTTAGTTACAAGCACATGGAGAAACAAATAATGTCTCTTTAAATAGAAAGTCTTCTTTTATTTTACTCATAGTAGGTATTGGAGCTCAAACGTTTTATTTCTGCTGCTACCTTTCTCTCCAACTCTTCCATAGATTATCTTTGTGATTCATTTCAATCTGAAGTTGAAAATCTATAGTATAAAATTGAGTTTGATTGGCCGGAGATACCGCTTTTACTCGGCTATTGACGTTGATTTTGATTGGCTAGCCTTATTGGTTTGAAGCACTGAGAGGATAAAGTGGATAGAAGCAAAGGAGGAGGTAAAAAAAAAAAAGAAGTCGGGAATTTTCAAGAAAGATATGTAGTAGATAAAAAGCTAATTTCTCCCCTGTCAAGCAATAAAATATTACCGCCGAGCGCTCGGTTGACTTGTACAATTTATCGTGACACATGAGTGTCTATATGTGATGCACAGAAAAACTTCCCACTAAAAAAAAAGCATTTATAAGACATACCATTTTCTGTTTTGTGTCTCTTTCTCTTTTTCTTTTATCATCATGGGTTCTATTCAACTTCCTCTTAACGAAAAACAAGACTATCAAGAACAAACAACTGGTTGTTTTCCTAATTTCTTAAATTGCCTTACTTCCTCGAGTCAAACTGCCACTCAAACTTCAAATGGCAAGTTTGTTTACAAACCTATCAATCCCATGTCCGAGTTGCCTCCTTATAAGGATATTGTACAAGTAAGTATATTCCAGCGGTACTTATTATACTTATACTATGTAGTCCATGGAAAAGCTAGACATCAAGTGTGATGAAGAGATCACCAAAGTGATCAATAAAGAGATCGAGTCTGTGAGTGCTGAGCTTCGTAAAATCAGTTTGGATGTAAGTATATAACGTCTTAAAAAAGTTTTCGTTTTATTTATACGAGATAGCTTCATGAACATCCAGAAACAGGCATGCGTGAATATCATGCTCATGATGTCTTGACTGCCTTTTTGGAAAAGAAGGGCTTTACTGTCACTCGTCATGCTTATGGCATAAAAACTGCCTTCACTGCTGAATACAGCCGTGGTTCTGGTAGACGAGTTGGTATCTGTTCTGAATATGATGGTCTTCCAGGGTAAGCTGTTAAGCACCAGATGTATTGAGCTAACACGTTTCTTTTATATACATATCTTAGTCTTGGTCAAGGTTGTGGTCATAACTTAATTGCTATCAGTGGCCTTGCTTCTGCTATTGGTATCCAGGCTGCTTTGAAAAGTGGAAAGGCTTCTGGTAAAGTCGTTCTTTTTGGTACTCCTGCAGAAGGTAAGATAGTGATACAAAACACAATATCACTTATGTTTGTATAGAATTGTCTATTGGTAAGATTCTTCTTTGCAGCAAAGGTGCTTTCCAAGAAAGCGTTGATGTTTGTATGATGTTGCATCCTACGTAAGTATTTTTTCTTAAATAGTCAGCCTTCTAAATACAATACAGTGCTTATGATCATCAATATGCTTCTTTTATTGCTATCAACGATGTCAAGGTTGAATTCTTTGGTAAATCTAGTCATGCTGCAGGTAAGAAATAAGAAAAATACAGCGCATTGTTTGACACATAGGTTGAATATAAGGTGCTCCATGGAAGGGTGTGAATGCTTTGGATGCTCTTGTTCAAGTTTGGAACAACATCAGTATGATGCGTCAACAACTCTTGCCTACTGACAGAGTTCATGGTATTGTCACTGACGGTGGTGCTGCTGTAAGTTCAAGTCACTTGTTTTCTTGCAACTAATCTATCATAGCCCAACGTTATTCCTGACCATACTTCTGCCTTCTTCTTTGTCCGTACAACAAGAATCAACCAAATTGAACGTGTCATGAAGAAACTAGAAGATTGTTTTGAAGCTGCTGCTATTGCTACAGGCTGTCAGGTCAAATACACATGGCGTGAAATTGGTGCAACAAAAGATGTTGTTCAAAACAAGCCTTTATCAGATCATTATGCCTATCATATGGAAAAATATGGCATCAAATTCCCCTCTGAAGAAGAACAAGCCCGTGCTGGTGGTGGCTCAACTGATATGGGTAATGTCAGTTATGAATTACCCTGTATTCACCCTGCTTATGGTATTCATACTGATGCTTCTAACCATACTGTTGAATTCACCCAAGCTGCCAAGACAGAAGTTGCACATAAAGATACTATCCGTGCTTCCAAATGTCTTGCTGCTACTGGTGTTGAAGTGTTGATTAACGATAGTTATTTTGAATCTGTTCAACGCAACTTTAGGGATAACCTTTCCAAATAAGAATAAACTCAATACGCTCCTTACCCAATAGGGGCTTCCCGGGGTTATTGTTTATCAGTAGTAAATTTTATTGGTAAAAGACTATCTTAAAAAGGAACGAGAAACAAAAAAAAAAATAGAAAGAAACAAGTAGAACTGCGTAAAAAAAAATTTCTTTTCTTCTTCTTTCTCTTCTTTCTCTTCTTTCTCTTCTTTCCCTCATTTTGTATATATATTTATTATCATGAAGTTTTTCAAATCTGTACATACATTTGACTATGAGTGGAACTTGGTTTCTGCTGCTCAGTGGCAGAAATATCCCAACGACCACTGCCCACATGTTCAACATGTTGATGTACTGAACAGAACAGTCGATACTAAGACTGGTATCCTTACAACAGAAAGACTCATCACTGTAAAGCAGAATGTACCTCGATTATTACTTAAGGTAAGCATTATACATGATATTAGACTTACTCATTGACTCTTCTATAGATTATGGGAGCTGACGAAACACAATATGTTCGAGAAGTTTCTGTGATTGATCCTAAGCAAAAGACATTTACATTGACAAGTCAAAACCTTTCTTTATGTAACATTATGAAGTGCAATGAAGAAATCACGTATACCGTTTCATCCGAAAACCCCGAAAAGTAAGCATGAATTTATATATATATATATATGTATTTTATACTCATAACAATAGGACACAATTCACTCAACAAGCACAATTGTCTGTTGGTAGTTTCTTATCGCGTTGGGAGAGTACGATAGAAGACTTTTCAATCAAGCGATTTCAACACAATGCACAAGTAGGAAGAGAAGGCTTTTTAAATGTATTAGAAAAAATTGGTAGTACTAAACAAACAGCATAATAAAAAAGATCAGGGGAAATTATTTATACAAGAACAACTGAGCCCATGCATAAAGTAGCACAAAGAATATAGAGTTCATGAAACAATTACGTTGCAAAAAACAAAATTTTTCTTCTTTCTCTTTTTTTTTTGTTTTTGTTGTTTTATATTATTTTTGTACATGACTAAATCAAACCCACAAGATAAAAGGGTCTCTTCATCGTCAACTTGGTTGATAAATTGGTTTACACATTTCACAAAACCAACTGTGCCTGCACAAACAAAATTACCATGGAAAAAGAACAAGTCTTCTATATCAGTTACTGAGCCTATTGAGATACAAAGGCCCAGCATAACCATATCCACAGCCTCCTCAGATAGAAGAGGCTCACAGCAGACACTCAGTAACAGTTCACTTACATCGGATGATCAGTATTCGACAACAGCCGCGTCATATTATCAGAGACGTGATAGCTCTGAGCGGTCCATGTTGTCTGAACTCTGGTCAAAAGCAAAACGTCGCCATCCTCATTATCCACGATTTCAGACTTCCAAAAAGAGCCACGATACAATTTCTTGTCCTTCTTCTTATCACCGTTATTATACCAGTCATATTCCACAACATCTCAAGCGACATTCTATCAGCTCATCTTTTCTGACAAATTCTGTAGACAACACACCTTGTGTATCACGACCAAACTCTATTATTTATACCCCTTCTCAGCCTACCTCGCCCTTTATTAAAAATCAAAGTTCAGAAGATGTGATTGACCACTTTTTGTTAGAGGACCCTATTCAAGAGCGTTGGACAATTAAACATGAACTGATTAAACTAGCTATAGACGGGTAAAGAAAAGAAATTCATGCAGACAGAATAATTTATTTTTAGGCTGTTTTCTATCCCTGAAATGGTTACACTGCCTTTATCCATTGAAAAGCATGTGCTACAGATAGGGTAAAGTAAATGTAGTTTTGTATAGCATTTTACTGACTTTTTAGATGTGGCGATGCTGCTTGGGCTTTGGATGTGGCTTCTCAATACCCAAGGTGGATGATTGTTGGCTTGGATGATGACAATGAGTACAGTAGTCCTGATGAATTTCCTATTCTGTCCACAGCAGCAACAACCATTATTACAAAAAGAAACATCATACCTAAAAACTTTAAATTGATTCGTTGTCATTCACTGCTACAGGGACTTCGTAGTTTGCCTGATAATACGTTTGATTTTATAGAGAGTCGATTCCTTGTTCTCACTTATACCTTTGAACAATATCAACAACTCATGACAGAATGCCTAAGGGTCTGTAAACCAGGTGGTTATATTGAACTGATGGAGATGGACATGCGTATCTATCATCAACGACTTTTGTCCTGCCCTGTAACTCATTTACTTAATAATGAAGGTAAGAAATCATCTTTTATAAGCAATTTTTTTTTAAAAAAAACACCTTTTAGTGATCAGTGTGATTGAATCTAAGAAATTGGACCCACGACTTGCTAGACGATTACTTGACTTGGTGAGTCCAACTATCACCACAAAAGCAAAGTATGTTTCTTTACCTATTGGTGTCTGGGGTGGTCGCTTGGGTGTTATCTTTCGAGATGATATTCATCATCTGATTGAATCTTTTCAACCTCATATTGCTGAATTAAATTCAGTTCAATGTCGAACAGAAGACGAATTAGAGAGCAAGATTGAGATGATGGATCAAGAAGTGGATGCCAATCGTTCTTTTATGAACCTACATTTACTCTTTATTTCCAAGAGTTGGTGAAAATCCAATAAAAAAAATTATCTAAGCATTGTGACGCGCTTTCTCTCTGCCCTTGTTGTCACGGATTTCTTTCTTTTTTTTTTTGTATTCTCTCTTAGCTTCCTATTATGTCTTTCTTTGGTGCTCCTAGCTTTCAACAACAACAACAGCAACAAACTATTAACCCTCAAAACATTGCTTTAGCAGAACAAGAACTTGAGTTATTTACAGACTTGTTTAATAGGTACTATTTATTTTTATTTATTTTCTATTTACTCACATGTATCTATAGAATCACAGACTCTTGCCATAAAAAGTGTATTTCCAAAGACTATGCTCAAGCTGATCTGACACAGGGTGAAGCTGTTTGCATTGACCGTTGTGTCTCTAAATATTTAGAATCAAATACCAAAGTATCTGCTAAAATGCAACAAGTAGGACAACAATAATATATTTTGCATTGACAAATAGATTACATCTTTTTTTTTTAAAATTATAATGTTTATTACACCGAAAGAGAGAAGCAGTAATTTTATGCATTTATGTTTATCGCTTATGAGATACATGAGCTAATCTAGGAACAAAAAAAAAAGTTCTTTCGTATTCGATTGTCCAAAAAGAAAAAAAAAATATGTGTCTTTTTTTGTTTATCTGATACAAATATTGCACTAGATTCAGAAAGAAAAAAGTAGCTGATAGAATAGATTCAGGGCACAGATCGCTTCGATCTAAGGATTTGGTATGATCTATACCTTTAGTCAGTATTTAAACTATGAGATTTAACATAAATTGAGTACATACAAGCCTTGATTGGTAAATAATAGTGCCATATATAGAAAAATGCGTATATGTACACAGTGTATGCTGAGAAAGAGGGATAAACATCTTCCGAACATTTTGGATTCACAAGAGACGGCCTATTAAATAAAGAAGAAGTCTAATTGGATATGTCTCATAGAACATTCAAGGATCGGCTTCTATTTCATATAGAACATGAGATCTTCAGCTGTATGTATACATGCTCTATTTGAGTCATTATTTCACTAATAAAACTGTACAATGTTGCTCTGATTTACGTCAAGGCTGATATCATGCAACCAAAAAAAAAAAAAAAAAAAAAAAAAAAAAAAAAGAGTAGCTCATAAGCGCTACAGAACAAGAAGAATCTAGAGGGATTCACTAGATCAAATATATATATTCTAGAATCATATAAATATAAATATTGAATAAGGTAATTTATGTCTACTTGTTCATAGGTTCAAACAGTAGAAGGATATGGATTAAAAGTTTTGTTTTTAGAATAATCCGACATTTTTTCTTTTTTAAAAAAGCGGACTTAATTCTAATTCAAAGTTATTTTTTTTTTCTTATTCGATAGCGTTCTGTTCATGACAATAACAACCTAAACACCAAAATGACAAGAGACTAATAAAGTAAAATAAAGTCAAAACGAAAGAAGAAGAAGAAAAGAAGGAAAAAACTAGAGTAGTTTAGCATGGAAAATGACTTAAAAAGTTCTTTTTAATTATACGCCGAAACGAATTGTTCTTTTATGTTCTTTTTTTTCCTAATAGAATAAAATCCTGATTGCTGTGCATATATAAATGTGTGAGTAATGCATTACATGTGTTTCAATAAAACCAACAAAATCCAAGTTCTCTTTCTTTCTCTCTTCTTCCTTACTTATTTTTTTTTTTATCAATGAACATCACTTCCACATTACCTCCTTCATCCTCATCCTCTGCCTTTAGAACACCGATGTCTACATTATCAAACAGTGACCGTAGTTTTATAGAATTTACTCGGTGTTTATATAAAATCAAATCTATTGTGCAAGAATTAGAAGTCTTTAGTCACACTGTTCGGTCAAGTCTGGATTACCAGCAAGAAACTAATACGCAGGAATTTATCAGATATGTCCAACAATACCTGGAAAATTCTTTTAAAAAGTTTAATCACATGTGCCGCATCTTACTCTATGTTCTGTCAAAATTGGAATCAAATCAGACAGTCAAAAGAGAGCGTATTGATTCATTTCGTCAAGAAGTCACGAATGAATGGCGAAAAGCGAACTTTGTTAGACAAGATCTTGTCTTACTTGTCCACCGAAAACACTCTAAAGATCAATTTAATACCACTCTTCCGTCACCTTCTTCACTAAGTAATCATGACCAAAGCAGTAATGCATCATCATCTATAGACTCAAGTGACGTAGATGAAGATGTCAAAAAACTATCAAGCTCAGAGTCAAGTCTAGAACCAAACTCTTCTCAAGAAGAATCCATGTTTTATCCATCATGATATATATATATTTATATATAAACATTTGTGTACAATATTTAATCATCATAATAATACATTTTTCTTCTTCGTCTTCTTCTTATTTTTTGTGGTGGAAAGGTATTTTACTTTTCCTCTTCTTGGGGTGCTTTACAAACAGCTTTATGACCTGTCTTCCAATGCTCCTTTTGACATTCTCGAGAACAGTAAGAGACACGTTGACAGCGGCCACAGCGTTTGAAACTTCCAGGCTCTTCTTCCTTTTTATTGCAGTCCATATTAGCACATTGACGATGTGAAATATTATCTTGGGCTGCTTCTTTAGCCAATTGACGAATAAGCTTTTCTTGATCTGCCTGGCTTAGTTTCTCAAAGTTTTCATAGTTTTCCTTCTCAAGAGCTACACGGGCTGCCATTTTAGCTCTCAAGATACGAACAAGGTAATTATAAGCTTCTAAATCACCACGAACAAGGGCAAGTTCCATGTAATTTTGAGCCTTATCCATATCATAAAGACCATAATCTTTTGAGCCAAAAATGAGTCCGAGCATCATCATGGCATCTGCGTCACCATTGTTAGCTGCGTCCTATTATATAATAATGATATTATTATTTATACTTTTTTTTTTTGTACACAGTAGTACTAAATACGTTACCTCCATTAACTCAATACCAGTTACGATGTAGTCTTCTGGTTCACTACCTGGGTTTCCTGCTTCTTTAGCCAACTCGGCATTTTTTGACATGAGCAAATACATTCTGCCGACTGACATAAAATATAAGTACCACATTATATTTGACTTTTTCTGGTTCTTGTACTACTTACGTGCATTACATGATGCGGAGAATCCCCACTGTTTAGCTCGTTCGAAATATTCGATGGCCTTCTTGATATCCTTAAATGCCGAAGTATCCTGAGCAAAGCCTTGATAGATAATACCTAGGTTATGAGCAGAATCGGGATAACCTATGTACGGAATTAAACTTTAATTTTGTCACTTTTTTTTTCTTTTTTTTTCTTTTACCTTCTTGATAGGCTTTTTCATAATACTCAATGGCTTCTTCGATATTCTTTTCACAACCAATGCCATTCTCTAAAAAGAAACCTAATTTATGACATGCCATCTATATATATATATATGTATAAGATATGGTTCATTGTATATGATGTGGTATAGAAAACACATACAGGATTAGAAGCATCAGCTGCTTTTTGATACCATTCATAAGCCAATCCCTTAGCGGATTGACCTGATAAATTAGCACCACCAGCTAATTTTTCTTCTTGCATATAAAGAGATCCAATTTGGACAGCAGCCATTGTATAGCCCTTTTCAAATGCACGTTCTAATAAACGCTTGGCTCCTTCAAAGTTGGGACTAGCAGCAGGACTCATGGAAGCACGGTCATTGGGTCCAGAGGGTTCACGGCGAATACCGCCATAGAGCAAACTGCCCATAACCAAATCATGAATACTAGAATCTTGATCTTCATCTAATTGAAGTCCTTCTGCAGCTTTATCAATGTTCATTTCAGTAGTAGATAGCTTTTCAACAGCTTCATGTTGAATACTATCAAATAATTTATATTCGTCTGACCATTTGACATTGGCACGCTCAAGCTAGTTCATGGTTATTATCATATGAATACAATAAAAGCATGTACCTTTTTGCCAACATTGTTACGCTTCTCGTATTCAGTAGCGAGTTGTTGTGCTGCAATAGGTAAAGCTGTAGGCATCTGCTTTGCAAATTCGGGATCAGTTTCATTGTAGAGAGCAACAAGTAGACGTGATTGTTGCTCAGTCATGCCCAAGAAGGCAGGAACTTCTAAAGGTTCTGCACTGGGTACTGAGTCTTCATGCAAATGTTGGTCTTGTTGAATGGACATGATGACAAGAGAAAGAATCGATCAAGTTTTTTTTTTCAATGAAAAAAAAATGCACCATTCATTTGTGGCTTGTATGCTGCATTGTTTCTGATTATCTAAAAAAAGGGGGAGGGGGCGGAAAAGCAACCAACATTGATGCTACCATCAGTGGCTTACGAGAAAGAAAAAAAGGCACACATGAATAGCTGTCAATATTCATGCAAACTCGTCTATTTGACAAGTGACTTTATTTATTGAGAATATACATGATTATATGGTTGAATAAACCTTGCCCCCTTTTCCTGGTTATCCTTGTGCTCACATCGTACGACAAGAGCAAGAAACTCCACTTACCAAGCCTTAAAACTTTTCTATACATCCTCTTTCTCTCTCTCTCTCTCTCTCTCTCTCTCTCTCTTCCCTCTCTTTTTTTATTTTATTTTTAAATAAACAGCATGAGAGGTACCACCATCACATTGTTTGTTGCCTCATTGAGTTGCATTAAAGCAATCTCTATCCCTCAACGATCTGAAGCGCGTATGTACATCAAAGAAAAAAAAAGAGAGAGACAATTTGCTTATTTAGTCTAGAATGCGCTCTTATTCAAAACAGCATCTATTGCTATGGTGGTTTACTTGGTAATGGTTCCGTTATAGATACTACACTGTATAGCATGCCATTAGTTGATCTACCCAATAATAAATCAATGATCAACCTTGCCAAGACTTGGAACATTGTCAATGCCACTAACGTTGATTTTATTTTGGAGCCTAGAAGACGTACACATTCAGTCTCCTATAATAATTCTACTTTATTGATCACGGGAGGCTACACTTATAACAACACAGCACTTGTCAATCAGACCGTTGCTTATCACGCAGACACAAATACTTGGGAAAACCTTGGTTATTATACAGACTCACAAGGACGAGTAAAACAAATGTAAAGTGATTCAAAAAAGAAATGATTAAATTAAGTATCTCTATAGATACAACTCAGCCATTGTAAGCTTGTTTTCTGCTGGTAAAACGTCGGTCCTCCTTTACGGTGGTAACACAGAGTATGGTTTACATAAACTTTATTTTTGTCTAATCTATGAACACATTAGACACCCCACATACAATGATTCAGCAATCATTCTGACAGACAGTACAAAGCAAACTGTCATGCATCAAGGCTATACATCTGCTACCTTGTACGACTACATGACAAAACAATGGACTCAGCAAACTTCGCAAACAAACGTACCATCTGGTATCTCCTATTCAGCTCAAACAGCGACTCTTGACCCCAAGACGGGTCTGGTTTATTATTTAGGTGGATTCTATTCACAGAGTAGTGATGGTTACAGTGCTGAAAACAAGATGGATTATAAAAGTGCCAATGTCTTCAATACAAACTCTGGTGCTTGGTCAAATGTAAAATTAAGTGGTACATCTCCAAGTCCTCGTATGTTTCCAACAGCTACTTTGTGTAAGTTTGATATCTATAATTAATTTTTTTTCCTTTCAGCTCATCTTAAAAATAGTGCCTAATTCAAATGATATCTTGTTATTTGGAGGCACTTTAACTGGCAGTACAGGAGGTTTGTTCATGCCATTTTTTAGACCAGATTATTTAGATTTGTATAGCTTTCACTGATTTCTGCTACACTTTGAACTTGGATACGCTTACATGGACATTGCACAACATCAACACGGCTGGTCTTTCCTCTTCGCCTCCAAGATTTGCTCATTCGGGTACAAAAAAATAACATGTCAAATACATCTTATTTATTCCTTATATAGCTGTCTTGGTCAACACGAGTCTGTTTATCATGTTTGGTTTGGCTGTGTATAGCAATCCTTTGAATGACGTTCTTGTTCTCAGTGTGAATGATGTAAACAACTTGTATTTCCCTGATACCTATCCTTATATTGAACAAAACTTTACAAAACCCATGACAAATGATACGACTGTTACTAAAATAGCATCAGCATCCCTTAGTACAGGTGCTACTGCTGGTATCGCAGTTGCTGCTAGTGTTGCTGTACGTTTTTTTTTCTGTGTTTTTATTTCGTTTTGACTTACATCTCTTTAGGGACTTGGTCTTTGTGCTGCAGCCATATTCTTTTGCATTTTTAAAAAGAAACGAGACAAAAAGAAGATGGAAGAAATGTCTGTTGATTGGGATCAAGTTGAAGGCTTCTATACTGCTCAACCCGAAACTGAAAAATACTTTCCTGTTGAAGAGCCTCGATACGCAACACCAAATGCCTATGAAGATCATCATGATAATGATACTAAGGAAAGCACCACCGTTGTTTCAACACCTCCTATGGAACATGCCTCGTCCACTACAGTGTTGATGAAACCTTCTGTGATTGAGGGAAGTGATCATCGATATGTAAATCAGCCTATCATATTAAAGCCTGATTATGCAGAATAAAATATAATCTGATTTTCCATTGTTTCTGTTACACAACTTTGTACTCTACGACTTCATTGAACGTCCTGGGCCAATCGAGTCAATTCTTTCTTTTTCTTCTGGGTTCATACAATTAGAAAATAGCTAATGAAGAGTCTCTTTATTGACAAGGCATGTTCCTGAATTATATCCTTTCTTTTTTTAGAGAAGAATATAAGACATGCGCATTGGTGGTAGTTTTTAATGTAATATCAAAGGAAGTCTGCCTTTAAATGAGAATATTTTGGCAAATCAAATAAAAGTAGTTTATTCATGAACCAAGATAGAAAATATTAGAAAAGGTATATTATGATTCTGTGATTAAACAAGAGAAAGAGGTCAATAAGCTTTGACCATAAGTGCAACCAAAACAAGGATAATAACCATTAAAAATAAGCTGAAGACACTAAAGACAGTATTAAGATAGCCAATGGTACGTATAGAATATAATTCATATTCTTCAACAAGTTCAATCCGATCATACCGATAGTTTCGATATAGAAACATGCCGAGTCCAGCCCACCAGCAAGGAAAAAACAAGAATCCGAATAGAAACAGAAGTGTGTCCATAGAAAGCCTTTGGTTATATTTTGTCAATTCTTCTAGTGTTAGTTTTTGAGTAGGACCAGTTGTATTATCTGGTAGAAAATAATTTCGCAAGCAATGAGGTCTTTTGGTTGGATTTTTGTACTTGACTTTGCCTGTTCTACCTTCTATGTCTATAAAATAAGCTGAAAACTGAGTAGGAGGTGTTGGAAACTTGACAGGAGATGTCGTAGGTGTCGTAGATTCGCTGGAAATGGTAGGTGGCGGCTGAAAAAGATGCATGGCGGCTGACTTTAGATCTTGCTCTGTAAAACTAGTTTCGATTGTCAATTGTGGATCTTTTTTGCGTTTATAGGGCTGTTTGCCTTTTCTTTTTAGTATCTTGCCTATTCGGTTTGAAAGCGAGGAGGAAGAAGTGCTGTGTTGGGATTCATGCTGGCTTTCTCGATACATTGAACTCAGAGCATCCTGCATACTTTGCCGTTGTCTTTGTGGAGGTTGTAATTTCACTTCATGTTTAAGAATGTCTAATGATGGCGGAAATGTGGTTCGTTTCTGTTTGTTTAACCAGAGTTGTGAGGCTGTTAATTTCTTTTTTTTACGATAGATAATGAGAGACCCAGATAGGGTAGACCATCGCTGATTCTTCCAGCTTTTGTTACTTGATGTAATATCTCCTTGAGGGTTGTTCTCTTCTAGAAGCCACGGTTGTTTTCCTGGAGGTGATAATTTAACAAGAGACGATGAAACTGAAGAAGTGCTTTTGGAAATATTTGACTGATCATTATTATTTATACTAATATTATAATTAGATGAAGGAGAACTCATACGACATTCAAAAAAAAGAAAGAGAGGAAAAAACGAAAAAGAAAAGAAAAAAAAAACTGAATGATCTACATACTTTGTATCACAGCTTGTATGACAACCATCAGGTTTATGCATGCAATTATTTTGTTTACTTTATTTAAACAAGCGTGTATTCATGCGTGTTTCTTGGTGAGTATATTTTAGCAGCTTTTGTCTGAAGTTTCTTTTTTAAAGAGATGATGACTCTGTTATGTCTAAACATGTAAAAGATCATGGCTATAATAGCACCCAAGATAAACCACGATAAGCATCTTATATATTGTTGCGGTAATCCAGTCATGCCTTTCTCTAATGTAGTAGCCTGTTCGGACTCTGATAATGATGCTTGCAAATTGAAAAATTCTTTTGATTGAATTGTGTTTGAGATTGCTTTGTGTCCTGTACCAGTCACATGTACACTGTCCCACCAAAGGTAGCTGTCGACCGCATCAGTACATTGTCCTTGGCACTTGTCCCAGTATGCATCATCGACATTATCCATATTAAGGACAGAAGGATCCCCCAAGATGTCACTGAAGACTAGATATGTATCAAAGAACTCAATCTGATCTGATAATTCAGCACGCCAATCTAGGATTTGTTCTTCTAGTGCCACATTGAATTCGATAATATTTTGTTTTAAATTGGTCGTGCTTGATTTATGCGTCATGGCGTAAGGCGAAAATTCCAAAGCTGGTACACCCATCAGAATTATACGCGAATTGGGGTTGACAGAGTACAAGAATTTCTTGAAATGACGATTTAGAAATTAGGTAATGTTTCATAAAGATTTCACTTACCACTTGATCTTCAATACATTGAATCCATTGCTTGATATCCGATGTGGCTGTGACAAAAAAAATTAAGTATGCGTTTTCGTCACTTGTATCTAGTTACCTTGTCCTTTTGTTTCTATCAGGTCTGTAATACCGAGAAAGATTATTTGTACAGTAGATTTGTCTTTGTCGTTAAGGGTAATATCTTCATGCACTTGTTTTTGTAGCCAACTTCCATTAATTTTGTTGTTTTGGCAGAAAGTAGCACCTGGTACTGCTTTTGATACAAGTTGAGCGCTCCAACTCTTTGCTAGCTGTTGACTCCAAACTGGGCCATTTGTTTTTCTGGTTGCTGGGTGAATATCTAAACATAATGAGCATGAATGCACACAGTTCATGCAACAATACCGGAATAAGAATCACCATAAACTGTAATATAATCTAGATTTTCAGACATTTTCGTATAAAGAGGAATAAGATGCACACACACAGAAAGAAAGAAAAGAAAGAGTCAAAAAGTGATCTGATTATATATCAAAAAAAAAAGGCTGGAGAATATTAGAAAAGAAAAAAGTCAGACCACACAAATTGTATAAAAATAGTTTTTATTCATACACAAAAAGAGGCTTAAAATAATAAACAAACTATGATCAATTCTCTTCATCATCCTCTTCTGTTCTATTCGGTCCTAAGTCCTTGGAATATAATTTCTTGCCTGCCATTTCCATAAATTCCATGTCTTCGGCATGTCCTAAAATGCCTTTTCCACATGTGTCATCGGTATCATTTTCATCTTTTATAAGTGGTCTGACCAACCAAACTAACAAAAACGTTAAATATTATAACTTATCTAAATATATTACCTTCAACTTGATCAATTAAAAATGTTTGATCAGACGATAATTGAGGACTTAAATAAGTTGTGCACAAGGGTCCTGCTCTAGAATGTCCATGCATGAAATCAGCTTCAAGCCAAAGACCTGCATAATCGAATTGGCCACCCATACCGAGACCATTTGGCAGACTTTTCTTCCCCCAACAAAGGTATTGGTAATGGTTATTACTACCATAGCTAGCATTCCAAACACCGCACTCTTTAGCTAGTCTAAACAAAAATTGGATGAGTTGCCATACCAATCGGTATTGCCATTTGCCCAAGCTTCATCCGCGTAACCACCAAATACAGAACCGTCTTTGGCTTTAATCACCAGTAATGTGGCGCCTTGTCCTACCATTCTGTTGGCAAACATTTGCCAACTCGTACCGTCCCTTTTTGATGAGTATAATAGTGTATGTTCCAAATCATGTGTTACTTTTCTTGTGTTCTTTTCATATTCTGACCAGCTAAGAGCATCAGAGGGCAAATGAAGTGAAAGCATAAAGTAATCGTATGGATTCATGATGCTCGAGAACTTGTTGGCAAACAGACGTTTTGTTTCCTTGTCATGTTGCTGAATTTGAGGTGATATCAAATGGTTCAAGCGATCCTTGTGCTTGTCATGACTACCAGATGTATTGAATAAGAAACACTCTACTGTCAATTGGAATAAGCCTCGTAGTCCCGGTGCTTTTTCAATCCAATGCAAAAACTCAGCTTCAGCGATTTTAGAAGGTGACTGTATCACTTTTGTCTCCCACTTTTCTTGTTCTTGTTCCTTTTGTTCCAGGTCTTCTTCTAACCAAGACATGTCTACTTTTTGTTGTCTTTCTTGCTCATCAGCATGTATCAAGATATATCTGACAAGTGTCTCTGGTTGTGATATTTCAAAGTCCCAAGTATAACCACTGCCATTTTCAAACCAGAGAGGAATACCAGACTGAACAATCCAAGTAACAAATGTTTCCAACGAAATTTGTTTTTCCTTAACACAGTGTGCAAACACAAGATAGATAGATTCAGTCTGCCTTTGCTTTACTATCTGGTATGCCAATTTAAGATATTTTTCTTGACTAAAAAAGCTCTCGAGACTGGTACTCCATTCTTCACAGAAATGTTTTGGAAGAGAGTTGTTACTTGAGCGATTCTTTAGCTGCTCGAGCTCACTAGGTGACCATAAGTTCTCGTGTTTATTTTGTTGACTATGCGTATTGCCCATATTTTAAAGAGAAGAAAAAAGGTAAAGCAAAAAAGATGATGCATTAATGATAAACAGTGTCAGTGACTGGTTCTGCAGCATGGTAAGAAGGGAAAAATTCTCTTTTTTCTTTCCTTTTTTTTTTACACAAAAGCCATGCCACGTCCTTCAAAGGCATTGATTGATAAGACCTTTAAGCAACTTTTTGAGCTTAAACAATGTAAATAAACATCGCCTTACATGTGCCTTTTTCTTAAGATATATAGTGAATCAAGAATCAATTTTGATTCTTCATGCATTGTTTAGTGACACGCTATTAGAAGCGATTCATATCGCCGAGAGTAAATCTGGTAAGCACTGCAGCAATTAATCGAGAAGCCTAAATATGTTCCTAGTGGCCAAAGTAAAAAGTAATTCAGGACGTGTTGTGTTTAGAGTTTCGGACTTGTGTTTATACCCAGAAGAAGAGCGAGTAGGAAAAGAAAAAGAGGATGAAGAAATAGAAAACATATTCACTTGCCTTTTGTTTCCAAGGCATTGTTCATGTGAGACGTTCTTAAAAGAAGTGATTTTACAAGACAAATCGATTATGGTAACAAGCTCTATTTTTATGTGTTTTACTAATCCATTCAAAAAAAAAAAAAAGTGTCGCCATCTTTTAGCCATTATGATTAGCCATGCATTGAATATTTCTGAAAATATTCAATTGAATGATGAAGATTTTGCAGAGCACTATTACAGTTGGGTAGCATAATGCGCGTTCCCTTTTTTCAACATTGTACCACCATTTAAAATTACTCATATCAGCCCATCATTTCTCCGCCTTCTCTTTCTCTCTCTTTTTCTTCTAATATGACTTCCTCGCGATCTCAAAGGTCTTTTCAAGAGACTTCTTCTGCTAGTTATTCTCGAAATGGTTCTTTCTCGACCTCTGAATCGTAAAGATATATATTTGAATAATAAATTTCGTTCAATTAACACAACTTTTTTTTAGCAATACCTTTCAGCGACCCGAATCACCTACACTTCCACCAGAAATAAGTATCCAAAACCATTCTAGTTCAGGCCTTAGTTCTGAAACAAGTTCCTTCTCTAACCATGCCAATGAAAACTTATCAGTCAATCTACTCAAGTCACCCCACAGTGCCCTTCGATCCAACGAAATGAATTTTGTATCACCCACATCAAGTGAGTCCCGATAGCTATTCTATTGATAGTCCATTAACTTGTTGATTAGCCATTGACTCGACTCACTCGTATCAACCGTTTGATGAAACTGCATCTGCTGGAAGAATTGAACACCGTCCATCTCGATCCAAATCAAAGCAACCCAAGTCACCTCACTCTTCTTCAAATAGTCATTCAACTCGAGCACATCATCATCTTAAAACAAAAAATTCACACTCTTCGAAACATGGTAACAGAACCCCGGATCACTTGGCTGCAGCTATTGAACTCAGCACCACGAATAGCGTATCTTCGTCTGCACCTGCTGCAGGCATGTACTGGTCCCATACATTGACTTATGGTCGGGGACCTTCAAGACCTCTTCGAGCTCATACAGCAAATTTAGTTGGTGAAAGACTCTATGTCTTTGGAGGATGCGATACTTCAGTTTGTTTTAATTCTCTTTATATACTTGATATGGGCAGGTATTTCTAATTTTGTGTTTATTTTTTGTTGTTAACATCAAATCACAGACACCATGACTTGGTCCAAACCTCGTACTGCAAACCAAAATGCTCCACCTCCTTGTCGTGCTCATTCTTGCACAGTAGTTGAACGTGATCTGGGTTCTGGTAGAAAATCACACCAGCTTTATATTTTTGGCGGCGGCAATGGCCCTGAATACTTTCAAGATGTGTATGTACTGGATGCAGAATTGTTGGTTTGGTCAAAACCCAATATTGATCCTAGTACACGTCCTTCTAAGAGAAGAGCACATACAACATGTTTATGGAATGATAAAATCATTGTTATTGGCGGTGGCGATGGTGCTCGTGCTTTAGACGATGTTCATATGTTGGATGTCTCGAATCCTAGCAGCGAATTATTACGCTGGGAAAAACTACAGACGTCGGGAACACCACCTCCTGCTCGAGGTTATCACACAAGTAATCTGGTCAAGGATAAATTGGTTGTTTTTGGTGGTAGTGATGGCCATGATTGTTTCGAGGATGTTTATGTCTTGGATTTGCAAAAAGGAAAATGGACACAAATTGACCTTGATCGTAAAATTCCAAGGTTAGCTCATACATCTACTCAAGTTGGATCTTATGTCTTTGTCATTGGCGGCCATGATGGTAGGCGCTATTCTCAAGATGTGTTGTTATTTAATCTTGGTGAGATAAAGAAAGCTGAAACAAGGCAAAATACTAAGCTTTTTGTATAGTGACAATGAGTTGGGAAGTACGAAAAGTATACGGCGTCCCACCCAATCCTCGAGGATATCATACAACTGTACTTTATGACTCTAGACTATATGTGCTGGGAGGATATGATGGCAAAAATGTTTTTGATGATGTTCATATGCTTGAATTAAGTGCTTGCGCTTACTTGCCACAAATCACTAACTTTGAGATTGATGTCTAATGACTCTTGATAATAGACCCATTACTAATAAACTTTTTTAATTGTCGATCGATTCCTTGCTGAAATATCATATTATTGTACGACGCATTGATAGACTGCCAAAAACACTCTTAAATGCAAAGAGACTTTGTATTCAAAAATTAGATCAATACCAAATCTCCATTTGCATTGATGAACAGCAAGGCTTCAAGGGAGACCTCAGAGACAGAACTATTGCATACATTCTTTTAAAAATACAAAAATGGAGTTTAGTATTATTTACGGCAACACTCAATGTCCTAAAAGAAAAACTTTTAAACTCAAAAGCAAGAATTACAAACAGCAATGAAGGTCTATTCTTTTGGATAAACGCAATTTGTAGACCTAAAGTAAAATTCAAATAACAAGACATGTTATCATAGAGGACACCTTTCTAACTATTATATGTGAGGAAAAAGGAGTTCTTGAATGGTTTATTCTTAGACGTGAAAACTTTGATCCATTTCAATACAAAAAAAAAGGGCCTTGTCCTGATTTTTCTTTAATTAGCCATTGATTTCTTTAAGGAATGCTATGTTTTCTCTTCGTTAAATAAAAATTTCAATGTTATGCTAAAGACAATGAATATATATATATAGTGCATTATGCATTAACATGCCTGAAACAGTCTTGCTTTGAAGTTTCTATCGGTTCTGACTTTAAATGTTCTGAGCCATTCTCAACATCCTTGCAGCGCAGTCCTCTCGCTGCCTTTTTTCTTTTCTTTTCTTTTCCTGTTCTTCTCTACATAAACAATATGCCAGCATTTATTCGTCCTACTACTCACTTTCTCAAACAAGCTAGAGTAAGTGTTGCCCCATCTATAACATAAATTGACGCGTCTTTTCTTTAGTCTTTTTCTGTTTCTGCCGCTCGTTCAGACTGTAAGCTTAGAGTTCACTTGTTTATTATAGATCTTTTGACAGCTTTGTATAGTAAACAAGATCCAGTTGATCGGTCGTATTGGTGCTGATCCTATTACCAATGAAACTGGGGAAAACCGTCGCGTCACCAACTATACTGTCGCTACTTCAGAAACAAGACCTGACAAAGAAGGTAAGGAGATAAAATACAATAGATGGAGATATTCATTGTCTAGGTAACTTGATTAAACGCACCCAATGGCACCGCGTTGCTTACTGGCAACCTGCAGAATGGTTCTCCAAAGTTAAAAAGGGGTAAGGAGATATATATGAAAAGAGGTTGAGGATATTGATTTGTCATATAGTGATCAAGTGTATGTTGAAGGAACACTTCGCTATAATGACTACACTGATAAGGAGGGTGTTTCTAGAACCAAAGCCGAAATTAATCAAAGTAAGGGAATATATGATAGAAACAAGATAATTAATCACTCGTTTATAGCTTCTTTTAAATTATTAAACCCTTCTCGCAATAGCCAAGAGGATGATGAGTAAAAAAAAAATTTTTATTTGCATGAATAAACAATTTGAGGAACTGTTTTGTAAACATTTTAAAAGCCACAAACGAAAAGAAGCTGTGTACACATAAGAAAAAAAGTGTCTTTGTATCACAGTAACACAGTTTTTTTAAAAAAAGCTAAAATTATTATTATACTTTATTATAGAGAATTTAGATGCGTCTGCTTGAACTTAACCAAGAAGAGGAGCATTTTCGTCATTAGAGTTACGGCCTACAAGTCTGAAAACGTAAGGACGAGCAGGGTAAATAAGGGTGATAATAGCACCAACTAAAGCAGGCCAGTGAATCCAAGCATCATGTTGGTTAGTGAAGACGGCTAAGAGGCCGAGACCAATAACCATGGCACCAGTAACATCACCCTTGCTCTTCTTGAATTCAACGTAACCAATAGCGGTGGAAGTCAAGAAAACAACAGCAAGGATAGCTAAGATACGGTGCAAGGTGTGGGGACCATCTTCCTTAATGGAAGTAAAGGCTTGGAAAAAGTTGATCACAACGGAAAAGACAATCCAGCCGTGCCACAAAGAGAAAGGAGCATGAACAAAGAGCTTGTCCCACCAGCTAGTAGAAGGATAGTTCTTTTCAAGTCTGTCTATTGTATCGATAAAGATAAGATATATGTACATTTAGTCAAACCGTCACTTACAGAAGACATAGGAAACAGAAGAAGCAGTCAAGAGAGCAAAGATGAGGCCAATAATGAAGTGACCTTGTTTCTTCATACAAATAAGGGGAATGAGCAACACTGGTTTTTTTATAACCTGACACTTACCAAGAGAGTCAACCAGATAGCGTTAAGCAAGACAGAGAGAACAAAGTGCCAACCAACACCGTGAATAGCAGCTTCATGAGCAGGTTCAAACCATTGATAAATGACAAAGCCACCGAGGAGAACATGAATAAGAGTCCAAATGTATTCAATCCAGTAAGCTACAGAAACATGTTAGTATTCTTTCCCGAGAAAAATGATAAACTTACATGGCGTAAAGTAGGTTTGGCCTTCAAGGATAACATCTTTATTAGGAGAAGGACCTACGATGTTGTAGACGGTGGCAGAGAGGAAGAAAAGATAGACCACAACGTTGGCAATCTTTTGAGCAATATGAAGATTAGACATGTCTTGAGAAAAACAAAAGAAAAGCTGAAAGAAAAAAAAAAGAAGAGACAAAGAAAGAGTCGCGATATTTATGTTCTTTTTTCGCAGGTGTGACGAAACGCTTATGTTTGAATGGTGCAACAAAAGTGGTTTTTATATTCATGTTTCATTTTTTTTTCTTGAATATATACACACAGATATACTTTTGTGACGACAGTGACTATCATAAAGGTTTTCTTGGATGATACATGTGCATAAACAAACGAAATATGGACACACTTCTTAGTCTTGCTAAGTTGCACAATACGGATACATGTCTAAATAAGCAAGTAGCACTATACAAAGTTACTTGAAAAATCGCATGACAAGCAAATGACGTGAATTTTGCTTACATTGCAGTAAAACGCCCACGCTATTTTCTGTAAAAGGACAATATGTGCCTTAAAGCTGTAACCTAATTTTAAATGGCTGCTTAGATCTGGTTTTAAAAGTGTGTTTTTGAGAAAATGACATATCGTTTCTTTCGAGCTTGGATTGCAATATCAAGCAAAATTCTGGTGATTTGCTTATGTAATGCAAGAAAAAAACATGCTTTTTGGCTTCTAGTAGCAGTTTATGCGATTATTGTCAAAACTTTATGGAAGCTTGATTTAGTATATCAAGAAATGCACCATGCCTTATTTTTTCTTGCAGATCAGCCATAGTATCAATTGATACTGGCTGTTTTTGCCATTGCTTGATGTCTATAGTTTTTTAAGCCATAGAGTATATTGTTGCTGTCAGGAATATAAGGACTACTGGTAATTGGTCTTTCTTGGTCTCTTATGTAGCAGATCTTACCTCTGGAAACTGCTGATGATACTCTATAAAAAGACATGTGTAGGATTAATGATGTGGGAGAAAAATTAAAGATTTTATATTGCGATTGAAAATCATAGTTGGCTCCATGTGATATAATTTAGAAATTCAATTTGCTTTAAGCTCTCTTCAAACATTTTAATGGGAATTCATGAGATCTATAGGCACAGAACACTTCTATTATGTTACCATTAAGAGAAGTAGGTTCAGAACGCATTATGAGTTGCTGTGTTCCTGGCTTTTTTTTTTTTAGGCATTATAATCAAGCAAGCAACATGCATTACCCAATCTGATCACTGGCCCCTCGCACTACTATTCAGTGTCCGGCGTCCTATAAACCTTACACCACTTTTTTATTGCAGCACTTGTTTCTTCTTTCTCTCATTTTCTTACGTTTAAGATGTCCATCCTTCTTTTAGAGACTTTGAGGAAAGCTGAACTAGAACAGGTATAGTGTTTCTGTTCCTGAGAAGAAAAGTTCTTTTTTTTTTGTTACTAAAATACGCTCTTACAGTATTATTCCAGGTACAACTTTTCTTTTTCTGTTTCATCTCTTCATCTCGACTTACTATTGATAAAATAGCTTCTCCTCAAATGGAATCACACAGCTAGAGACACTTGCACAAGTAATATTATACAAACCTTATTTCTAGTAAACTTACAGGTCATAGTTGTCTATGCAAGACTATAGTAGTTTAGGCATAACTTCTATTCCTGATAGAAAGAAACTCTTCCAGGCAAGTCATATATATTTAAAAAAAAAATCTCTTATCAAACTTTTATTTTAGCTTGTTCAGAGCCTACGACAAGAAATCCCAACTTTAGAAAATGGCCTCGTTTCATCCCCAACAAAATACCGCTTAAATAAATCACCTCCAAGCTCCAGCAATGCGTCTATCAGTTCCTCGCCTGGAATATTCCCTGATCTGTCAGGCCTGAGTGTTGCTAATTTGGCAAGAAGATCAAGCGGCCAAACCGCTAACATGCCTCCTGCCCTACCTCAGATACCAACTCGTTCACGATCACGTACTCTGCCTACATCTGACAATCCCAATCATCTCTCACCTTATCATCAGAACAGTTTACGACCTGAATTACTAAAGACAAGTAATAGCAGTAATAACTTGTTTCTTAATGAAGATAATTCTATGCTGTCTGATGGTGAAGATTCCGATAGCTCTCAGAAATGTGAAATCAGAAGAGGTTCGGGCCCGCTTTTGGATCCCTACGGTGTTCCGATTCAAAACAAGATACGCTATAACAGTATGCGTCACCAATCCAACACAGCGTCCCCCTCTTCTAATAGTTCACCTTCGCAGCAGTTTCAACAAGCTATTGGACAGAGTGATTTAAATCAAAAGATCCGTGTTTGTGTCAGAAAGAGACCATTGAGTAAAAAGGAAGTAGAGAGAGGAGAAAAGGACATTACACCTACAGCAGGTGTTCGAAGCATCAATGTCAATGAACCAAAGTAAAGTTGTGTCTAGCATTGACCTAGTACTCATCTTGTTGTATAAATAGAATGAAGTTGGATTTGACAAAATATATTGAACAACACAGCTTTACTTTTGATGATGTCTTTGATACTGACGAATCCAATGAAAAGGTGAAAGAAAGAAAAAGCGTTGGCTTATTTAACCCTTTTCTGTCCTTTAGATTTATCAAAGAACAGCTCAACCATTAGTCAAATATGTATTTGAAGGAGGAAAAGCAACTTGTTTTGCATAGTGAGTATCTTTAGTGTTTGTTACATAGAATTCATTAGCTTTCTTTTATAGTGGTCAAACGGGTTCAGGAAAAACATATACCATGTTGGATCCAAAATTAGGTTTATATGTTCTTGCTGCACGTGACGTATTTTCCTTGATCCGACAACCTCAATACGAACACTTAAGTGCCTGGATTGGGTTTTATGAAATTTATCAGGGGCAACTGTACGACTTGCTCAACAACCGTAAAAAGCTATTTGCTCGAGAAGATGGCAAGCAAAATGTGGTGATTGTAGGCCTAAAAGAGTTTGTTATCAAAAATGTAGAGGATTTGATGCAAGTGTTTGAATATGGTAGTCAGTCGCGTAGTACAGGTAGTACAGGCGCCAACTCGGATTCATCCCGATCCCATGCTGTCCTTCAAATCTTATTGCGTCCAACTAAAAACCGCAAAAAGATTATTGGCAAATTGAGTTTTATTGACTTGGCTGGTAGTGAGCGTGGTGCTGACCGTGGTGAGACGGATATCAAGACAAGGATGGAAGGTGCTGAAATCAACAAGAGTTTGTTGGCCTTAAAGGAATGTATCCGTGCTTTGGATCAAGATAAGAGACATACGCCATTCCGTCAGAGTAAACTGACTCAAGTCCTAAAGGACTCCTTTGTTGGCAATTCAAGGACTTGCATGATTGCTACTGTATCCCCTAATCAAAGCAACAGTGAACATACACTAAACACATTACGTTATGCTGACAGGTAAGGGTTGCAAAAAAAAAAAAATCATGCAAGAAAATGAATATCCATTGATGATGTTTTAGAGTTAAGGAACTTAAGGGAGAACGGGACAGAAGAGTGCTCAGTAGTAGCACAGATAATAGTAACAATACCATAAACAATACCATGAACAATAACAACAATAGTAACAGTATGGATGAAAGTAACTTGGTGCATCAACGCCAGTTGTCTTCCTCTGAAGAATACCCTAATGAAGACGAATACCCTAACGACTATGGAGAGTCAGACGATGCTGAACTGTATAATGACGTTGAAGATGATGACTTCCTTTTACACGATGAAGATTTCCCCACTGATGGTGATGTCAACATCTTGGATAAAGATTTCCTTCATGAAAACAACAATCGTGAAAGTCAAGACCAGCTCACAATGCAACAGCAAAGAAGAAGCTATGAACCTCCGCCTGTTTCTTCTCGAATGATACCTTCTTCTGATAATAACAAGTTTAAACATCCACTTGATATGGCAACTATCTCTTCTTCCCCAGATTATGTGTATGAACAGAAAATACCTAAACAAGACGAACCTACACCTGTAGAACCTTCTCCTCCTCAATTGGAAGAGTGTCTGTTTTTCGACCCAAACACAATTGAATCCTTTATCAAATTTCATCGTGCTCAAATAAGAGAAGTAACCGAGTATTCAAAGAAGGAAACAAAGTTATTGGCCAACTTCTCTTTGGGTCTATCTAGCAGACGCAATGATGATGAACAACAACCTCCTTCAATAAGAGAAGAGCTCAAGACGTCAAGTGAGTTTATAGGCTATTTGGACAACTTGGACGAAGTGTTGGAGATGAAGACTGCAGCTATTGAAGCACTAAGAGATCGTATACGTCATGTTTTGGGTGAAGAAGAGCTTTAGTCTCTTTATTTATGTTACGGTATATAAATAAATAGCAATTACACCAAAAACCGTGTATTAATCCCATGAGCAAAATTGTAAATCATCACCTGTGTTGAATTAGAACAACACATAATCTTTGTGCAGTCAAATTTAAGGTTTAGAATTCTAAACAGTGTTAGATTAATGTTGGGTTCTTTTATCCAGTTACCTTCCGTCTGTAGCCTGTCCCAAATCTCTAATCAATCTCCCTTCTGATAAACTCCAAATCTTGAGCTGACCATTATAACAACCACTAATAATCAGGCTAGCAGCTGAATCAAGCTGTATAGCGCGAACTAGCTCCGTATGGCCAAACAAGGTATATATACACTCACCTGTCAAAGCATCCCATACTTTGATTGTTTGGTCACTAGATCCACTCACAATATGTTTTCCATCAAATTCGACACATGCAACACCTCGCGTATGTCCTGTCAAATCTTTTAAGCATTCTCCAGTATCTAAATCCCATATCTTGATGGATCGATCTCCTGAGGCTGATACAATCCGGTTGTCTTTGCACTGTGCTGCATTGACAGCTGCTCGATGTCCTTGAAAGACCCTGATGAGCTCACCAGTATCTCTGTCCCATAATCGCAGGGTACGATCCTTTGAGCAACTCAAAATACACTTTTCTTTGACAATACGTATTCCAAGCACACTATCTTGATGTCCAGTCAAAGTACGCAACACCCTTCCTGTTTCAATATCGAAAATGATCACAGTAGAGTCAGAACTTCCGCTCACAACATGTCGGTCGTCATATTGTAAACAAAGAACACTGCCTTCATGACCGCTTAGCTGTAGTTTGCAAGTTGCAGTTGCCAAATCCCAAATCTTGATTGTTCTATCACGACTTCCTGTTACGAGTTTATGCTTGTCAAATTGAATACAATAGATGCCTTCTGAATGCATATCAGCCATACGAGTTGAGTCTGGTGGGAACTTCTCAACCTTGCAGCTCCCTGATAACCATCTCTTTTGGATCTCAAATCGATTTTTATAGAGTGCTTTCCAGTCAATAAAGCGAGTGTCGGAGATAGGATCATAGCCATTTACTTCATGCTCGGCCTGTGCTTCTTCAAGATTTGATTCATGTCTAGCGATTTTTTGCGTACCTGCCTCTTTTTTCCCTTGTCGCTTGATGGATAGTAATGGTCTGTCTTTTGTATGATTAAACAAAGTATTTCTTTTGATCGGAACAGGCGAGAACTGGTTTACAATGGCAATATTCCCACTACTCCCACTACTAGCGGCATCATAGTCTTCTTCTTGAGGTTTATTATAAAGGAAATTTTCCATCTCTGCATGATTGTATTTCCAGTCATGTAGCTCAAACAGTCCTCTCCACAAGGCTTGTTCTTCAGATATCGCTTTCCAACTTTTGGAGACTCTTGAGGCCTGAGCAAGTGAGCGACTGTCGAGAAAGCTGAATATGTAAAGAGCTATTTCATAGGGTAGTTGCTGAGTAGCGTTAGCATAAGATAGACTTATTTTTCAGGGTAAAACACAAACAAATATAATATCATGGTGTAAATAAGGTGATAAGCGGTGAATAACACTGTTTACTTCGCTAGGTGGAAGTGTTCGTAATAACTGGAAAGCAAACTCTAGTCAACAATGAGTGATCCATAGTTTATTTCGCGCGTTCTTTTACCGGCTTTTTCTTTACTTGACCATTCTGACATAAAACTAGGTGGCTGGAAAGAATGCTCTTCTGTTTTGGATTTCATGAGTTCAAAAAGAAAAAAAGCGTCGATAGCGTTTTACCTCTGATATTCTCAGCTAATATTACGTAATGATGGGCTATTTTATTTAGAGAAAGGCGTAGCATGAATTTATCCCTTGATACATAAAAACTGCCTTCACTTTAGGACAAGAATTCATTCAAGCTCATAGGAAAATTTCACTCAACGTTACGATGACTCAATGCTTGTCCAAATGATTCATTTTGAAAGGATGAAACAATACAATCGTAAATGATAGATTTTGTATATGAGCATTTGATAGTAATTCAAGCTAGAAGCAATTGGATGTGCTGCGGTAGGAGAGTGCGAATGTGAGCTGTAAAAACCTATTTCTTCTTCTACTTATATTTTCGATCCTTATAGTACGAGATATGGACTATTTGTCGAGATACAACATTAGTTCAAGTTCTTTTTTTAGCTTAATTAACTGTGATTTATGCAAGTATAAATACAGTTAAGCCTATATAAATAGCAGATATAACATGATCTGAAAGAAAGCAATCTACTAGTCTTACTATATTTTTGAAAGAGATTAATTGAAATCACTTCTTACGTTGCTCAATCTAACAATAGTTATCGAAATAGGTTATTGGTTTCTTACTTGATCCTTAAACTCACAAAGTATATGGAGAATGAGACATTTATTCTTTGTAGCAAAAAAAAGAAAGTTGATCTTAAGAGGATAAATGTAAAAAACAATGACATTTGAATTTAAAATTATAAAATGCTACACACACCACATGATTGTGTTTAAAGCAAAAGAAATTCCGGCCAACCAGATTCGAACTAGTGACCTAAAGATGACAGTGTACACTACAGTCTTCCGCTCTACCAACTGAGCTATGGCCGGATTTGGATAAAATGTCGATTTGATATTTTACTTAGGTTTGTATTCTTATAGTCAAGTCACGAGATAAAAGAACGTTTCTTAGCCAATAGATTCACTGGGAAATATTCTGGAAATAACGTGACGTCACAGAAAGGAACTGTGTATTGATACAGTAAGTATAAGATCTTTATTTATAATAAATGTAATGTTACCTGTGTATTGATACAGTAAGTATAAGATGAAGAACTTACAAGTATCAATAACACAGTATTTATATGTTTTCTAATTGTACTAAAATATATAAACTATAACATATGGAGAAGGAAGTAATTAAATACTTAAAGCTGATTGATGTTTCTGTCTTGACGAATCTAAAGTGTGCTTGGCTTTACTAATGCGAATCAAGTTGAGGCGGACTTTCTTTCTTCTTTTGTTCAGTACTTGTGGTTTAAACCTTCGTTTGTTCGGATTATAGTTTGTTGGAAGGTTATATTCAACTTCAATTGGCTGTTTCTTACTGGAATCGCTATTTTCTGTGACATTACCCCCCTCCTGGCTTGATGTTCGTCTCTGAACATTAGAAGCTTGGTTAGAAGGAGGTACTGTAAATGAGGAGCAAGGAGCAGACGCGTCTTGAATACCAGACAAAACCGACATCGGATTGGTAGTAGAATTTGTAAAAGAGTCATCCACGTCCTCAGCATCGTCAACATCAATGTCAATGTTAAACTCGGAATCAGGTAGATCTAACGAATTAGGTGCAGAGTCTGTGAGGATTTCCTGAGCGTCGACAAATTCGTCATTGGCAATAGATATTGGTTCAGTAGTATCTATGGCGAAATCGCAAGGAGGTGCAGAGACAGAAAGCATCTGTGAATTGTTTGTAGTAGGTAGGACATTGTCGTGTTTAATGTCCAAAGGGGACTCATCACTTGTTATAACAGGTTCAGCTGCCAGTTTCGAGACAGGAGAAGATACCTTTAACGAAGAATGGCTTTGATTGTATATGGTAGGAGACATAGCTTGGTCAGGTAAATCCAAGGTCGGCAAGAATGGTGAGTTTGAGTCGTATACCTGTGTACCAGTTGCATTTTCTATGCGTGGTGTCGAACTAATAGGAGTGATTATTGTGCTAGTTGAGTCAATGATAGGTATGGAGTCATTTGTATCAACAGGATCAACATGGTCAATACTGGGATCAACTTCATCAGCCGTAGGTTCAGGAATGGTAGCAGTTGCATCGATAGGTGTCTCTTCAATTATGTCATTTGTGGCCAATTGAGGGGGAATAGATGGTACCACCGCTGAACGTCCAATGTTTGTCATGACAGAACGCCATTCTTGTCGAGCAGTTGTAGGGTCATACCAGGGTTCAGAAGATGAATGTCCATTAGCTAAGCGCAATCGATCTATGTGGACCAATGATTTTAACGGCTCACCCGCTAAAGTTTGTAGCTTGTATGTACCGAAATCAGGGAAAGATTGAACAATAATGTAGGGTCCTTTGTAATGTGGTTCTAGTCCATAACGGCCTTCATGCGTGAGAACCACTTTATCGCCAACTTCGAACGCAACCTTCTTGATCTGAGCGTCCCATCTCTCCTTGTCTTTGTCAGCCATAGCTTTCATTCGGAATTCTGCGGCTGCACGGTGTTGACCCAAATCTGCTAATTCCCTTGAAGTCAAATCAGCGATTGTTCGTTCATCAGCAAATGTCTTTTTATCAAGATAAGGCACTAATGGGTCGCCGGGTAGTCTTGGTTCTCGGCCATAAGTTAAGAAGAAAGGACTGTAACCGGTAGTCGAGTGTACTCGTATTCTTGAAGCCCAAAGAGCCGCGTTAACAAAATCATCCCAACGATGCAGTGCGCCGTTCACATATTTTCTAAGCATGCCCTTTATCACAGCATTGAAGCGTTCCACCTTAGAATTAGTACGAGGATGGTAGGCAGAGGTTAGTTTATGATGGGCACCTACTCTTTTCAGGTAAGCGTTGACCAATTCGCTGTTAAAGTTGGAACCTCGATCCGTCAATACCTCAGAGGGGCAACCAAAACGCATCATGATTTCTTCGTAGATGAAATCGGCAACAGCTTCCTTAGTGGCGGCAGGTACGGCACGGGCAATTGGCCAGTTAGTTGCATAGTCAACAGCGACTAATAACCAACGGTTTCCTTTTACGGTCAAAGGTAGTTCGCCAATGAAGTCTAGGTGCCATCGGTCAAAGGCAGTAGGTATCTTTAAGGGGTGCATAACGTCATGGTGGGTATGGCTAGGTCGGCTGTTGACTTGACATGCAGGACATGTTTTCAACCAATCTTTCAAATCACGTTTCATACTTGGCCACCAAAAACGAGGTGTAAAAAGCTTAACCATGGTTTCGAAACCAGCATGACCATTCGCCTCATGATAGCGAGCAACCAGATCAGCCCTTGAAGCAAAAGGTACGAAAGGAACCGCCTTTGTTGTTTGTTTGTCATCTACTTGAACCAAACGATAGACACGACGATCTTTAACCACAAATTTCTCATGCTTTTTTTCTAGATAGTGTCTTAATTCGGCAGACTTAACTCTATTCAGATCAAGATAGAGCATAGGCCAATCCAGCTGGATAGATTCTGGTGCATTCTTCATTGTCCAAGTAGCATATAAGAATTCTGGTTCTAAGGACGACTCAGCACTAGTAGATTCAGGGCCACCGATTCTAGACAATACATCAGCTGCATTGTTTTCTTTACCAGGCTTGTACTCAATAGTAGGTGAGTAAAGCTCCAACTCGTTCATCCAACGCACCAATCTTGGGCTCATTTTATCTTGCGACCTCAAGTAACAGTTGGGAAGGTGGTCAGTCAAGATCTTGTAGCCTCCGCGACAACCATCAAGAAAACATCGCCAAGTACGAAGTGCATGTAAGATCCCCATCAATTCACGCTCTTGAGCAGGGTAGTTACGTTCTGCAGAGGAGAATTTTTTCGATTCGTATGCTACCGGATGCCACGCAGGAGGGTCCTTATCATCGGGTTGCAAAAGCACAGCACCACAACCAAAATCAGATGCATCTGTTTCCACTCTAAAAGGCTTATTCATATCAGGAGCTTGTAGCACAGGGGCAGAGACCATCATTGTCTTGATTTTATCAAAGCTTTCTTGACACTCCTTAGTCCAGACAATAGGACGTCGTTTAGGACCAGTGCCTTTAGTGAGATCAGTCAAAGGAGAAGCGATTGATGCAAATCCCGGAATGAAACGTCGGTAATGTTGAGCTAGGCCAATAAAAGATCTGACTTCTTGGACATTGGTCAAGGCAGGCCATGAATTTAATACCTTGATTTTGGCACGACTAGGTAAGATACCATTGGAGGTGATATCGAATCCAACAAATGTCAATTCTCGTTTACCAAACTCACATTTTTTTAGATTTGCGATTAGGTTGGCATTTTTGAGTTTGTTCAATACCATGCGTACATGTTGCTTATGCTCTTCTAGTGATTTACTGTAAATCAAAATGTCATCCAAATAAACCAAAGCAAATTTGTCTAAGTAGTCACCCAAGATTTTGTTCATTAAGCTTTGGAACGTTGGAGGAGCATTGGTAAGTCCGAATGGTAAAACCAAGAATTCAAACTGTCCGTATCTGGTGTTAAACGCCGTCTTTGGCACATCTTCTGGATTGATGCGCACTTGGTGATAGCCCGACTTCAAATCAAGACTTGTAAAATAAGTGGCACCTTGCAGGCGATCTAAACATTCATCGATCCTTGGTAACGGGTGGTTGTTCCGAGTGGTTACACTATTCAAAGCACGATAATCAATGCACATTCGCATTTCTCCAGTTTTCTTTTTCACAAATAGAACAGGTGCTCCCCAAGGCGAAGCGCTTGGACGAATCAGGCCTAATTGTAGCAGTTCTTTGATCTGCTTTTGCAGTTCATCTAGTTCGGCAGGACTCATTTTGAATGGAGGGCGACTGATAGGCTTGGCTTCTCCCGTGTTGATGACATGAGTTACGTCACGCTCCGGAGGTAGCCCAGGTAATTCATCCTTGAAAACTGAAGAGAATTCTTTCACTATTTTATCCCAGTATTCTTCTTTTACAACCATAGGATTTCTTTCGTTTACTTCAGCAGAATTTACGTACAACAAGTAACTCTCAGCTCCTCTACGAATACTCTTTTCCGCCTGTTTTTTTGATATCAAGTAGTTCAGTTGAGGGATTGTAGGACGTCCTTGACGGTAGTCATTTCGAGGAACTAGTTCAACTTGCTGTTTCTTGTCTTTACTCTGTATATACCAAGTATCGTTGGACCAGTCAGGGCGCGGATCGACATCCTTCAACCAAGTTCGACCTAGAATTACATCAAACTTAGTGGGGAACACGTAGGCTGTCACCTTGGTCTTGAAACCTTGTAAGTCTAAAAATACTTCGACCTTTTGATTAATCTCGGTTGTTTCGCCACCAGCAGTTTCCACTCGTCGATCATAAACAGGAGTAGAAGAGACAGCATGCTTTGCTACACTGGGCGACACATAGTTTTCGCTTGCGCCACTATCGATCAATATGTCTAGACTAGTACCATCAACTTTGCCATGGTATAGAGGTAGTTTTGTAGCGACTACGTTTAGTTCAGACAAATACTGAAACTCTTCTTTTAGCCCTTTACTTGGATGAATGATAGGCACTAATTCAGTAACAACGCCGTGTTCAGTTTTTGTAAATTCCTCGGGGTCTTGGTCTTTAGTGATTACAATAGAATCATTATTATCGTCGTTGTCATCAGTATCAGAATAAGGTGTGTAATCTTCAACTTTATTTGACTTTTGAGTAAAACATTTACAACAAGTTGTGTTACTATAGTCATCGCTTGCAGGAAGATTTTCTGAATCTTCACCTAGCTGAGCTTCCTGTTCCTCAACTAGGTTTAATGAAAATCCTTTGACGAACTAGCACCATTATTCTTGTTTAGTTTGCGATAGCGGTCTTGCTCCATTCGACGGATATCTTCACTACGCATTTTGCAAAAACGGCGAATGTGACCAATTTTGCCACAGTAATGACAACGGGTGTTTTGTCGAGGAGAGGAGGTCATCACGCTTAAATCCATTGGCTCGCCGGCATAGGGTCTCCTTGGTGGAATAGAACGGTTGGCATTGAAAAATCCAACATTTCGACGATAAAAAGTGGGATTTTCATGTATAGCGCTGTCGTGTGCAATTGCGACACGAATGGCTTCTCTCAAGTTAGTACTTTGGGCTTGACGAACTTGAGAACGGGTATCCCGGTTAGAGAGCCCGCGCATAAACTTGTCGCATGATTCATCTTCGGTAATTCCTGGGATAGCAGCAATGATGTCCATAAACCATTAATATAGTCGTTTAGGGAACCCATTTGTCGGTAGGCTGCCAATTTATCTCTGGCAAGTCGGATAGAGTCATCGGGTCGGAAAAAATCCACCAATTCCCTTTTAAGTGTCAACCAGTCTTGTGGTTCTTCTTCAGTATCAGATTCCAGAGTACGGTACCAGGTGTCGGCCCTTCCGCGCAACAATGTGACAGCATAGCACTTAGTTTGTCTGGAATCCCAGCCTTGGAAATCAGCGTAACGTTCCAAGGTACGAACCCATGAGTCAATAATCATTGCATCGCGAGTACCGTCGTAGGTTGGGGGTTCAATTGTACGAGGTACACTTCTACCACCATTGTTATTCAAGGCCTTGGTAAATTCTTGAATAAGGGAGACAATAGCAGTATTGTCAGACAAATCAGAGGTAGAGTTTTCTTTGGACATTTTTTTTTTCAATAATACACCAGTACTAATCAATTAAGATAATAGAGTAATTACAGCACGTAGGCAAAATAAAGATACAATACAGCACTTAGGCACAGATATACAGCACGGAGGCACACAGGGAGATACAACAGTCAGGAACGGAACGTCTGATGCTACCAATTGTCGATTTGATATTTTACTTAGGTTTGTATTCTTATAGTCAAGTCACGAGACAATAGAACGTTTCTTAGCCAATAGATTCACTGGGAAATATTCTGGAAATAACGTGACGTCACAGAAAGGAACTGTGTATTGATACAGTAAGTATAAGATCTTTATTTATAATAAATGTAATGTTACCTGTGTATTGATACAGTAAGTATAAGATGAAGAACTTACAAGTATCAATAACACAGTATTTATATGTTTTCTAATTGTACTAAAATATATAAACTATAAATATGGAGAAGGAAGTAATTAAATACTTAAAGCTGATTGATGTTTCTGTCTTGACGAATCTAAAGTGTGCTTGGCTTTACTAATGCGAATCAAGTTGAGGCGGACTTTCTTTCTTCTTTTGTTCAGTACTTGTGGTTTAAACCTTCGTTTGTTCGGATTATAGTTTGTTGGAAGGTTATATTCAACTTCAATTGGCTGTTTCTTACTGGAATCGCTATTTTCTGTGACATTATTGAGAATTTAAATAATTATTCTATTTAACTTAAAAAACTTATGATGTAGTGACGTAAGCAGCCATTCCGATCCGAGTCTGTTTGTGTCCGAGTCGCTTCTATACTATGTGTGTACGTAGTAAAGTGGTGAAGCACCCTCTGAGTAATGGTTGTTCTTGTTCTGGGTGTTGTAATAGATGTTGGTGATGATTCTGGTGCGTTCGTGTGAACATGTGGATCCAAGGGCCAACAAGAATACTAGCAAGCAAAACAATAAGCCATCTCTCATTTCATACAGGTCATGTATTTTCTCAACAGTGTTAATTCCCATAATTTTCTCATACTCTTTCTTATGCAAGTAAATCAAGGCCTTTATTATCTTTACTTCCTTTTTTACCCGTTATCTGTCTGTACCTGTGATGATCTGACATTAAATAAGTCTTCAATTACATAGTAAAACATATCATAATCAATTTACATCAGAAATAGACATAAAAGAACCTCTTGTACTGAATAAGACAATGTATCTTTTAACAGACTAAGACTTATGACTGAAATCCATAATTTACATTATTTAATTAATTTAAAGTAGTCTATGATAATAGAGACTCAGTCATTTGCATGAACTCTACTACTACTTACTCCGACATCTCTTCAAAAATGATAACAATAAAATTGTATAAAACAGTCTCAAAGTATCTACCTTTGTCTATACATTAACTTATCATATAACTCTCTATTATCAAAACATCACAAGAATAAACCTATACAAGTTCTAATCGACTTCTTTGTTTTTTTATCTTTTCTCTTACAACATCACAACAATAACAAATAGAAACAATGTTTTTTAACAAGTTTTAAGATTTAGGTATTTGAACAGTGAATTTTTTATTTAAACCAACGAGTTGCTAGTGCTATCCCAGTAAAGAGGCACTTTATCATGCAGAATTTCACCAAATTCCTTTGCAGCCTTCATGATCGCACGAACATTTTCTTCTTCGGAGCCAAGGAAATCACGTAATGTCCAACTAGGAGCCTCTCCAATCTTTAAAGTCAAGTTTTCAGCAAATCGATCAACCCCAAGCTTCTTTGTAGAGCGAGACTTTATACAAAGAACGGTGTGGTTCAAAAGCAGTAAGATCTACAGGAAGTTCATGATCTTTTCTTTTGATACGAGTCATGTCCCATATCTCATCTTTACAGACTTCAACCACATATCCTTTCCAGTTGTAGAGCCATTTTGTCTTTTGAGTCACCAAATGAGGGACATAATCACTAAAAGTAGCCATGATCAATCGTTTATCAGGTGAAATGCGCAGGGCTTGCCAGAATTTAGAATGAGGTGTATCGAAGTCATTGTTGGGTAATTGACGGGCATGTTGTAGCTTGAGATCCCAAGAGTAACGTCCTTCAATGTTGGTACAGTTGATATCGACTAAATCTGTACAGTCTGTCATAGTGTTCCAAAGAAGTCGAGAGCCTGTTTCAGTAAAAGAGACTTGCATGACAGTATCCCACATATCACCACGCGAAGCTTCACGCTGACCAGACACACGGGGTGGAGCTGCTGCTGGGTACTGCTTTGCATGAACCACAAACGAAGTGCGTGGGTTCTCAGAGTATTCAACAGCATCCGTACCGTTGGAAAGATAGTCAAACAAGTGTTGAAGATGATCCCTTGTTTTGCTCATACAGGGTGCTAAAGCAGACTTGAACATGGGCTTACGGAATATCTTGTCGCTGACTTTTTCAATTGATAGGTATTTATCATCCTTCTTGGGGTAATTCATCAAACAGATACTACCATATCGAATCTTCATACGGACCATCCAGTCATTTAAACGTAAACTTTCGATACCATCTGCCAAACTCTGTTCAATAAAGGTTTCATTGCGTGCATTTAATTTTCGTCCTTGTTCAGACAATTCCTGAGGTCGTTCATCACTCAGACTGATGAGAGACATTGGTGTACCATGAGCCACTGTTTCCAATAATCGGTGCTTTTCTAACATCATTTTCTCTCGTTCAGGGTCTGCATAAGTGTAAGTGACAAATGTACTCGGTAATCGACGGTATCTCAAGAGCCATTGCTTGGAAGGTTGTTGCAATAATCGCAATGTACTTCCAATAGGCTTACGACAACAACGCAAATACCAGTTACGAACACGCTTGCCTGCTTCCCTGACAGATTCCTCTGTATCTGCATTGATTCGGATCAAATTGCCTACTTCTTCGTACCAAAGGAACGCTTTGCATTCAGCCCGAATCGAATTGAAGTATTCTTCACCTCGATCACCCATAAAGCGCACTAAAGGCAAGCGTTTATCAGGCAAAGGAAACACAGCATGGAAGTTTTGAGGTACAGCAGGTAATCCTTGGTATCTTTTCTCTTCGTCCATCTTGGCTTGCTTTCGTTCAGCACGTCTTTTCTCTCTCTCTGTCAATTCGCGCTCAGGCTTACTCCATTTCTTCGTTTTGCGAAGGGAGCGTGTGTCGTTTTCGTTAGCACGAGCAGCAATCGTGTCGAGGTATTCTTTTGTCTTTTTGATAGCGATTTCGTCCCCCCAGATATCGATTTGATTGTAGTCTGAGTTGTATTCAATGTACGAGTTGGAAGCGCGTTGGATTTCTTTGGCGCGTGCCTTGTTGAAACCACCCAGGATATCCATTGGGTTAAAATGGGCAGGCAAGACCCAGTAATCATCAGCGTTTCGATGGACAGTTTCTGGTACGACAGTCGTGTCTGTAAAACTACGAACTGAACCACTTGAGACGGGTGTGTCTGCTCGAGCATGTTGAAGGCTCATGTCGATAGTGGGTGTTTGTTGTCGCGATTGTGATTGTGAAGGTATACGAACAGTGGTATCTCTCCAGTCATCATCATTATCAGAAGCTTCATCGTCGTTAAAGGTATAAGGTATTTCTGGTTCAATAGACATTTTTGATTAACAAAGAAAAGAAAAGAAAATAAAAAAAAGAGAGAGAGAGAGAATTTATTTCTCGATGATGCCTCTATTGTTTTGAAATAGAATAATACCCTTTTTTTTTCATGTTATTTTTATAGAAACAGCCATCATAGAGTGTTGTATAATGTCTGCTTAAATACGCACATACAAAAAAGAAAAGATGCATAATCAAACAGACCCTATTGATTTGGAGGCTTAGATGGCTTTAAAAACGCGTATTTTTCATTTCTTTTTTTTTCTCTCTCTCTTTTTCTCTTTTTATTATATGAACCTTTTGAATACAACAGTAGACACTAAACTTGGAACAATAGCTGAAATTAACGGCAATCTAAGTAAATATAGTTGAATGAACGCGTCTTTCTTTATTTATTCATTCATTGGCTTTAGTCCATGTAGAAAATGAATCGAGTCCAGCTATAAACGAAGTGGCAGCTAATAATGTAGATAACACCTACTTTTTTTTTCTTTTAGAGAGTCAACTCATCGCTTTGATAGATAACCTTATACCCTTCTATTCGCTACAAACAAGTAGAAGACTTGAAACCTGATTATGTTTATACAGCAGCCAAGTCCTCTTCTTCTATGGTGGATACGTATTATAACGATATCAAATCCACACTTAGTCAACAATGGCAAGAAAAGTAAGTAAACCACCACAAACCTTCTTGCTTAACTGTGCTAGATTTCCTATGATTGCAGCTACACCTCTTTATAAACAAGGCAAACGCATTTATGACTATATCTATTCGACTTATTTAAAGCCATCCGATGCTATCCTAGAACACCCTAAATTCAATTCAAACAAAGATACAGTCGTATACATGGCTTGGCACCCACACCAGGACATACTTGCTATAGTTGATAAACATGACGATGTCTACATTTATGAAAAGCATGATACTGTCTGGACATGTCAAGTATTAAGAGACATTCAAATGAAAGACGTAACAGCATTAGAATGGAAGCATAGATCAGCAGGCACCTTGGCTGTTGGATGTAAGCAAGGTGTATGTGTCTGGACAATACCAAGAGTAGCCACAGATCAAGAACCTCAATTCCATCCCTCAGCTTCTATGGTCTATTTGTCCTATCAAGGTCATGATCATGTAAGTTCACTAGCATGGGATCCTACACCCGGTAGTCATCTCTTGGCTGTTGGTTCCGCTGTCTCGAATGCACTTGTGATTTATGATATGTTGCTCAAGAGAACACACGTATTAAAGAGATATGGTCATGGTTGTATTATGTTGCGATGGAGTCCTAATGGTGAATGGTTATTTGAAGGCGGTTCGATTGGTACATCCCGTATGTGGGACACAAAACACTGGGAATCAAAGGTGATCAGTAATCCTCCTGTTTGTGGGTTCAAGCTGCTTGTTGGGCACCCGATAATCGTTCCTTGGTTTTTTCAATGTATGGCAAATCTGATCTTCATGTGTTATTCATGAGTGGTAAGCAGATCCATAGTGTTGTGGATCATCCATTGGCTTCTTTGCCAGTCACTACTGTCACGACTGAATCTAGAGAGCAGATCAAGGCTGGTGGTGTGATTCGCGATATTAGTCTGGATGGCTCCAGATTGGCTATTGCTTTTGAAAATACACCATTGATTGCCTTGTATTCACTTAAACAAGACTCACCTCTTAATTTGAATACAGAGCCTATTCTTTTCCCTATGTAAGTCAGAATGAGATCGTATTCGTCTCATTTATTCGTTTATTCTAGTGGCTATGTTCATGGATCAAGCGTATGTATGGACAACACTGCAATGTCTGTTACTGCTATAGATAGTCAACCACTTGGTATCTCATTTTGCAAGAACCATAAACAAGGCTCAGTCATGGCTATCTTATGGAAGCATGGACTAGTGACATTTGTGACTCACAAGTACCTCACAAATGAAGAAGTGCGAAAAAGATTCTATTAAATAATTTATATACGTGATCTGTAACTTCTAATAAACGTATTGCCAACACCACCAATACCAAATGCAGGACCAATACGACCAATACGGGCTAATGTACTCTTGAGATATTCTTTACGGATAAGAAATGTACGATTGGCTATGGTGGCACCAGGGCGATTATAGATGTCCAATGCATACAGATGAACAGGTGTGCTTGCTAATTGAACAATAGCAGGGCAAGCAAGTTGAGCTGCTACCTGAGATGATTTCTGGCTGAAAGAGGCAGTCTGTTGAAGCCAACTAGCAATATAAGGAGGTGCTGTAAACTAGCAGCAATCGTCAATGAATCTCTGGCAGCAAATAAAAAGTAAGATAGCTTAGGCAATGCTCTTGAGGCAGTCACACCAAACATACGAGCAAACACTTTATCCTTATAGACACATAAACCAATATTGGTTATGCTGGTTGTGATAAATTTATATAAAGATGTCTTGACAGGATCTACTGAATAGTTTTCACAGGTTGTTTCGACAAGATTAGCCGTTGTATAAGTTGAGAAATAGAGACCGAGTACAATACGGAATTGTGGTGATACAGTAAATTGAAAAGGATTTGACAGAAATGAACGCAAGCCGTATTTTAAGCCATCTGTTAATTGTCTTTTACCGTTTAAATTTTCAATAATCGATCTACATGCATTTGCATTAATTTTTTTTTTTTTTAATTTTTTTTTATTTTACCTGTCTACAATAGCAATAAAAGGTGAAACCATAGCAGCAGAAGAAAATGCAGCAAACAGATCAAGACCATAAAGCCTTAGTAGTCTATCTTTGGTATATAACAAAGGCTTCTCTTTTGAAATCGATAGTTCTGTAGACATAACTCTAAAATAATAATAATAATAATATAATAATAATAATAATAAAAGAGAGAGGGAAGGTGAGAAAAATTATAGATGTTCTCTATTTATAAACAGGATATTGAAATTCCGTATCGATTTGTTATTTGGTAAAGTATGTATGACTCTTTGTTACTCTTGTGTTTTCTTTCTTTTTTTTTGTCTTCCATTTTGCTTCGCTCCCCCTCTTTTCTTTCATTTTGATTGTAAAATCACTGGTTAAAAAATAAAATTGAGACTCAAGCTACTTTTCGATGACACATACACGTCGTTTTTGATAAAATACACAGTGTTAAAGGGACACAGAAAATGATGATTAGTCCAGGACAAAAAAAAAAAAAAAAAAAGGGTTTGTGTGAGAAAGGAATATGACAATAGGAATCCTATTTAGTCTAATTTAACACCTTATCACCGGCCCATCTTTGTTTTTGTACCTTATTTTATAATCACTTTTTAAATCAGTGAATTGATGCACATATGTTGTACATCTTGTTCAGATCAAACGAGTGTGACTTGAACCTTGTGAAAATAAAGTGTAACGATAATAAACTAAAGCTTTCTTCTTTCCTCTTTCTCTTCTTTTTTTTTTTTTCTTCTTTTTCTTATTTCTTTTTATGTGGTTAAAAATCAAAGGTAAAGCTAAAAAGAAAAAAAAGAAAACAAGATAAGCACAATCCACTCATTTCAATTCAAGTAAAGAATCTTATTTACTTTTCACCCACTGAGAATATTGCACAAGAAACAAATCAAACTCAACAAACAACACATCAAAGCAAGTCTAAACTAAACCAGAATGAATCCAATAGCCATGAACACAAAAATCATGCTATGTTTGATCAAATCCTATCTCAATTCATCAGTCTATCACACAGTCTAAAGATAGATATGAATACAGAAAAAACAAAACAAGTCTTCATACAGAATAAAGAGACAGTCAAAGACGAACAAGCCATGTTTGAACTTTTAATGCAGGCCTGGAAAGAAGATATTGAGCAACAATATAAAGATACAGCATCACAGACTGTAGAAGTCAAGAAACAATTAAACACAATAGAACAAGAAATCAAGAATTTCAACAGACATTAAAAGACATGAACAAACGACTAAATAACATTCGCCAAGAGACAGAAATATCAACACCTGTTGTATACAAGGACAAGACTGAGTTAGAAGAAGCACTCAAGGTCTCTGTTGAACGTATGACAAGCAATAAAATGGACGGATTTGATGTACTATGCCAAGAGATTGCTGATATCAACACACCGCTATATCAAAGTATTCAAGAAATAGACCACCTATTCAACAGCCATGGACCATGGCAAATAGACTTTAAAATGAAGATGTATAAATGCTTTGATATTCAATATGATCCATATTATGTCAATATGTTAAGGAGACATATGCATATCAACACAGAAGAATGTTTAGATAGTTATTTACTGGCATGTCATGCACTGGCCAGGTATTATGCCATTCCTTTTGACTAGGTAGTGTATCTCAAATAAATGATATTTATTTACCAAATCGTTGTTCCACTTTGGAGTATTTGTATAAACACTTGATAAATACATCATAATTCAACTGGTGTTCACTATAACAATTCCTAAAAAGAGATTTAGTATACAAGGCACGTGTCAGAAGAGAGGGACTTACATAATTTCAGTTAATCGAATATGCCAAGGAGGATAACCATCCAATGAAACGTAGTTATGTGGAAGACCATCATAGCTAATCATCAAATCAGGATCAGAAATAGTATTCACTATCACCATACATTAGCAAATGGCTCTTTATAGACACTAGTCCCTTACGATGCATATATGTGTTTACTAATTCAATGTCTATTGCCTGTTTGTTGTTTTTTATCATTTCTTGTACTACATATCCCATGTGTGGTTTCCCATTTTCACCTGATAAAACTGAAAATTTGATGGCTTATAAAAGTCAATGACATCTATCGTCTACAACCGTGTACTTTACCTGGTCTATTCTTTTCCATTTGGTTTGTCATCCATTCATGTAACATAGTAGATTGCTGTTTATAAAGATCAACTGCCATTGATTTAAAAACTCCTTTTTGTATGAAATGAGTCATGTATTCTGCTTTCTTATTGCTTTACCTGATGCATCATACACAGATACCTCTTGAATACCAAATTCCCAAGCCCAACATGTAGCCATACAAATGTCCAGCATCATTGTGTCCCAGTCCTTAAGACTTCTTGAGCTCAATAACTCACGAGAAATATGGATAGCAAGGTGGTTTGGTATTTTTGTCAATTGTCGTTTATCAAACTGCATGCGTGCTTGAATATCTGCTTTTGATTGATAGAATGTAGTATAGAGATAGACTGAAAATGAGATATAGCCAATATACAATAGATATAAAAAGTGCAATATGTACAATATCACTGTTAAAAATACATCGAAAAGTGAGTTATTTTGTTCTTGAATAGGCCTGCTTCTGTTTTTGATTTCTTGCTTTGATTCTATGGTATTTGTCATTGAAATGTATTTTGGTATCTTTTCATTGGTTGTCGAGAGATGCAAAGGACTGTATTCTACTTCATTATTATTTGTTGTAATAATGGTTGTCATAATGTAAAGAGATATATAACTGAAAAGAAGAAAGAAAAGAAATAAAAATGAAATATTTTTTTTATTTTTTATTTTATTTCTAATTCTAAATTTAGTCACAACCCTATGCCTTTGTTTCATTTATAGCCATTTTTTCTACTTCTTTATCAGGTTCAACTGTGTCTTGTTTCTTTTCAGAAAGAAAGGCAAGCCATAAAAATGCGATAGCCAAGACTAATAACCAGATACCATAAAGAATATACAGTGGCATTGCTGCTTTTTTGATCCTCATACCTAAAGGAATATTAATTAATGCCATAAACAGTAATAGTCGGCCAAGCCAAATATGAACATGATTGTTCCAAGGGCGTTTAGGAGGCAAACAATGATGCTTTCGACGATAACGAAACAAGAGATGGTTTACAGTACCCAACATGACTTGAGACCATACTCCAATAGATAAAGCAGTGCCAATGCCCTACAAGGAACTAGGTAAGTTCATGCCTAATATTTTTCATTCAATACGATACAGAATGTGGTTTGAGTTTAAGTTGACCAGATATACCAAATGCAATAAATGCTGAAATAGTAAAAGGCACAAATCCTGCTGTTGTCATGATAAGCATATGTACTTTGGGCCCCATGTTTTGCCCTTTTTTCTTGCAAGCATATTCATGCCCATAGCCACTGGGACAGCAAGCATCCATACAAATACCATAAGTGCAGCATGTAATAAAATAAGCTTGTTTTTTGTTTCTGGATCCATAATGAAGAAGAAAGGAAGAAAAAAAAAAGGAAAAAGAAAGGTGGTTGCTTTATTCTCATATCAGTTTTACAGCATTTGTTAATTTCCCTAAAGGCTCTTTCATCTCTTGAGGAATGTACTCTAATAATTTTTCAAACAGTCTTGTTCTTTCTGAAAACAAGATGTCTTTTCAAACATGTTAGAGAGTCAAATACATTCTGCTGATTTACCTTCAGTTTCTACAATGTTTGAAGCAAAGACATCCTTTTCTTCATCTTCATCCATCATTGTTTCCAACAGACAAAGGTTGGCACACATTTGATGAAATTCTTTTGATTCCTTTTCATTTTCATAATCTACTACGGGTGCTACTTGATTTCTAAGATATTTTAGAACACTTAATGTTTCCAGGTTGACATTGGCTTCTTGTGTCTTTTGCATACAAGCTATTTGATTACAAAGTTCTTTCAGTTTCTGCATACGAATCATATAGAAACACCGTCTCAAGATAGAAGAAGGATCAGGCCTAATGTCATTAGTAATCATACTTGGCAACAGTGATACATACTTGACCAATCTGAGTTCCCAGAAATCATTCAATCGTTTACTTGGATTTGAATTATCACCAGGATTGCCACCAAATATGTACTGGACTCGATGCACGGCATCATACACCATTTGATGAGCATAACGAGGGCATGGCTCTAATAAACTTGTCTTTTTGTTTTCATTCTGATATATTTTATGCCACTCATTTTGTTTGATAGAAAAACCTAATGCATTCTTGACAACATCTGAGTTTGTGTTGCGCTTATAGCCTGATAGAACATAGAGTTCTTCTAATGCAGCATCAATTGTTGCACGCTGATTAAAACCAGCATCGGGTCCAGCATCTTTGGTATAGTCTTGAGCTATTTCTGTAACCATATCTTGGTCTACATCGTAACGATAGAGGTCAGATAAATAGTCTTTGCCACGTTGGCCAGCAAACACATAGAGGGAGCGATTCGTCTGATCAAAAAGCATTGAATGGCCTACACGAGATTTCAAGGGCGCATTTTGTGGACAATGGGGAGAGGTAGAAGGTGAATTGGAAGTTGGCTTGGTATCATCATTTCTATTCCCCATATTAGACCTTTTTTTTTTATTTGTTCATGATTACCTAACAAGCTTCCACTGATTTGATTTGATATGGTAAGCATAAAGACCACTGTAGTTTTGTACTGTCGTGTCTCCATTGACTGTTCTTCCACCAAATACATAGAGTGTCTCACCACTTGGATCCACACACATTTGGTGGTCAAATATAAGTTCAGGGCCACCTTCACACTATACAAGCATAAGCTAGTGTTCTGCATGATAGGCACTACTTACAGCTGTATGGTTGCTGATTTTGATCCATTGATCGAGTGCAACGTAATACGATAAAAATCGGAGCACAAGGATTCTGCTGCATTTGTTGCCTGCGATGACTCTACGTATCTACCTAAAACAAAAATAGACTGGCTTGTTGAATCAAACAGACTTTATGGCATGAACGAGGACCTGGGCCACCTTGACTTGTTTTGATCGATCAATACACCTACACACTGTGTTTTCTTACTTACATTTGCGTATCTTCACTGAGCAGTTTCCACTGATTTTGTTGAATATCATACGACCAAAAATCAGACAAATCTTCCTTTCCATCCCAACCGCCCAAGATATAAATCATTTGATGATCTACATCAATACACATCTGATGTCCTCCTCTCGGCATAGGAACAGGCGCTTGCTTTTCTTGAGGCTTGAGTTGTCTCCAGATAGGTTTATAGGTTGCATTGTCTGAATAAGTTCGATAGATTTCACATTCATGATGTGCTAGTTGCAACACTCGCTCAGCTGCTTCAAAATCAGTCTCCACCACTAAATACTGATGTAGTTGAGATAACAGAGGGTGTTCTAATTCAACACCTGTCTTGTCTTTAATAAAGTAGAACGTATCCATCATATTTCTCTGGCGAAAGTATTTTAAGCATAAGCGGACTGTTTCTGTTTCTTTGTACTATATGAAGAGTCAATAGGATCATTCGCGTTTTATGTTTACTTGCAGTTTCAAATTCTGAACACACTCTTTGGATCACAGCTGGTTCATTGATGCCACGCACTTCAAGATACCAAATACTGTAATTGAAATTAGCACCAAAAGCAGACAATGGCACAATTTTGATGTATTTAATGGGGAGAATCTAAAGTGAAATGAGTTGAAAGCATTGGTTTGATAGTCCCCATACCAAGTTTTTGTATTGATACTTTAACGAAAATGTTTCTGGTTCGGTATCATTTCTTAAACCTATATGTATATATATATATATATGTATAGTGTATTAGGATGAGATATAATTAACCACAACAAGCAAACCATGATGTAGCAATTCAATCATATCGTCTTTTGGATCCACGCCACCATAGACCTTAAATTCTTTCAAGTTACAAACATGTCCTTTATGAAATTTACCAAACATGACAGAACCTTTTTTTCGTCTTTCTTTAGAATGCCTGTAATTTTTCCGAAATATTAAAACTTACGAGCAATGACGGGTTTATCGAATTTGATGGTAATAAACTGTTCATGGTCATTCAGTCCACTTGACCATCTAGAGGCTTGTTGTGTAGGTTGATTTACAATGATGTTCTGTGGGTGATAAGATCCCGAATAAGAAGAACAATCGTAAATACTGTATTTTAACTTGACTTGTCTTGCTTTTGACATCATAGATATTAACGTATTTTTGTGATGATCCATAGGTGCATTAGCAGTATTGTTTGTATGGACTTGCGAGGCACGATCCATGTGCTGCTGTGTAAGTGCAGCTACATTCATGGTGTCCTTATAGACTGGATGGTGACTATAATAAATGTTATTCAGGCGATGTTGAATGGATTTTCTTGTTTCAAGCATGTCTGAGAGTGCTCTTGAAGAAGAGGGAGGTGATCTCTTGTTCTGTTGGCATTGGTTTTCCGGTATGTAGCTCATAGGATGATACACTGCTTCAGACAAGAGCTCTTTGTCTTCTATGGTATTGTTGCCGATAATGGAAATGTCATGTTGATGTGTACTAAGGTTTGAAGTAGGTTCACTACTACTGCTACTGTCACTGTCATTGGGATGAAAGTCCATGTTAAATCAGTTTGAACCGAAAGAAAAAAAAAAAGAGAGAGAGAGAGATGCCCTTTAGATCATTCTTGAATAAATGCATATATAAGACAATGAAAAATGCTAGGTCATGTGATCAAAAACAAACGGAAACATTTCCTAAACACATTGTTACACTAGTAAACAAACCATACAAGCGTCATAAACATTGAAAAAGGGAAATAAGCTCATTTTTTTCCACTTTGTAAACCATCACGTCACTTTGTAGCCTGTGCTTCTTTATCTATAGTATATCTTTTGTGTTTGTAGCCCGTGCTGCGTCTCGAATTGGCCAATAAAAAGATTGCACTACATCCCCCTCCCTCCACAACCCCCAAACGCATCATTCTTTTCTTTTTTTTTCCTCCTCTTTTTTCTTAATTTTTCTTTCTTTATCTTTTTTTTCTTTTAAAATAAATCTCCCTTTCCTTTCCTTTCCCTTCTCCTATATATATTTCTGAATTTATTATGCCTGACGATAACAAACCAATGGAACCACGAAAAAAGCGAGCAAAAATCATGAGCGCCTGTGGTGAATGTCGACGCAAAAAAACAAAGTGCAACGGCGAACAGCCATGTCGAAGCTGTCAGAAATCAAACACAGCTTGTGTCTATCCAACAGCAGCACAACTGGACGATAGAAAAAACCATGGAGGTGGACATCCAAAGCAGCACTGGAAGCCATTGAAGACCGACTCAAGACAATTGAAGATATGTTACGAACGATTCTCCATCAATCACAGCCGCCGATGCACGATCCCAATTGTTTAAATAATAAAACCTCTGTTGCTAGTAGCCATGATAGTTCTCTTGTTGTTGATGAAGCTAGTCTTCATGATAGTAATAATAGTAATGATAATCGACTGCCTTCTATTCATAATCTCTCAGCATCACTACCACTTATGCAACAGCTACCAAACCCACTTGGATTAACTAGGCATGAAGAAGAGATCTATCATCAATATCATCAGCCACCGCCACATTCCATGTACCGCCCAATTCCTCAACATCACCATGACAACACTTTACAACATCCAGAAGAAGCCTCGGTATCAGAAAGGCATCTGCAGCCAATGAAAAAACGTAAAAGATGATACATTTCTTTGTTCAATTTCTACTCCTCTCACTCTTACTCTCACTCTCACTCTATTTATTATTTAATAGAAAATAACAATAAATAAAGAGAAACGGTTTCATTCTTTTAAGCATTATGTTTTGGTTTTCATTGGTTACTATCTTAAGTGGATTAAGGACTGCTTCCGGTAAAGACAAGTCACAATCCTTTTTTTATATCTCAACTTTTTTTTTCTTACAAAATCTCGATCTCTTCTTTTTTTTTTTTTACAATTCCAAGATCTGTGAATATGCCCAGTACTGTCTCTAGCAAAGAAGGTAAGTTGTTTCGAGGGATAAAGAGTATGCGTCTTATACGGAACGATAGACAAACATCGTAGCGATAAGAAGGAAAAGAAGGAAAAGAAGGAACGATCTTCTCGCAAGAGAGACAGAGACGATAAGAAAAAATCAGATAGCGAAGACAAAGCCGAGACCAAGTCTGATTTGCCTGAAAACTCTACAGAAGTACTCCTGAACCTGACTCCAAGAAGCGCAAGACAGTTGTTGAAGAAGATACAAACCAGGATGAAGATATTCCTGACCACCTTCGTCTTTCCAAGTTCCGTATTTCTGAAGGTACAGTCAACAACCTTGAGTCAAGAGGTATCAAATCTTTGTTTGAAATTCAAGCCGCTACTTTTGATGAGATTTATGATGGTCATGATGTGCTTGCCCGTGCTCGTACAGGTACTGGTAAGACATTGGCTTTTGCCTTGCCTGTCATTGAAAAGTTGGCTTTGAATAAGGAATACAAGGAACGTCGTGGTCGTGCTCCCGTGTGCTTGTTCTCTGTCCTACTCGTGATTTAGCCAAGCAAGTCTGTGGTGATTTTGAACAAATCTCTGGTAACCGTCTCAAGACATTGCCTGTGTATGGTGGTGTGCCTTACAATGAACAAACCTCTGTCTTTAGAGATGGTGTTGATGTCGTTGTTGGTACTCCCGGTCGTATCCTCGATCATATCAAATTCGGCAACATGAAGTTACATGACCTCAAGTTTATCGTTTTGGATGAAGCAGACGAAATGTTGGATGCCCGTGGCTTTGAAGAAGACATGTTCAATTTGTTATCCAACATTCAAGAACAAAAGAGCTCTCGCGACTATCAAACCTTGTTGTTCTCTGCTACTGTGCCCGAATCTGTCATGGAGACAATTAAGCGTTTCTTGAAAGAAGACTATGAACGTATTGATTTGATCGGTAATGCCAAGAACAGAACTAATACCAACATTCGTCATATTGCTATGCCCTCTTCATACCATACCCGTGCTGATATTATTGGTGATGTTGTGAATGTCTATGGTCGTAGTGGTCTGACTGTCATTTCTGTGCTACTAAGGCTGATGCCAACGAATTGGGTGCCCACGACAAGATCAAGCAAGATGCTGCTGTCTTGCACGGTGATATTGCTCAAGCTTCTCGTGAAGCTACTATGAAGGCTTTCCGTGAAGGTAAATACAAGTGTATTGTCTGTACTGATGTCCTTGCCCGTGGTTTGGATATTCCTCAAGTCGATTTGGTCATCAACTGTCAACCTCCCAAGGACACTGAACTTATGTTCATCGTTCTGGTCGTACAGGTCGTGCTGGTCGTTCTGGTGTCTGTGTCACTTTTTATAAGCCTGCTGAAGAAGGTCTGTTGTCTTACATCTCAAAGCGTACAGGTGTCAAATTCGAACACTTGTCTGCCCCTCGTCCTGAAGATATCATCAGTGCTACTACAGAAGATGCTTTCAAGTCGATTGATATGGTCAAGCCTGATGTCTTGCCCTTCTTTGCTGACTCTGCTAAGCAATTAATTGAAAAGCACGGTGCTGAAAATGCTGTTGCTGCTGCCTTGGCCTTCATGACAGGTATCATCAAGGTGTCCCTAGTCGTTCTTTATTGACTTCTCAAGAAGGTCAAACTACTTTGTTGATGCAATTGACCTATACAATTCAACATCCTGGCTATGTTCGTAATATTCTGAACCGTGAATACCCTGAATTGGGTTATGACGATTTGAAGGGCTGGAGAATGACACAAGATTCTATGGGTGTTGTGTTTGATATCAAGAGTTCTAAATGTGAAGTACAAGAAGATGGTAGTGTTCTTTTGGCTGGTCGTCCTTGGACTTCTCGTAATATCACATTGAGTGCTCCTTCTACTTTACCTCCTCTTCAAGAACGTGTAATAGAGGTGGCCGTGGTGGCGGCGGAAACAACTATGGTAATGGTGGCGGCGGATACAATAGCTATGGTCGTAACAATGGTGGTGGATACAACCGTAATGGCGGCGGTGGTGGTGGCCGTGGTGGTGGCCGATCTGGTGGTTACGGGTAACGGTGGCTATGGTGGAGGTGGCCAAAGACGTGGTGTTTACGGTCGTAACTAAAGAGATACATTTTCATCCTATTTTAGCATTTCCCCCTTTTTTTATTACTTTTTGCATTTACAAACAATACCTTTTTTCTATAGAGAGATTCAATTTGTATATGTTTGCTTTAATTTGTTTTCATGTTTATTTATTATCATTAACTAGACCATAAAGACATTTATTTGTTATCTAACAATAATAATAATAATGGATTTCAGTCTGTGAAAAGAGGCTTTTTTCTCTCTCTCTCTCTCTCTCTTTTCTTATTGAACATGGCCCAGTCTCGTATTTTAGTAAGCAACCCCCAAGATACAAACATAAAATTTAACCTGATCAAAGTTGGTTGGCTTAGGAAACGTACCATTACCAAATACTCGACATAATGTAGGCATGATGGTGCTCGATGCCATTGCCAAGTCGCTTAATCTAACATGGTCACAAAACCGTAGTTGGAAATCAGACATGGCTGAAACAAACATACAAGTTCAATCCAAAAACGAGTTTCATGAATACAAACTCACGCTCTTAAAGCCAAGAAAGTTGATGAACATTAGTGGATCATGTATTGCTCAAGCAGGCAAGTGGATCTGTCTGATAGCTTCATCTAATCCTACACAGTCAAAGATCTTTCACTTCCCTTAAACGTCTATGTCTTTCATGACGATATGCAGCGTGGGTTAGGTAAAGTCAGTCTGAAAGCAAGTGGATCAGCCAATGGACACAATGGCATCAAATCCGTCATTGATCATCTCAGGACACAAGACTTTAACCGT